ACCAAGCGCATCACCTCAATTTGGAAATGTCTCAGGCACAAACTGAAACTTTGATGGTCCCTGCCTGGCAACAAGCAAAATAGCCAGACCATCCTTGTTGCGGCAACACCCTTTTCTGGTCCTGCATAATGCATACTTGGTTGGCTGGCTGGCTATCAGACGCCAGAGCTCATATTTGAGAGAAAGTGTGCACAGCTAAAGTTTGAAGTAAACATGTAAAAATATGTTTTTGGGGCAATGTGTAGTGCTTTGCTTAGCAGGGTGTTCTATGTGGTGGGTGGCCCGGCGGAGTATCATAAAAAAATGACACCGCCGGCAGAGCAATATTTGCAGAGGCATTGTGTACTTAAATATGTTTTCGGTATAAACATGTCAAAAATATTCTAACAGGCTATTATAAATTTTCAATATAAAAGCGGAGGCGATTTGCGGTGGCTGGCCCGGCGGCGTATCATTAAAAAAATGACACCGCCGGCAAAGCAATATTTGCGGTGGCATGGTGTACTTAAATATGTTTTTGGTATAAACATGTCAGAATATTCTAACAGGCTATTATAAATTTTCAATATAAAAGCGGAGGCGATTTGCGGTGGCTGGCCCGGCGGCGTATCATAAAAAATGACACCGCCGGCGAAGCAATATTTGCGGTGGCATGGTGTACTTAAATATGTTTTTAGTATAAACATGTCAAAAATATTCTAACAGGCTATTATAAATTTTCAATATAAAAGCGGAGGCGATTTGCAGTGGCTGGCCCGGCGGCGTATCATAAAAAATGACACCACCGGCGGGGCAATATTTGTGGAGGTATTGTGTACTTGAATATGTTTTTAGTATAAACATGTCAAAAGTATTCTAACACACTATTATAAATTTTCAATATAAAAGCGGAGGCGATTTGCGGTGGCTGGCCTGGCGGCGTATCATTAAAAAAAAATGACACCGCCGGCGAAGCAATATTTGCAGTGGCATGGTGTACTTAAATATGTTTTTGGTATAAACATGTCAGAATATTCTAACAGGCTATTATAAATTTTCAATATAAAAGCGGAGGCAATTTGCGGTGGCTGGCCCGGCGGCGTATCATAAAAAATGACACCGCCGGCGAAGCAATATTTGCGGTGGCATGGTGTACTTAAATATGTTTTTGGTATAAACATGTCAAAAATATTCTAACAGGCTATTATAAATTTTCAATATAAAAGCGGAGGCGATTTGCAGTGGCTGGCCCGGCGGCGTATCATAAAAAATGACACCACCGGCGGGGCAATATTTGTGGAGGTATTGTGTACTTGAATATGTTTTTAGTATAAACATGTCAAAAGTATTCTAACAGGCTATTATAAATTTTCAATATAAAAGCGGAGGCGATTTGCGGTGGCTGGCCCGGCGGCGTATCATAAAAAAAATGACACCACCGGCGGGGCAATATTTGCGGTGGCATGGTGTACTTAAATATGTTTTTGGTATAAACATGTCAGAATATTCTAACAGGCTATTATAAATTTTCAATATAAAAGCAGAGGCGATTTGCAGTGGCTGGCCCGGCGGCGTATCATAAAAAATGACACCACCGGCGGGGCAATATTTGCAGAGGCATGGTGTACTTAAATATGGTTTTAGTATAAACATGTCAAAAGTATTCTAACACACTATTATAAATTTTCAATATAAATGCGGAGGCGATTTGCAGTGGCTGGCCCAGCAGCATATCATAAGAAATGACACCGCCGGTGGGGCAATATTTGTGGAGGTATTGTGTACTTAGATATGTTTTCAGTGTAAATGTGTCAAACTTCATTATAATTTTTTTTCTATGTTTGCGGAGTCAATGTGCAGTGGTTGGTCCGGCGGTGTACCATAAAAAAATTATATAACCAGTGGAGCAATATTTGCGGAGGAATCGCCTTGCTGGTGTACTCAAATACTTTTGCAGATTAAATGTGTGAAGCTTCTTCCAACAGATCATTCCAATATGTGTCATTTTTGTGGAGGCAATGTGTGGTGCTTAGTCCAGTGGAGTGTTTCAGAAGCAATGTGCAGTGCTTAGTCTGGCAGAGTGATTCCACTCAAATTGTAGCAAACAGCATACATAGGTTGATAATATTATGCATGATTGATATAAGCCAGACTTGTAATTCTAAGTATTCAACTGGATGATGGCCGCCGGTGTGTCACCAACACCCCGGCGGAGGGCAGCCCCGCACTGGGTTATGACATTCAAGGTACACCCAGCCGCTCCAGTGGTATGGGACATTGTTGCTGACGGCCCACACATAGTTACTGGTGGATTGTTCAGGGTCCGGCCACCCCTTTGACAATGGGGTCCGGTAATCAAACCGGCTGTCCGGCTAGCCCCTTACCATTTGATGGATTGTCAGGGCAGGGTGGCCCATTACTAATGAGCCAAGGTGACTAACTTAACTGCCTTTTGTCAGCCACCTCACAAGCACCCTTTGGGCCATCAGCTCGTACCTTCAGACGCGTTTAAAGGGTACCTTATCATTGGCAGAACAACCAATCGCTGCGCCACACATGTCCTAAAGCATCCTGGATACTGGTGTTATCCGGGTGTGGAAAGTCGCTCCTTCACAGGGGCGTGGGCAGGCAGATGCGTGATTGCACACCTGGATGATTGTTGGGGGCCTTTTCGAAGGTCTCTGGCATCGTCGCACCGGACGTGGCACCGCTGACAACGGTGAAGCGGCGGTTGGTTGCTTCTGCCTTTGAATTGGGTATTTCGCATGCGGACATTTCGACTCCGGTGAGTACATCTTATTTTTCTTAATCTCGTTTTTTTAACTCGACTCAGGACTTCAATTCAACCTCCTAGGCGTTAAACCTGTACTCAGAATCAACAGTCTGTGAGTCAACGCTGCCTTTGACTCTCACATTTTCATGTCGAAATTCATAGCCACAATGCCATCTGCACTTGTTTCCTTTCATCGTTTCTCCTCTCTTGTACACTCTCTTTCCCACCCATTCATCTGTATTAGTCTCGCGCTCTCTTTTGACGAAATAATGTCCTGATCATACATTACAACTTCACTTTAGAAAAGAATATTAATCTCACCGAGCTCTGATTCCTTGGTCAAATTTTTTACGTTCAGATGAGAGACTTCAATATATGTTTTTGCGAGAATGCACGACGTGATATTCAAAAATCAAGGTCTGCCGGTACTTGTTTTTTTTTGTTCAACAGTTCAGGGTCCGGTTCTTCACATGTCTTGATCACGCTTATGTGGTCGCAATCAAATAAAGGCTGGGGATGTGCGTGTCATCCCGCAGCCAACCGTTCTATTCTTTCCCCTCGAGCTCTTGAAATCTCAAAGGGCGCTCATGGACGGCCAACTTGAACCCATCCTTTACCAAGTGGTGCTGTAATTTTCTATGAGAGATCTGGTGCGAAGGCAAGCTCCCAGCCGCGAACCTCACAGCAATTCACGCTTTCCTCAAGTCTCGAGTTTGCCAGCCTCCAAAATCAAAAATCTATGTCACTTCCTTTATCAACATACTGTTTCTCCCAGGGCCCACTCCAATCCACTCCACGGGCACCCCAAGGAAGGTCTCTATATATTCGATGTATTTCCTGCAATTTTCCGGCAACGCGTCGCATGATGTCACATCCACGATGGAGGTGTTCCACCCAGGTAGTGTGGCGTATTCTACATCAACTTTGGCAAGAAGGTCGAGGTCAGCTGTGAGCATAGAAAGTTTAGCGAAAGAATACTAAAACACGGCAAGGAGAAGAGAGCATACCTGGGAATCCAGAAAGCTCCTTCCCATCAACGAGGTACTTGACACCAACTTTGATCTCAGGGAGCTTGTCCAGGATGTCGAGCTTGGTGATGTTCAGGGTGTCGAACCCGTTGATCATACATGAGTACTTCAGCACGACAAGGTCAAGCCATCCGCAGCGTCTGCGCCGCCCAGTGTTCGTTCCAAATTCCCTGCCAACTTCTTGGAGGTGCGTGCCCACGTCCTAGTTCCAACCAATGTATCGTAAGCAAACAAGCAGGAAAGCGAAGGGGGGGGATCATACATTGAGCTGTTCAGTCGGAAAAGGACCTCCGCCAACCCTCGTCGTATATGCCTTCACCACGCCTATAGGCTTACCGATCATCTTGGGCGGGATGCCGAGCCCCGTGCACACCCCACCGACGCTGGTGGAGGACGAAGTCACAAAGGGGTACGTCCCGAAGTCGAGATCAAGCATGAGCGCGTTAGCGCCCTCGACAAGCACGCGCTTCCCCGACGATATAGCGTGGTGAATATATACCACGCAGTCGATGACGCAGGGCCTGAGCCGTTCCGCGAGAACCTGTCAATTAATTGAATACGGTGGGAAAAAAGGGGAGAGTGATCAAGGACCTTGTATCGCAATATCTCCCCCTCTGTATCGTATTCAAATTTCCCATACCGCTTAAACCATCCCTCTACCAGTTTTCTAAATTTCTCCGCAAAGGTATCGTCGAATAGGTGATGGACCCTCAAGCCAGAGCGGGAAGCCTTGCTAGAATAGGCTGGGCCAATCCATTTTTGGTTGTCCCAATGCTGAAATGTAAGACACTATTAGTATTGTCATATGTGGATCGAGTGGACAGAACGTACCAGGAGCCGCCCAATTCGACCTCTTTGAGGCCATCAACGATCCTGTGGAAATCGAACACGAGATGGGCGCGATCGGAAATAAACAGGCGATTCGTGCAGTCCAGGCCTTTATGGCGGTATTGGTTAATTTGACAGGGCAACCAGAATCAGTGTAACAAGAAACATACCTTGAGCCGCCAAAGCGTCCAATTCACTAAAGAGGGATGGCAAATGAACAACGACGCCAGACCCAATCAGACCCGTGCATGCGGGATTCAACAGGCCTAACAACACGTATGGAGACGAAATAAGTGAAACCTGCGTCGTATCTTGTAATATAAGATCATGTACACACCACTGGGGAGCAAATGGAACGCGAAGGTCTTCAGGCCCGACAGGCACAACAATCGTGTGCCCCGCATTACTCCCGCCTGCGCAGTGCGCGCAGATGTCTACTTCCGCAGAAAGAATGTCGACAAGCTTCCCTTTACCCTCGTCCCCCCATTGTGAGCCCAGCACGACGGTCACTGTAGCGTAGAAGGACCCTCAAGTTCAGGGATGGTGGAAATAAGGAGCGAATCAAGACAAACCGCTCATCGTGGCTCACGGTAGTCTGTTAGGGTTCTGGTAATGCATAAAATGAAGGTGTAGACAGTAAAAAAAAAATGCACTGTACTGGACACAACCAAGAGATCTCACTGGCAGATGGCTTTGGAAGAGAAGATAAAAATCAGGATCGATCGTCGCTTCCTAATACAGTCATTTGGTCATAATTGTAAGTAGAGAAAGTTCGGTACTTTCGGCCGCTGCCGACGGCCTACACCACGCACTCATAGGATGGCCGTGTTCCCTTCGTGACCTGTAAAACCTAACTCAATGAACCAAACCGTCAGGAGATACCCAGCTCTCTTTGGGGTCCCATTCGTTCTTCTCATGGTTGCCGCGTCATATGGCCTCAGTACGGTCACTCAAACTCGGTACGATCTGCATGACCAGAAAGTCAAACATGTGCGTTTTTATTTCTTCTTGAAATGTCTGGCCTATGCCGTGTATCGACTGGTCCAGGTGACGAAAGAACAAGAACTCAAGCTGGACAAGAATCGCAAGAAGTTCGATATACGGGAAGAATACTTCGTACGCACTTCCAACATCCATACACTTTTCTCCTACTTCTATACTGAGTGAGACGTTTCAGAGATTGAGCGCCCAAGCTGAGGAAGAATGGGAACCCCGACGGATTCCGCGGCCAAAGGGTGTACCGGAATGGGGCGTTCCGCCCAGAGAACCTCCGCCAAAGTCGTCTGAGGCTCCATCACAGTCATCCTAGTTCATGGCGTGTTGGGCTACTGCGCACTAAATTTATCTTTACGCTGATGTCTATGTGTGTTGCCCATTCCGAAGTATTGCAACCACGGGTTTACACTAATCGTCAAGGCTGGCCATCACGCCAGTTTCGGATCACCTTGGGGTAATGGTTGCGATTCGAAAGCAAAACATTCCCCCCGGGTTATGTCTTCAAGGGGCCGATATTCTGAAGGGTTTTATGAAGCAAACTTTTTTACTCACACGAATCTCAGCAACTCTCCCGTCTTTCTCAAATCTTCTATCCTACCTTACTTGCTTTTGATGGAGACATCGAGGAGAGCGATTCATGGATCAGGAATACATTATTCTTCGATCCCACTTTGCTTGTTTCCGTCCTCAGACCCGCGATCAAGGACGCACCTTCAATGAAATGAGCCATGTCATTCCTCGACACGGTTCACCCAATGATATGGCCTTAGCCAGCCCGAGTCCTTTTTCGCCCTCCTCCCTCTTATCTTCTGGCAAGCAGTCGCCCTCTGCTCAGGCTGATCCTGCGGCGCTCAATAATATCCTTCCACTCTTTCCTGCCCATATTTTTTTCGCCAGGCTGGACGTCGAACTGGGTATTCCATCTGGCGCGACGCTAGGTGAGGCGCTCCATGCCAGGTTCGACGCGCAGAGGCTGGGCGAAGGACAAGGCAAGGACAAGGCGTATGTTTGGCGACCAAGACTGGTACACACCCGACCAAATACGCACGCGGCTATAAATAGAGGATATACAAGAGGAGACACACACACACAAATGAGGAGTACGACACATGATGTGAGAAGCGACACACCAGGTAACAATATGTCGTTCTTCGTGATTTTGCATTTTCGGGTGTGCCGTGCATACATTCGAAACTCCGCCACAAGTCACGAGCGTGATGATCGCTGTCACGACTTGGTCACGACCGCTTTCTCATCACCACCACCACCACCATTTGCTTGCCTGTGCCCCACCATCACCCGCGCTCTCTTCCTGCCCACCTCGCACCCTCGCTATGGCCGACAAGGACCAAGAGAACGGTTACGGGCCCCTTCATGTGAGTTCCCACTCTGTTCAGCCCTGTATTTGCTACCAACCCACCCCCATCACCTGGCGAATGCCCAGCAGGGCGAAGCCGGGGTGCTCCTTCCACCTCATGCCACGTTCGCCCCCAAACCAATTCCCCTCGCAAACGCAACCCTCGGATTACGACTAACCGCCTGTGAAAACGCCTACAAAACTGCCCAACTAACCACGGCAACAACCCAGCGCCCAGGATAAACCACCCACGCTGACGGAATCGGGCCACGAACATGCCCCAACAGACGGAATCCAGCGCTGAGCCCCATCGAGGAAGACCCAGTGCCGCTTGGCGAACCAACAGGGGATACAGCACCCACCCTGCAGCCAGGTCGCCTCCCCACTAACCAGCCCCGAATGACGGCGAAAACGCCAGCGCCCTCTCCGACAAAGCCACCACTGCGTCTCACTCGACCACGGCCGCGGAGACCACATGTTGACACCGATGCGCCGAAACTAGGCCGTCGACGGTGAGGATTCTTAGTGGGTACCTTCCGGGGTCGTGCTCTTGCTCCCTCTCTTAGAATTACATATAACTTGATGTATAGTAAGTAGTTCAAGGAATAAAATTTACAATCCCAAGTTTCACTTGAGCATGACGAGGCAGATTTCGACTTAACCACAGAAGTTTTGGAAAGTGTATGCACGATATAATAGGATATAATAGCTAATTTGGCCGTCACACATCACACATTAATTTTCTGACAGTCCAAAAAGGGAACATATGGGCGGAATGAATTGAAATAGTATGGTATCATGCGGATAAGATTCGACACACAGTGACTGACATTTGCCATCAATGTGTTGAACATTGGCCAGGTGTGTCGTTCTCCATCATGTGTGTCGTGTCTCATTTCTGTGTGTGTGTGTCGACTCTTGTCCGTCCTGCTATAAATAAGCTGTAAGAGCTGTAACCACTCCTCAGATCCAAACCACCACCACTCCACCTCTCTTGCCTTGCTCCCGGCTTGTTTGAATTGTCTTCTTCGAGCAAACACCTTTGGTCTTTCATCTCTATCTTCCCATCCCGCCAAGTTTGCAATGTTCGCCTCCTCAAGAGTCGAGCCACTGCTCACGCCAGGTACGCCACTCTATCTCGCCAGCTTCCGGGCACACTAACGCTTTATGTCAGCCACCTACGCCCAACGATGCGCAATCCCAACAGCATTTTACGCGATCTTAACAGCATGTCAAACTGTGTTCACACCATCTCGCCAACTGAACAGCATCTAAAACTCGAACACCAATGCTCCTCAAACCCTCAACGCGTTTCAGCCTAGGCGAGTCACCCATTCCCGTTGCCAAGTCAGATAATGCGACGGTCACATTTCCTATTGCGTGGTGGCCTCGAGCCTAAGCGTAGTAAAGTAGCCGCATTCCTTACTTGGGTGTGTAATCGACCCAGGTATTGGGGTGCTGGCGTGGCCCTCCCGTCAGGGGGCCGGAGTGACACACCATCTGCCAGGACTGCCACTGGATGAAGGTTGACTTGGTTTCAACATGGTGCATAAGTGGCTTTGTCCGTCTTGGGGCTGGTTGGGCCTCGTCGACGCACGGTGCTTTCAAATATTGGTGAGTCGTCAACCCGCGGCGGGTAGCCTTTCATTCGCAGAACAACCAATCGCTGCGCCACACATGTCCTAAAGCATCCTGGGTACTGGTGTTACCCGGGTGTGGAAAGTCGCTCCTTCACGGGGGCGTGGGCAGGCAGATGCGTGATTGCACACCTGGATGATTGTTGGGTGCCTTCTTGAAGGTCCCGGGCATCGTCTTACCGGACGTGGCACCGCTGACAACGGTGAAGCGGCGGTTGGTTGTTTCTACGTTTGAATGGGTTACTCTGTATGCGGACGTTTCGATTCTGGTACGCATGCCAGTCCTGATTTACATACCTCCCAATCTCTCGTTAATTTCAGCAAATGTGAAGCGACATGGCCGGTTCTTCTGTGTTTCGAAGGTCGATACATCATCGCCAGCCACCTCTTCCATTCAAAGTCTGCACCACCTACTTAAGACTTAACTCACGCCCGGGCGTTATTGATGTTCTCTGAATTAGAGCGCTGTGAGTCCACGCAAGCTTCAATTCTTTCATCTTCACGTTTACAGATTCGAATTTACAGTCAAATCTTCGCTCAATCTCCCTTCGTTTAATCTATTCGCTTCTCCTGTAGTATGTACGACTGAGCGACAACATCCCACCGCACGTTTGTATTGTTGTAAAAATGGCGAGCCAATATACATACTAGCCAACAAACCAATATCGATCTTCCAGGCTAGTATATCGGAAACGTATGCACAATTGTTAAAACAAAATGAGAACGTTATAACATCAAGCTGTTCGGCATAAAAGGTGTCAAGGCCAGTCTAGCCCGCTCACATCACTTCGTTGAGGGAAATTTACCTCCCAAGCGATATTGAGGTTGAGTTTCTTTTGAGAAGCCAATGAACAAATCCACTCGAATTTACCATCTTTCCCTAGTGCTTCCAGATCCACGTCGGGTTGGTCTGCGCCAGCCCACTGGGCTATGACCCCGTCTCCGATATTGAGAGGCTTTGGAACCTCTACCTCGCCCTTTTTGTTGGGCACTGGTATGACGAGCGCAGGACTGGCTAAGGCGACGCTGATAGCAGAATCTTCCGAGATGGGGAACTGGTCAATGATCTTAAGACGCTCGATCGCAATCGACTTGGTATTGACGATTGTGATGCGCTGGTAGAATGTGTGGTTCACGTTTTTGCTGAAGGCCGAGCGTTTGATTTTCTTGACCCGAGGTAGATATGTTATTCGGATTGTTGGATCGACGCTGGAAGGAGGGGCACCTCAACTTTCGTCCAAAAGACAACAAAAACTAAACTTACCCCAATGGGCAAGAAAAGCTCTCCTGGGGACTGACGGAAGGAACGTCCGACCGAGAAATGAAACTTCCATCGACATAAACACTAGCAAGCCCACTGAGAAAGGTGTACTCCGAAGTGTTCTCTATCTTTGCCTTTATTCCAGCCATGAGTAATTGGAGGAACTTTTACAGTTTAAACGAAAACAGACCGTTAAATGAACTTTTGCTTCTTTCTTCGGAACTGCTACCCAAGACATGGTCGCATCGAGTTTCAGTTCCGCAATCGTCACATTATGGGATTCGTCGTCCGTAGGAACAGAAATCAATCCCGGAACTTCAAAAGTGGCAGTAACGTTGCCTTTGGAAGAGACCACTAATTTCCGTATAGCCATCTGAGGTGGAGGAACGGATCCGGGGGCCATAGCATAGAAGGCAAGGTCATTCGACTTAGATTCTTCAAACTCATGCGTTCCGAACGATTGCTCTTTCTTTTTTTTGTAGTCAACCTCTCTGTACGCCCTGCTCGCGGGGTAATACTGTTTTTGCGAAAGGGTCCAAGGTGAAAGAGTTGGAATGCCTAACCCAAAGGTGGGCGTTGCCGTTTCCAACACGAGCCTAACATCTTCCCAGTCCTAGCAGAGTATATTTATTGCCTGGCCCTAACGAACGAGGTGCACATCCTGAACTCACCTCTCCTGTATTCTGCACTATGGAAGCCTTGTATATCAGCGTGACGGGTTGATCGCTCCCGTCCATTTTAACCTGTATGTCGTAAGCCGCATGCCAACTGGCATTACTGACAGCTAAACCACGCCCGTCAACTACCATGATGAGCACAACAGGCGCAATCCACGTACCATAAACAAGGGCCATTTCCACCTCACCACTCTGATTGGCAAAAACGCCAATTGATGCTGATACCCTCAAGGCATCATCCACATGTGGTTTCTTGAAAGTCCCCCGTTCAACATCCAACGCCTCGTCCAGATCCTGTAGCTCTTCCTCCAGGCTCAAAAGCTTCTGATCAAGCTCTTGAGCAACCGCTTCAAAGTTACGGGTAACCGTCTCCAGGTCAGAAGCTACGACGTGTTGGATCGTGAGGGTTTTCATGTAGCTATCCACAGTAGATATTGACCGCTTGCATCGCGAAAGAGCCTTCTCCGTGCGACATTTCTTCGCGAGGAGCTCTTCAAGCTTCGGGGAGGTCGACACCTCCTGAGATATAGGCGTTTCCGAAATGCTAACGTCGTGAATGGTAGCAGTACCGCGTCCTTCTACTCTACAAGGAGGTTTGAGCGATAAACATTGGGAATAGAGCCAACTCAACTCACCTCAAAGATTCGTGCTCGAGCACATTCGGTAGGCCAGAGATGTTCACCTTGTTATGCCCAACGTTGACAGTGAATTTGAACAGCCTCTTGATCTCCGCACGACCAGAATATACGCTGACGTCTATGATTTTGCTGTCATTTTTCACGATGAGCTCAACAACGTTGGGCGGTGGAACTGCAGGAGGAGTATTGTCGACTAAGGTAGTCATAGGACGTTTGACGATAGAAAGGTGCTTGGTGAGTCGTATCGTTTGGTGGGTTGACGACAAGTTGACGACGAGCCACCCAGTCACGAGTGTCCTGCGGATTCATTGGGAACTTGGTGCAGGGAAGAGTTTGACGGTTCCTGCCAAGTTCCCTGCACATTGCACCGCCACAGAAACTTCCCTTTTTTCTTTTTCGACACTAAGCACAAGTTCCATTTTTTTCTTCTTCAAACGTCTCTAGTCCAGCTGCACAAATTATGGTATGGTGGTATGGTATGTATTATGTCTAAAGGCAAGAATATATCCTGTAACTATCTATGGCTTATCCACGCCCCTCTTTGAATCCTCGCCTTTTTCTCTTCATGGCCTGAACTGGAGGAATCCTTTTCTTCTGCATTTGACTGGAGCGCCAATCTCTCCCTCTCCTCAACAACACCCTTCCGTGACTCAAGGCCACCTTCATACCCAAACCAAGTGTACCTCTGGCAATGGGGACCTCTCACAAGAAGGACCAAGAGTATCCACCCAGTCCAGGCTACTGAGAGCCCTGCGCCAGCTCGCCAGCCGTACTTCACGAAAACTAGAGTCCCTACGGAAGTGCCCATGACTTGGCCAATGAATATCTGCCAGAAGTTTTGTTCTCATCATGGCCAAATCAATTACTGACAGCGCACATACCGATAAAATTGATACGGCATTCAGTCTGGCTCGAGCAGAAACAGAAATTCTGAGAGAGGGAGGTGGTTCAGTGCAAAGGAATGTGAAGAAAACGAGCGACGAACCCAAACACCGCCGTAGTCAAAGAAACCTGCAACATCTGCCGGAATATATCCAACCCAAACGCCGCGATAATGACAGCTGCAACATTTACGCCTCCTGCTCCCAATTGTATGCTTTGGAAGCAAAGAAGCGTAAGGATGCTGAAGAGCGATGCATACCACGGAATCAATCTATCTATAATGTGTCCGACGACCGGCCCCATAGCTACGCCAGCCATCCCCACAAGCCCAAAGAGTCCAATGACCAACCTGGGAATGAAATACTTCAGATGTAATTTTGTATACGAAAAGACTCAACTCACGTCGAGTAATTATATGGTGGGCCCCCAAGCAAAAACGTTAAAGTAACCCAGAAATTGCTGAAGCAAGCGCTTGAAGCCATGTTGATGAGACACGCCTGTATCAAGATCGGTTCCGTAACGGCGAACTTTCCCATAGTCCACAAAATGCGGAAGTAGGTCAGATCTGTATTTTTCGATGGGTAATCCGGCAGCATGAGGTAACTCCCCATTAGCACGAGACTTTGTACCCCTATCGAGAAATAATAGACGACCCGCCACGACGCGAATTCTGCGATGATGCCAGCGAGGACGCGAGCTATTAATATTCCGAAGAGGAGTCCGGAAAGTACGACTGAAATGGCAGATGCACGGCGTTCCACGGGAGCTAAATCCGCTGCGAGTGGGAGAAGGATTTGGGGAGTGACTGAGACGACGCCGACTAGGTAGGAGAGAGCTTCAAAAGCGACAAGACTTTTTGTTATTGCGAGGCCGATTGTCAATGTTGTTGAAAGTGTCATTATGCAGAGAATAAGCTGTCTTCGTCGAACCAAGTCACCAAGAGGAGATATCAGAACAAGTCCTGTTGCGTATCTGGTTACAGTTTAGCTTATCAGACGCGTCGACTGGAAAATGATCTTACCCAGCCTGAACGAGAGTGGGTATTCTGCGAAAGGCATGAAGGTCATCTTTAAATGAAAAGCGCGATGCCTTTACCTTGAGACCTCGCTGTACGTAACGTTGAAAGATTTTGAAAGTTGGACTTGATGCAATATCGAGACGTCAACACCCTCTCCAGGAGGAAAAGGATATAGCACTCACTTAACAGAGGTTGACAGTAATATAAATTTGCGACAACTAGAGTACGGCACCATCAGCACCACATACAAAACGATGCATGAATCGTACTCACCAAACGTACTCGCGAAACCAAACGCGATGTTTAAAGCAATTCCAAAGTGAAATGGTTTGGAAGAATCGTAGCGTAGCCGCTTAGGTATGGGTATCAAGCCAAAATCTTTCGTGATGATTTCGTCTGCATCGGTTGCAATGTTCTGCAATGGCTTTTCGGAGTTGAGAACAGCCCCTGAAGGAATTGCAGCTGTATCAGTTATGGTCGCACTTTGCAAGCTGGAGTGGGACATCGTGATGGACGTGAAAAAGCCAAAAGGCGGTCATGAAACGATGGAAGATGGAGTCAGATGGGTATTTATAAAAAGATGAAGGCATATCCATTTGGTGACGGCGATTCATAAGCTGCCGGAACCGCTGCCGCTTGCCATCCCCGTGATCAAGGTTCAAGAGAAAAACTTGACTTACGCGGACTCTACCCTACTTTACCGCGGCAAAACTTTAGAAAGAGGCAAGGCCGGGGATGACAAACTCAAAAACGTCACCGATTCTTCACGATGGCAGTCTCGAACGTTTGAGAAATTTTGTGATCTGTTGAATCATCTTGGCCAACAACTTTGCTTCTTCACTGTTTGTCCGGAGACTCGGAACGCGAACCTTTCGTTGCGGAAGCACTCAGTATCTCGACTGAACAAGGGGATGAAAGGCTGGTCATCCTTCAGTCAAAACTATGATATATGATACCTCAGGCCTCAGGTACCATCACAATCTGGAACTCACAAAAACTTGAAGCTTGAAGCGCAAGCCACGTTTTCTGAGTCATTTCATGGTCCTGGGGTATGTATGATATCTCAGCACTTCCTCTTCCATCGGATCAACGAGCTTCAAGTCTTTCATCGGAACCCATGGTGTGGCTGTTCACGTCACGATTAAAACGCAATGAAATCTTTGCCGACGCGCCACAGCATGCGAGGCGCTGTTTCTGACAAAAATAACCAGGTATTCAAGCTCGACGGTATGAACGCTTCGAACGCCAGGGGCGCCTCGTGTGCTTCTTGGGCCATGTTGAGTTTTGTGGGCGTAGTGGTGAAGGGAGACAGTGAAAACATCCGATTCGCTGAGCGTCGATGACGGAAAAAGAAACGTCACGTGGGAACCACGGTTGTTGCCAGAGCCTAACTCCTCGACGCTGACTACAACACAACTTGCATTTCCTTGAAGGCATACCGACACAAAATGTGCATATTTTTTATTCTCGATAAGAACCCGAGCAAGATAAGGCGCATTTTGACGTGTTCAATGTAGAACTCCAGGGCTCCACAGGCTCCTGAAATGCTTCTGATGATACGTAAAACACATTGGCTCCGTGTGCTGGCTGGATAGACCCTTTCCCGCCAAATGTGCACCCAGTCCAGGACACGCCAGCTGGAAGTGGTACATGAATTTCAGGTGGTGAGTTCTATTGTCACTGCTCGTATGGAGGGGATGGAGAGTTTCGACGTCTTGCTTCTGAACCCTTCATCAAGGATTTGTTTCTCATTTGAGTACCGGGATCGGTGCCGGTTTACCTCCACACGACCGGAGGGTTAGGTAGTAGGAACCTGCCCCTCATAATGCCTTGTGACATTTCACTATCTTCATCTATGAAATCGATGTGCAGGGCGCTTGTGAACCTGCTCAGTTGGAGAACATCAATCATTGAAAGCGTACGTCGCTTCTCGTCTCACCTCCAACGCTATTTCCACTCATGTATTTGCCCAAACGACCAGATGAAAAATCTTCGGGTTGCGATGTTGTTTCCACAGACGCCATTGCTGAAGTCAATCAGCAGACGACCGAGTTCTACTTCCTCCCCATCCCATCTCGCCTTCGTTACGACCCGGAGAACCCCTTCAGGTTTAGCTACAAAATGCTTGTTTCGTACGCGATCGTAGGCTTCATAAGTAAGTGAACCAAATGTCAACGCAAGGTTTCCGTTAAAGCCATGTCCTAGTTACAGCCAATCTCTACTACTGTCAACCTCTGCTGAGCAAGTTGTTCAGCATGTATCCAATCTACGTAGCCTCACATGATTTTAGTTCAAATGTCTAAGTCATTCCAAGTGTCATATGAGGGTGTTTCAAGGTCAGTCATTGTATCTTCAGCTATTTCAGTGCCGACACTAACGACTTGACTAAAGGATTCCGACATTCGTACAAGCTGGGTGCAGCCATTCTATCTCGCCTAATTTCTCACAAATTCGCTAATCGCGTGCGCAGGCATGCTTCAGGCCTCCTTTTAATCTGTCCCTTGGGTGACCTCGTTCACCGACGCCAACTCATCCTCGCCCTGCTTCTCATGACCACTTTCTTGACCCTCGGCCTCGCGGTGACCTCCAACCTGCATCTTTTCGAAGCCCTTTCATTCCTATCTGCGGCGACTTCCCTGACCCCACAAATTCTTGTCCCACTGGCTGCGGATCTTGCACCTCCGGCGCAGAGCGGATTCGCATTCTCAATCGTCCTGACAGGAATAATGCTTGGCGTTCTTTTGGGACGCGTGATGGCTGGTCTCATTGCTCAATTCCTGGCCTGGCGCGTAGTTTACTATACCTCCTTCGGCCTCCAATGTCTTATTCTTGTCTGCATCTATCTTTTTTTCCCGGATTACCCACCACACCGAGCGAACAACGAGTTGGCATACTGGGAGGTCTTTTGGACAATGGGAAAATATATTGTAACTGAGCCCCTCGTCATGCAAATTGTTATCATTAACCTTGGGGCGGCCGCCTGTTTCGCGAATTATTGGGTCACGCTCACCTTTCTTCTTGGGGGTGCACCATACTTCTATTCCACGCAAGTACAGATTTCCTCTACCTCTGGATCGGCTATTGATTTTTTTTTTTCAGGCTTGTTATAGGACTTTTCGGACTCCTTGGCATGGCTGGGGTAATGGCTGGACCTATTTGCGGCCGCATTGTTGATAAAATGGGACCTTGGCACGCGCTTCTGGCCGCTACATTCATGCTGCTGCTTTTCCAAGCAGTGCACACTGGGGCCGCCGGAATTCATATTTCAGCTGTGATTATTTCGTGCTTCGGGTCAGATTTATTCCAGCAGATACAAAACGTTGCGCTTCCAAATTTGATTTTTAGGTGAGCGTTCAGGACTCTTCGAACTAACTTTCCCCCGTTAAAATATCATTTATAGCGTCTCATCTTCCGCCGCCTCACGACTAAACGCTATTTATATGATCTCGGTGGGTAGTATCTTACCCAATATCTCTAAATTTGAAGTGACTTGCCTCGTAGTACTATGTTGGTCAGATGATCGGAACTTCGGTTGGCACGAAGGTATTTGTCCGGTATGGCTGGCGTGCATCTGCGGCGCTTGGAATGGCGTGGTACGCAATGCAAATCGTCGTGATCCTAATAAGAGGACCAAATTGCCGACGATACATTTGGTTTGGCTATGAGGGGGGAACACGGTTTAGAGGGAGGCAGCAGACCGTGGATTTCGCTGGGGACCATTCAACTATTGCCTCTGAGTCGGAGGAGACTCAATGCTGAACCCGCCACGCCGATTGTGCAAGCCTTGAAAATTTAATCACAATTCCAGTTCGACACTAATTAATTCCTCCGAGCTCAATTCGAAGTTTTCAAAGTAGGCATTCATCAGGTGTCCACGTCCTCGAGGTTGAAAAAAATTGAGCTTTGCACTTGTTATTTTGCAACCGCAAGCATCAACGTTACCCTTCCCTTGCTCAGCAGTTGGCCCTACTTTGGACCTACTGTCAAGCTTCATATGTGTACGCATTCGGACCGACTCCCTCTGATGTCGGCTCATGTCGGCTGTGAGTTTGGCACGTACCAGGTGTCACCGAGTCACTTATTGTCAATCAACCGGAACCCTTCAGCCACTCTTCAGCCACGTTCAAAAAAAGTTCCAAAGTTTGGCACTCACAAGACTTGCCGATATACGGCTACCCTCTAATGAATTCCGGTCATCAGACATCGGCAAACAATTCTCTCTGTGTTCTAGAAAGAAAAGTGAAACTTATCTATGAAATCGATGGGAGCCCCAGCGTTTGAGCCGACAACCCGATTTCAGAGGTACTCTTGAGCTTGGTAGCTGCTGTCGCACCCTCTAACCAATCCCACTAATGGCGTCTTCTCAGCTAGTCTCTTCTTTGCAAGAAACCGATGAGAAGTCTCGTGCCTCTGACATCGCCGATCCTCGACCGACGAAAGAATTCTACATCCTCCCAATCCCAACGCGCCTGCGTTACAATCCAGAACTTCCGTTCAAGTTTACCTATGGGATAGCAGTCGCTTATGCTGTTGTGGGTACCCTTAGTGGGTACAAAAGCACCTTGTGCAACGTTTTAGACGCTCATCAGCTTCTCACTGTCAGTCACAGCAAATTTGTATTATTGCCAACCATTGCTCAGTAAGTAGCCGATTCCTGGATAATCACAATATGTTATCTGATTATGCTTGTAGTCGAAATGTCGAAATCTTTCCATGTATCATATGATGGTGTCGCAAGGTCAGTTCTCCTTCTGCGGCAGTACAATGCTAGTATTCCTGAAGAAAAGCTTCCAGAATTCCAACTTTTTTACAAGCCGGGTGCGTCTCCTCTTCACCATCATAACTTCCCTTCATTTAATTCGCTCGGCAGTTACGCAGTAGGCATTCTCCTAATTTGCCCGCTCGGGGACCTCCTTCATAGACGGCAATTGACCTTACTCCTCGTCCTGGCATCCACGCTCCTGACATTCGGGCTCACACAAGCGTTGAATCTCGTGCTCTTCGAATCGTTCACCTTTCTCGCAGGATTAACAAATGTCTCTTCACAAATTCTTATTCCCCTCGTCGCGGAAATAGCGCCACCTTCTCAACGATCATTTGCTTATTCCATCGTACTCACTGGAATGCTCCTCGGAATCCTTCTAGCACGCATCGTTGCAGGGATCGTTGGCCAATTCGTTGCATGGCGCATGGTTTATTATACAATGTTTGGGCTCCAATGCCTTGTCGTCCTGTTCTTGTACTTCTTCCTTCCAGATTATCCACCTAAACCGGAAAACAAAGGGTTGACATACGGGAGGATATTTTGGACGATGGCGAAGTACGCGGTAACGGAGCCCGTCGTTATTCAGGTCATCGTAATCACTATCGGGACGAGCGCGGCTTTCTCCAGCTATTGGGTGACTATGACTTTCCTGCTCGGGGGAAAGCCTTATTATTATTCTACGTGAGTAAAACCTTACACCTTACTCATGTGCATCCCCTGATTTTTTTTTTCCCTTTTGGATAAGACTGGGGATAGGCCTGTTCGGGATCGTGGGTTTAGCTGGGGTGATAGCGGGACCGCTGAGTGGAAGAATCGTGGACCGCATCATGCCCTGGTATGCGATCCTGATCTCCACCTTCCTTATGCTTCTCTTTCAAGCGGTCCACACCGCTGCTGGCGGTATTCATATATCTGCCGTGATAATATCGAGTTTTGGATTGGACTTCCTGAAGCAAATTCAAAACGTTGGGTTGCTGATGTCGATGTTCAGGTATGCATGTCTCATACCCTGTCAACGCTAAAATATGTTTTGAAGATCTTATTCCGGTCCAGCGTATCTCTCTCTGCGGGGTCTCGTTTAAACGCGCTTTTTGTACTCTCGGTATGTTTTCGTTTTACTATAAATTCTATCCTCACAACTAACACATTTTTTCCCTCCATTAGTTTTACGTCGGTCAAATCATGGGAACCTCTGTGGGTACAATGGTATTCGTTCGATACGGTTGGCGCGCCTCCTCAGCGCTTGGAATGGGCTGGTACGCGATGCAAATACTCGTGCTTTTAGCGAGAGGTCCGCATTGCAAAAGGTATACCTGGGTCGGGTATGAAGGAGGTGCAAGTTTATGGAGAATGAGTTGAGTCAAGAGACTGTGAATGAGAACAAGTCTTCCTGAGGCATACTTACAGGGACTGGGAAGAATAGCACTTGATTGTATTTGCCCCCAATAAAGACAAACACTGGACAAACAACTTGCAAAGAACCGAGGCACCAGTGGATTTGACACACTCCGGAATTCTCCGGTCTTCTCCCTCGTTTAGCGTTGGCGGGAACTATATGGCAGAATTTCAATTTCCGACGGCTCAAATCATCGATCGGAAGTCCGCACTATGATGCATGAAGGTCGGATTTCTCTCTGTATATGCCACACTCTCGTAAATGATTGCGACTTATCATCATATTCGTGGCCCATTGTTACATTTTGTCTTCTGTCGCCACATTTATTATACACCAGAATTATCTACTTATGTCGTTATGGTCCTCCTCGCAAGATTTGAAGTCTTTTAATTGGTGCGTTTTTAGTCTGTCTACTCTCTTCGAAGTCTTCTTCAGAGTCTTGTACTGAAATTATTCTTGCTTAGTTCAAGTTCAGTCGCTCTCCCTCCTTCAACGCGCTGTCTGCGAAACCCAGAGCACCCTTTCAAATACCGACTCGAGGACCTCTGCATCTCGGTCTCCGCTGTTGACGTGGGGCCACTTCGCCCGTGTTTCTCTCGCTGTCCACCTCCTCGCCGCCTGGGGGAAAACACTCTGCCTCTGCCGTGCCTACGGCTTTGCCGCCATTATCACCTGCATTTGTTTCGAGTGCCTTTTCTTCGCAATTCTGGCCATCCCTCTCTCTTGTTTGGCAGGCATCCCCTCGAGCTTCCTCCGCGCTTTCTGTCTCGTAATATATGTGAGTGGATCTTCTTTGGATCCTTTTTCAACTTTTCTCACCTTCCACTCCGTTTTGAAGACGTCGCACACGCCTTTGTCATTCGTCCCTTTGGCCTCCCCGACTTCTTTCAGGTCTGCGTGCACCTTCCTCCTCCGTATCTGGTCTGTTGCGCCTTACTGGCGTCATCTCAGCACCCCCCAGTCTTCTGGTGAGAGGACCAGTCTGCAATCTGCCAGTTCACTTGCGAAATTTGCTGGACTGTGTCCTGCTCGCCTCGCCTGACGCTTTGGTTTAGCCGAGTGCCAGCGAGCGAGTCGCTGCCGACTTCCCAGCAAGCTCTGACAGGCTTTCGCGAATACATCGATCAGATATCAAGCACAACTATTTTACTTTTGTTGTTGGAAATGGTACGCAGATGTTTTTTCATCCTTCGAGCTGCTTGATGACTAACCTACCCACTTTGCAGTAATCTCGCGGCGGCTGTGGCTATCGCACGCAAGGGGCCGCGGTGCCAGCTTTATGTTCTGGGCCCGCCTTGTACACGTTTTGTAGTATACGTGCAGAGGAACAGGTAGAGAACAAACTTTTTTACTACCAACTTGGAACAGTAAGGTCAATATGTGGCACAGATTTAAATTGACTTATGCTACATTGAATGTGGACTCCATCAATTCAAATATTTTCCAACCACCTAAAAAATCGTCAAGCGGCGGCTCTCCAATAAGTCCATATGCCCTTTGGGCAGCGACTTCAAACTCATCGTTAACCCAACGCATCGACTCCTTGCGTGAAACGGGAATTTGGTTACGAAGCGCGTCAATTACAACTCGGTCGACGACGATTCCGCATTGTTGGGCCGGGAGATCTGGGACTGTGAAAGCGTGCCTTGGCGTCGATCCTGACATGTTTGGTTTCTCATGCTGCGCCCGAATCTTGTGATTATTCCAATATTCAACAAAATTGTCGAGTTGTTTCTGCAGAATTTTGGGCCATAACCAGTAGAACAGTTTTCTGGTATACTGATTCAATTTTTATAAGAACGAGACGAGAATAGAGAACATACGGATGGAGGGGATTATTAGGCTTATAAATTCCGCATTGGAATCCACTGCGAATAGTTGTTGAAATCAAATCAGCAAGCGTCAATTCTTCGTGATCAAGAGAAACAGGGGAGTAAGATTTCCGGTTGTCTCTGGAGGTGACAGAGGCAAACGGATGAGTAACTACGATACAAGCTCTCCTATATATACTGTAGAGTATGAAATAAATGGGAATACAGATGAAATGTCCGGAAAAACAATAAATGTACCTTAATCCGGGTATCGGGCGCATTGCACATGCTCGCACAGCTCCCGGAATTCCAACACACTCCCTCGAGCAAAGCAATGCACCAAAGAGCAATGAGAACACTCCCTGAAACGAAGTGGTCTCCAAAAATGCGAAATATAAAACAATAAAAATAAAATGGGAGAGCACTCCCTCAAACCAAGATATCTCCTGATCTCCAAGTTGAACGTCCAGTCAATGGTCCATGCGTCAAAAGGCTCCGACAAGTGAATGAAGGCGATAGGAACGACGACCAGCAAGGGGGGAAGCAAATAAAAAACAAATCCGGGATCGGTGAACATAGGCGGCTGCAGAAATCGGCTCCAGCAATCAAAATGGGCAGCGGTCAGCGTCGTCGACAAGGGTAATCGTGTGCACACGGCGCGGTGTTTGAGCATCCACATCTGAAATAAAAACTCCTCGGAAATCCTCCAAATCCTCTCTAACTCCTCTAAATCCTTCAAAATGTGCCTCCAAACCTGAGGACTTCAAACAGGCGGCAATTCTCAACGGCGGCCTTCCTTCCTTATCCTGTACTGATCTTCAACAACGGCAAAGCGGTGCGCCAAACTCGATGGCGGCTTTTCTTCTTCGTCCTGTGCTGATCTTCGACAGCGGTGAAACGGTGCACCAATCTCAACGGCGGCTTTTCTTCGTCGTGGCAGCTGATCATCGACAGCGCCAAATACTAGTAGTGCACCGATCTCGACGGCGGCTTCCTTCTGCAAGTTTAGGGGCGTTGCGGCCCTCTTCTGCAGGTTTCATGTCTGTGCAGACATCTTCTGCCTCGGAAACGCACGCGAGGACTTTCTTCGGCCTCCAGCGCCAAGCGCGAGGACTTCAACGGTGCGCTCCGAGCAAGCGGCTTTTCTTCGGCGCTTCGAAATCAGCGCGTGACTGTCAGAGAGTGACGACGAGTAACATCAAGCGCCGAGTCTTCAGCTGCGGCGAACTGAGAGGTCGAGGGAACGGGTTACGACGGCGGCGAGGGAACGAAACCAGAAAGCGACGCGACGGGGGTGTATGTGAGACTGACCCACCCCGAGAGGACAGGTATCCGTTTGTGTTGAAATCAAATCAGCAAGCGTCAATTCTTCGTGATCAAGAGAAACAGGGGAGTAAGATTTCCGGTTGTCTCTGGAGGTGACAGAGGCAAACGGATGAGTAACTACGATACAAGCTCTCCTATATATACTGTAGAGTATGAAATAAATGGGAATACAGATGAAATGTCCGGAAAAACAATAAATGTACCTTAATCCGGGTATCGGGCGCATTGCACATGCTCGCACAGCTCCCGGAATTCCAACAATAGTATCCTTGATGTTTTGGCCGAATGTTTGCCGAAACCAATGCCACAGTCCCTCGATTGGCGTGTTGTGTACACTTCTCATTTGTAATACTGGTGGGAATTCATTTTCGTCAAGGTCTGGGGCATACGTTACAGAGGATATACCAACAGCATCACACTCCCCGAAAGGAGAAGAGGAAGATCTACAACCGATCTACGACACTGTGTCGTAGATGAGGCTCAGCTGCGACACACTCCACACACTGACTTTACAGCGTGACGATGGGCCATGCGTCACCCATCACATGTCACACTTTCCTCCTTTCCTCATCACCCCCACCATCGTCGACCATCCCCTCGCGTCACCCCACATCCAGCACACCCTATCTCAGTAGGCACGACAATGGCGCATAGCGTGTAGGGAAAGGGATGCACCCAGGTGAGTACCCCTGCCAGCTTATCCAGCTAATCGACTACCACATCACCAGGTCAGTGAGCGCCACCCAGGACCGTGAACGCCATGAAAACGGCCTTGATACATCGCCAAACGCCGTGAGTATCCAACACCTGTCCGTCGACGGACAACAGACGCGAACACGAATGCAAACGGACGCCAAAAACTGCGAAAACCATCCCGAACACCAAAACGATCAAAACGTCGGCCAAGACACCCGCGAATGTGGGCAGCCCACCCCACCTCTAAAATTGCCCCTCCCCTTGTCGTTGTCGAGGGATGTGGGTGTACAGAAAACCTCGAAGCAAGAACACAGAGCCAACGCGAAGACCGCTCGCAGCTCCACCATCGACCCACGATACGGGAACATCGACGGCTAGACACACCCACAAACCAGCCCACCACAAACGACAGGGGAATTATAGATGGCGAGGATCGGGTGGGAACTCAGTAGCATATGCGCGTTCACCGTGGAAGTAGGGGTCTCCAACCACTCTCGAGGAGTGGCTACGTCCTCCATCATCACCGCTCTCATAATGTACATACTAGTGTCCTTTCCTGTATCATAGCTTGCTCTATATAAATTTTACACTGCTCATTCCTTGAATACAGAAAGCGTTCGAGAACTTAGTAAATACTCCTATACATCATAGGACTTGATTCTTTCTGACTTAGAATAAAATTTGAACCAGAAGGTCCACATCTAGGTGTCTCACATGTATACTTGTTGACACATTACACATGAATTAGCGACACATTACACATGAGTTAGCGACACATTACACATGAGTTAGCGACGCACTACACTTGAATATGTCGTTTATTTACGCAATGTGTCGCTTACTGATGCAATGTGTCGCTGTCCCGATTTGGGGAGTGTGACGATGTTGGTACGCCCTGTACGTTACACTAACAATATATTTCAGATGGGGAACATTCAGGGTCCTATTTCAGCGAAGTTTTGTTCACCGTAATCCCGTTTGATTAACGTATAACACTCCAGTCTCGCTACCTTTATCCGTAACGAGGGTGATGGGAACGGCTGTAGGGTTGTGTAATTAGAACCCCAAAAACATAACTGTAACATCAGGAGGCACTGACTTGGGTCAGTAGTTACAAATACTCTTGGTATCCTGGGTAGCTGGGTACACAAGTCCCCTAGTGCATAGTTACTGTAGTCATCCTACCAATCTCAGTAGCACCAGTAGTTTCCTGAATTCGGTACATAGCTCTACATTGTATGTGTTGCTCTGTGTCTACCGAAGCTACCAGGTGAACCAGGGCTATGTAACAAAGTCTAATCATACGTTGTTGGCGTTGTTTCCGATCTACAAAGGCTACTGGTTCAGGATACTCAATAAAAAGCTGGCCATTTTTTTGAACCAAAATGGCAGTAATAATCAGAAAGCATCGTTATATGAGACAGGATATATACACATTCAAGCTACTAGCCTAATCATGAGCAGAAGGAAGGGTGTACCACATCTACTACCTGGTGACAAGGAGAGCAAGGGGTGGGGTAGGGGGAGGGTGAGTACTGGTGTGAGAGAGATAAGGAAAGTAAGCACTGCCTGGAGATGGGGAGAGAAAGTGGGAATGGAATGAGGTGGTGTGAGTACAACGAACGCCGATAAGAGATGAGGAAAGCTGATCAAAGAAGAGGAAAGTACACACTGCCTCGAGATGAGGCGAGAAAGGGGGAAGGAGGGGGGGAGTACAACAAACTCCAACAAGAGACAATGCCTGGAGATGAGGAGAGGAAGGGAAAGGTTAATATGGCAAAGACAGATGAGGGAGGATGAAAGTACACACAGAGATGCTACACATGCTTGAGGGTAGGTGGTCACCAGTCAGCACTGCCTGGACGAGAAGGCAAAGGGGGTTTGAGTACAGCAGACATGGACAAAGACAGATGAAAGCATGCACAAATTCAAAACAAGGAGAGAAAGGGGGGTGAGTGTGAGTATGGCCAATACACGCACTGACTAGAGATGAGCAAACAAAGAGGATTGTGAGTGTGGAGAATGTGGACGAAGAAGGAAAGGATGAACTGACTTGAGATGAAGAGGACTTGGATGGAAAGACTTACGAGTTGGCGATGTGGTGGGGGCAAGGAAGGAAGAACGTGTAGAGAAATTCAAAAATCAACGTTGTCACATGGTGTCGGAGTTTGAACGGACTTCAACGAATTGTCGAAGTTGTTCAACACCAGCACGTCAACCACTTCCTCACCAGCATCCTCTCATCGCCTGGGCCTCGCTGTCAGCAGCCCCACTGGCAGATGCATTGCCTTGGTGGTCGTCACATGTAGTGTTTGAAAGTCCGGTTCGGTCCGGTTTTTTGATGCCCAGGGGCGTTAACCGTAACCGTAACCGGTCTGCCTTTTCCCCAGAAGTCAAAAGACCAGACCGGACCGCAAAAAGACCGCAGACCGCGGTTTTTTGCGGTCTATAGACCGGTTTCGGTCTGCATCGGTTTTAACTGGTTTATGACCGGTCTTTAGGCCAATATTTTAAAATTATGAATCGGTAAATTTATTAACATCTCTAATAGCTTCAAAACGAGCCCAAGAACGTTAAATTCCATTAGGAATTGGTGCTTCTATAAAATAAGTCTGGTACATCTATTATTCCCAAAAGTAATTTACATTTTAATTCATATCTCTCTCGTTTTTTTACCAAATCGTACGTTCTTGGGTGCGTTTTAAAGGGTATTTAAGGGGCTACAAAAGACCGGTCCAAACCGGTCAAGACCGGTTCACGTTAACCGGTCTTTTTGCGGTCTTTACATTTCAAAAATAAAAGACCGTAACCGCAGGTCCGGTCTTTTGCGGTCTTGGTCCGGTCTGGTTACGGTCTTTTTCCAGTCACGAGACCGGACTTCCAAACACTAGTCACATGGCCAACCTCTCTTCATGCTGACAGATTTACCTGCAACACAGTCAGCGCATTGCTCATCTCACAGCCGACCAACATACAACCTCTCCTCCGATTCTCCTCCATTTTCCTCCTCCGACACACCCAAAACAATCACTGTAACTGCTCACTCTCCCTGCTCATCCTTTCACTAGTGTTTGAAAGTCCGGTTCGGTCCGGTTTTTTGATGCCCAGGGGCGTTAACCGTAACCGTAACCGGTCTGCCTTTTCCCCAGAAGTCAAAAGACCAGACCGGACCGCAAAAAGACCGCAGACCGCGGTTTTTTGTGGTCTATAGACCGGTTTCGGTCTGCATCGGTTTTAACCGGTTTATGACCGGTCTTTAGGCCAATATTTTAAATTTGTGAATCGGTAAATTTATTAACATCTCTATTAGCTTCAAAACGAGTCCAAGAACGTCAAATTCCGTTAGGAATTGGTGTTTCTATAAAATAAGTCTGATACATCTATTATTCCCAAAAGTAATTTACATTTTAATTCATATCTCTCTCGTTTTTTTACCAAATCGTACGTTCTTGGGTGCGTTTTAAAGGGTATTTAAGGGGTTACAAAATACCGGTCCAAACCGGTCAAGACCGGTTCACATTAACCGGTTTTTTTGCGGTCTTTACATCTCAAAAATAAAAGACCGTAACCGCAGGTCCGGTCTTTTGCGGTCTTGGTCCGGTCTGGTTATGGTCTTTTTCCGGTCACGAGACCGGACTTCCAAACACTACCTTTCACCTTTTCCCCTCTCAACCCAACCCATCCCGAGCCTACTGTTCTTCGTCTTCCTCACCTTCCAATCACCTCCTGCACACCCACTCCCTCGTTCCTCTCTTTCGCACTATTCAACCACTAATGACCTTCTTTCAGCACTATCACAGATGGTTTCTTTCATTACGGACGTTCTCGGATGTATAGCATACACCTAGCACTGGTAACCTATTTACTTCATTCTTTGTCATGCACCTTTATTCGGAAATTTCAGTTTCCTTCTCTCAACTACTACTGATTGTTTGGTTGAGTTGTCTAATCTACCGAAGCTACAGGTCTTTGGTGAAAGGATATTGGGGCTACTGACAGTTGCCGGACAGATACTGGGGAAATGTACACTCAAAGGCCAACTACCTAGACACATTGTGGCTACTGCGTGCTATGGAGAAGAACCAAAATGTACCAGTGCAACAGATTTTAGTGAGAAACTACGTATAAATTTACTGTTTCCTGATGAAGGCGAGAAACGACTCACTGAGAATGTTTTCAACACAATCAAGGTGGATGTGCCCAACTGTAGTAGCGAGTCGATTGTTTGGGACAACAACGAGGTGAAGAACATATGAGGACCATTGGTCCTTGATCCCATAGATACCCAAGCCTACACCACCCATATCGAGGCCTTGAGCATTCAATTTATCGTGACCATTGGCGTGGTGCTGGTGATTAGGTCCGAGTGCTGAAAGGGTAGATCGATGAATTATTGACACCAGGAAAGCGACGAAGAAGGCCCTCGGGTGCATAATTAGCCAGCACATTTCGAATGAAGTCCCTAAATCCATTGAACACTTCAATTCTGTACGATTATAAGAATCAAAAGGATGTTACCGTGGAAGAGGCATCCCTTGATTGCTAAGAAGGGTGCCAATGGTCCCGACCCCACGTCCTTGTGAAGGATCGTTTGCGACGTTTTCCAGAACTGCTTGTGTAGCAATATCAGCGGGGGGCAGCCGCCGAACACTTGGTACATTGAATTTTTGCGACAACTTGTACAACGTTGGAGCTCTATGAAAATATTAGTATAGTAGAAAAGTGCAGATGTGGGAAAACATACTTGATTACAAGGTTATGTTCAGCTTCTAGCCTTGCGAGACGTTGTGCGGTTGTGAGTTTTTCTTTTGCATATTGAAATAAGGATGCCTTGAGTGTCTCGTCATCAGGATCTTGAGATTTGTCAGTATCGAGGAAGAACAAGTCAAGGGAGTGAGCAGATTGAAGAACGAACAATTCTTGACGCCATGGCCGTTGATTCCTGTTGGGTTGTTGTTGCTCATTTGAGGCAACTTTGGGGTGGTGCACTTCAAAATCCTGCAGCGAAAGCTTTTATAGACAAGCCCTCAAGGGAAAAAATAAATTCTTTATTCAATGAACATCGCACAGATGAAGATGGCTACCCAAGAAGAGCGAGAAAAATGAGGGTGATGATGCAGGGATGTTGGCTGCATCACATTGGAGACACAAAAGAAACAAGAAACACCTCATTCCCGACACCTCATTCAGGAGTCTCTTCTTCCTCGGAGCTCCGGATTTCCTTTTCCAACAGCGGGACAAGTTTTAGGCCCCAGCAAATGGGATTGCATACGTGTTGACTGGTGAATGTGTTGATGCCTTCTGGCCCATGGTCTCCAATTCCAGAGTCTCTTTAGGTTGCAATTGTATTAGTTAGAGTTTGAGGCTGAGTATGGAGTGGTGTACGTACAACTGGAGGGAGTGAGACATTGGATCGAAAAGGATAAGCGTGTTGACACCTTGAATCGTCATCGGGGAACCTACAAATTTTATTGGATAACCGGATGTTAGTCTTGTATGTGCGGATATGAAGCTGTGAGATGACCTTGGATGTCCGCAAGAACTAGCTCTTTTCTGCTGTATTCATATAGAAAGTGGGCGAACACGGACAGTGTCTGTCCAAGTTTGTCTTGGCGATTTGGATGAACCAGTGTTCCGCTGTACTTCCGAACAGCCTTGGTGCGACAATGCTCTACAAGCCAGACAGCAGAGTCATCTTCAAAAGAAGGAAGTGATGAAGCTGGAGAGGGTGTGCCAATTTCGCGAACAAGAAAACATTCAGAAACAATGATACCTGAATCAGAACGGGTGAGTTGTCGAAAAGGACAATGAAATGATAGCCTACCTGATGAGAATTCTACACTGTGTTCCTTGGCAAGAGCTTTAAATTTATGAAGGAACCACCCAACCATTTTCAAACGAATCAGCTCATTCTCTAGATTAGCTGTATTCTCCTCCGCCATCACTTCTCTACCAGAACCAACGTCAAAGAATCTCTTTGCTACATATAGGTCAGAACCAATCGACAACTGAGAAATTCATCAGTATTACAAAAGCAAAAAAGTATATCAATAAAGGATACCTTGTACACATTTTTGGTGGCACCATGCGCAAAAATTTCCTTCCCAAGGATGCCGCCGCATGCCGCCAGATTGTCCGGCCACACTATCTTGACCTCACCAGTCTCTGCATTACACGTCGTAACAGCTTTCTTAAGCTGAACAACAGATGCATCGATGGCCACATAGGTGTGATTTGTTCGAACAAATGTTGATTCGAGCGCACCACCTAAATAAATGATGAGGAGTACACATCGATGATAGAGGTAAGACAAACCTGCATCACAAGTCGAAGGGCGCTTGTAAAGTGGTACATCGTTAGCCTCCATAGTAGTTGCACTTCTCTTTCGAACGGAAGTGCCAATGCTTGTAGATGGCAATCCGAGAGTGCTGTGATTGAGTCTGGCACATCATCGAATCATGAACTAAGAATGTGAGATTGATACAATCAAGTTTATTGATTACAAAAAAACATACCTTAGGCTGGTCAATGTATAACTCGAGAGCCATGAATAGTGGCGGTTGTGCGCCGGCTGCTTTTTTGGTGCCAGAAGTGGGAGCGGCGTAAAACTGTGCCATTTCACCTGTAAGATATGTTTTATATACCTCCCCTACAGTTTTATTTTCATCCCCCGGATGAAATAGCTTGTTCCCTGTCCAACGAAACTCAACCTCCTCACTAAAACAGATGAGAATGTTAGATCATTGAGAAAATGTGTTGAACGTATGGAATGAGCTCCATCCCTTTGTCATTTGCCCAGCCTACATTTAGGGTGGCTAAATATTCATCGAGAACCTCTGCCTGATTGAAATGGGTGTTTAAGAATACACACAAGAAATAAGACCTACCTGACAGGTACACATCTTGAGACCATGGTTTTCCCCACTGACCGAAGGTGGGATCTGTATTCTTCTGGTCTTTCAACGATGCGCTCTTGATGCGACACTGAGCCGTGATGAACACCTTGTTCTCTGTCATTGCAGCCATGCTATTCTTAGCGGCCGTCAATCCAGCCGTTGTATGGAGCTGCTGAGCTACGGGTTGCTTCCTCAAGTGAGCATCCATTGCATGAGATCGGGCAGCATGCGATACCTCGACGGTGTTCTGAATGAGAGTCTGAGTATCTAGCCAACAAAACAATTTATTACAACGATCGTGAAGAGATGCGTTGACTTACGTGGTGGGTCGACAACAGAAAGGTTAGGCGCCATTCCACTAACACAACGTCCACACTTGGAGGTGTCGAGATGTTTCCAAGCGATTCCACAAGATTCGCACTGTTTGAAGCCCTAATTAAAAATACAAAAGTCATAATTAATGTGTGGCTCTGATGCAACATATGTCAGATTAAAACATACCTTCCACTGGTCGTACTTGGGTGATCCTTACATGAGGCTCGCGAGCTTGGTGCACTTCGCACAAAGGCCAGGCGATGATTTGTTCGGAAAAGAACGACCACAGCCGTCACCAGTGTCTGTGCCACAGAAATCCATTGAGCAAGAATCACGGTTTGGGTAGAGTCTGATGTATCGTTGGGAGTCAGGAAAGCGACAAGACTGCAAATTTGCCAGTTTCAACACACTCCTTTTATACCAGTCATGGGCTGGTGTTCTCCCAGATGCATGGGCTGGCGAGAGTGATCTATTCAACATGTTCGGTCTGGGCGCTGGTTGCCCAGACCATTGATGTTCCAACATTCTATCCATTGAGGCCTCGATATTCAAGACACCGTGGAGGATCAAGTAAAGAACACTTAATAAAAAAAATGAGCAAGAACTTCCACCTGTTAAGTGTGTCATGCATGTGCATTCAAGGATGTCTGTATTCAAGATAGGTGCTCACCGTCCAGATGGCACCCTTGCTGGTTCCCATCATTTCATTTTCCAACCCTTCCACTCATCGAGCCCTCGAAGTTCGAGACAGCATGGAGGATCGAGTAGAGAACAGTCGATAAAAAACTAAGAGAGAACCCCCATCTGTCAAGCGTGTCACGGACGTGTGTATTCAATGAGGTCGTGATAGGTGCTCACCATCCAGACTGCGCCCTTTTCCAACCCTTCCACTCCTCGAGGCCTCGAAGTTCGAGACAGCATGGAAGATCGAGTAGAGAACAATCGATAAAAAACCAAGCAAGAACTCCCATCTGCCAAGCATGTCATGGACGTGTGTATTCAATGAGGTCGTGATAGGTGCTCACTGTCTAGACTGCACCCTTTCTGATTCCCAGCTTTGACATCTAGAGGTTTGAGAAATGCTGAGGATCGGAGAAGGCTGTGGAAGACTCAGGCGCAATGACAAACTCCTGTTATGTCGAGTTTGTTGAATGTTTGTTGAGAAACACAAACAAAACAAGAATAGAGCCTTTGTTTTTCCTTGTGTTTTCTGGATTACATATATAACATAACTCTCTGTCATTGTACTTAGATGCTTCTTGGAATTTAAACCAATCACATAGCCGTACACACAGATTACGCGGTCATTGAGGAATTCCGTCGAACCATTTACGTGATGCAGCCTTGCAGTGGCGGCTTCAAGGATTCACAAGATGTTGCGCATGCGTATTAGAACTTCAAATAATAAAGTTGTGGGCTGCATCAAGTTCGAACGATGCCTGCATCCATGTTATCGGATGGCCTAGTGCAATTACTATGCTCATCAATCATCCCCAAGGCAGACTTCACTCTGGCGACCGTCCCATTTTCTATGATTGTCACGTCATATGTAATCATTATCTTTTTACAATCCTTTGTACGTTGTTTCTTGTAGTCTACTTCGTTCCTAAATCCCGTTTGTGTGAAATCTGTCCCACCTTACATAATGGTAGGAGTTAGAAGTGGTCTTGAGAAGCAGTTAGATTAAAGGCGAATTTAAATCCTGCCATATAGTTCCCGCCTACCTTACTCGTTGTATGCCACGTTGGAGGACAACTCATCGACTGGGAGCAAGGTTCGCGAACGCGTTCGCCGAACGGTTCACTGAACGGGCGAACAACCCACGGTCATGTGTCCATCCTCTGGCATGGCTCACACTGGCATACAGTAGTGGCTCACGCGCTCACGCTGTGCTTTGACCTGCCGCCCACCACCTCTTGTCTTCGTCACATCCTTGTCAGCAACGGCATGGACACCTTTCAACATACTTATTGTTATCTGGTAGGCCCCTATTATTCTATCCAACAATTAGTAGATTATCACGATGTCATATATAATCAAGTTTTCCACCTGTTGAGTGCGTCTCAGAGCCCAATTGCCAAATGTCAAGCCCCCTGATCTCGTTTATACTCAGGGTCTTTGAACAAAACCCTGATCTCACCCCTGTGTTTGATATTGATCGCCTAATCTGCTTCCTTCATCTCGTTCAGCTTTTGAAACCCACCCTGCATCTTTATACTAGGTCTGATGACAAGAAGCCAAACAAGCGTCTTCCGGTCAACATTCATGAATTCTTGAAGGTGTCTCTTAAGCTGGATGATGGCAAAGCCAAGTTTGCATGGGAATCACTACACTGTGTAGCTTGGGAGATGGAACTGACAGAAGACGACTTGTGTTCCATTGGCCGCCGTTATCTACAGTTATTTCTTGATCATGGTATCTCGCGTGGGGTCGCTTTCTACTACCTAGGACCACCTACCCGTGTTTGTCTGGACTCTGCATGTCTGCAGAAATCATGCACAAGCTACAATGCGCAACTGTTATGGGAGCAAGAGCTTGTTGAGTCTCTCACCTTTCCAGTCACCATTTTTACACAAGACTTTGGTCCAATTCCTGGGTTTGCAACATCTATGCATTGTCGCTGTATGTATGTTTTTCCCTTCCACCAAACAGCTCAACTGATACCGGTTTGTGAAGGCTGCAAGACACAATACTATGCTAATTATTATATTCATACCAATGCATCCTGGTGCACATACTACATGGGCTCATTTGAATTCATACATATTGCTCAACATGTGTTTATTGAAATGAGAACTTGCAAGCTGTTTTCCACAATGATGCTTACATCGTGGTACAATTTCAAAATTTTCTATTATTCATACTTCCCTCAAGACAATGATAGGACATCCACAACAAATTGTGCTCGCATCTACAATGAAGGTCTGGCTATTAGTTCCATAACACCACATCTTCCTGCTGCATATTCAAAGAGTCTCATTCTGGACACTGAGGATGTGTGGAGTTCCCTTTTTCTCTATTGGCTGCTTCAAGATTGCAAGGAGCAACAAATTGTTCTTGAACTGGAGCATGACTCACCATCTCAGGTGAAGTGTCTTCAACCTGCACTTCATTTACGGAACTGTCATATGGTTGGTACTGGTCAAGAAGAATGGAACCATGCATGTGACTTGTGTTGCTGGATTGACACAAAAGCCGACGGAACACAGAGTAACCATTTTTTACACTTAATAGAATTTTTCTGATTAAATTTTAAGCCTTCCTTCGTTCTGTTGTCACTGATGGTGTAATGATCGGCCATCCTTGCTGTGGGGAACATGACTGTACCACACCCTTGGTTTCCATCAAGGACTGTTTTTGTCCAGAACATCAGCACCTCAACTTCATTTGCTCTGTGACAACATGTTCTTACCCTGTCGAGCCTGGGTTTTTGACTTTTTCTCTACCAGAACATCGAAAAATTCAGTCTTACAATGAATTTCAGTACAAAGCGATGTTTCAACTCAAGGATCACCTTACCGACCTCAAAATTTCTCAGCCCGTTGATTCTATTCCAAGCCCAGCCAATATTGAGGAAGGTGTTTCAGAATTTGATGATCTTGATTCTTCGTTGGTTGACACCAGTGGTACTTGTAACAGCAAAGCTGAGCAGGGTAATCAAATGGTCAAAGCTCAGTTAGGACACAAACACACACACAATGAAGAACTTTGTGTAGCTTCTTGTGGTGTTATCCTTGGCCGTGCAACTTTTTATGGATCTGAAGCACCCAATGGTGTTCGTGTAAGTGTCTCCCCCCTTCCCCCATGCTCAACTCTCAGCTTATATTAAATTTCTAGACATTTTGGATGAAACTATTTCCTATGAAGGCCTCCCTTCCCAGAGTTATGTGGCACAACAATAATTGCTGCATCAGGGCCATGCTTGAGAATGACTCAGACCCTTTTCTCAAGCATTATTTTGATGACTGTGCCCTCCCAGTCGACGTCTTCCATTTCAAGTGCAAACACAAGGTATCAGATGTAGATTGCGGCAGATATTGTAACCCCGCAATTTGGCCTGAGCTCCATATCAATGATCAAGAATGGTGCTTCAACTCGTCAGTGGCTGAACAAGCCAATGCTTGGATTGGTGGATACCAGGCAATTGTCAGGGAGATGCAAGTTGACCAGTTTGAATTTTTTTTAGATGAAATGATAAAGCGGCACAACCAAATTTTGGTTAAGGACCTGCGGAGAAGGCTGAAAGCACCATATAGTATACCATGTCATATTTTACTATGCCCTGATCACCTGCAGTAGTTTCTACTTGGATGTACCGATTCTAGTGTAACCAGTCAACAATGCATCCCTCAACCTCCTCAATGCCTTCTGGATATGCCACTTACGGAGTTTGCATTAGCTTCGTAGTATTTAGATAGCTAACAGCATCTTTTTCCCATCCTACCACATGACATTGGGTCCTGCATAGGGACCGTCATGGATACACCCGGGTATTAACCGTACCCAATCCACGGATTTTCCCACCCACGGATCAGATAAGGCACAGTACAGATATATCCGTGGGTAAAATGGCCTGAGTGGCTGGGGACATAGCTTCAGTTATATAAATGGGTGTATCTCATTCATTTCTCATCCGTTCTTTACAAAAAAAATTGCGTTATGAAGCGAAAATTCAGAAGAATTCATATTCAAACAAAATTCATTCATATATTATCTAAATTGAGTACATTAAAACTAAAGTTATACATATATCATAATTTGAGGTCTTTCCCCTCATATAATGCTGATGTGACTGAGCCTTGATCACAGAGTGTGTTTTGGGGGGTGTATTAGCATGCCTGGGCCACTCTGAAACTTGATATTTAGGTAGAGGTATTGAAAGAACAATTTTGGTGACATAAAGTGTTACAAAAAGCTATTCAAGAGGAAAAGAAATCATTGTCCATCTTTTTTTCAATCATTTTTGTAACTTTATTGAAGCCTGGGTAGAGGGGGGATTTAATCCAGGATCCAAGAGCCATTTCTGCTCTGAATGTTTGAGAGTTGATATTGTGCTGGGTGAAATTGATCTGACGGCGACCTGCTCGCTCTGCATCCACAGAAGTAGCTGCAACAATTGTTGAAAATAAAGGAAAATGAGTGTGAATAATGGTGCTTACCTGGGGCTGAGCAGAAATCAGAACCCATTCATGAGAGTCGTGGTCGGGACTGTGATGCATTGTGCCAGTACATCATATAACCTCCCATTTCCTTGATTGTTTCCGTTGCTACCCTGGGTTCATCAAGGTAAGTTTGAATGTGGTCCTTAACAAACTGATTTTCTTTTGGTGCATATCGTGATCGCTTTGGCTAAAAATTCAATTCAATAACAGGATTTCAAAGATATTTTTACCAATTACCTTGTTTTCCTCCTCTCTCAGCTCATTCTCCTCTTCACCTGCATATACACTGTCCCAGTAATCACATACTATACTTTTTATGGACTTGATTTGTTGGAGGTCACGACCATGGTCTTGAAACCATTTGAGTTTGCGATCAGGACACATCACTGGTAAATATATAAGAAATAAATGTAGAGATCAAGCTGGATTCTTACCAATGGCAACTATGTAAATATCACAGGCTCCAGAAAAGGCAGAATACTTATCAACAAGAAGAACTGCAGCATGACAAGCAACCCGGACAACATTGGCAGGGTTGTTCTCCTGATCATCTCTTGCAGCAATCAGCCCTTCACGTAAGGTTTCTAGAGTTGGGAGAACATCCACAACAAGTGGTGTTTCTGCAACTGAGAAGATTTTTGTAATGTCACTAAAAAGCTGGTAAAGTGGAATATTTAGATTTCAATCTTGAATACTAAATAAAACATACCAGGAGAACCTCTTGCACATCAGAAGCAATTTCCCATTGTTCTTCTGTTAAACGATATGCTTGTAGTCCATTTGATGATACAGCTGTAAGTTGCTCAATAATGTTGCAGAAGCGAGCAAGGCCAGCAACCTGCATGATATTAAAAACTACATAGGAGGTGGAAATGAAACTCACCTTTGGAAAAATCTGAAGAGCTACTTTTTCTTCTCCTGAGTCAATGATAATCCCATTGGCTGCCATTTGCTGAATTGCCTTCTCTCTCAATGTCTTTGCCACCTTTTCATTGTGTACTGTTTGCCCCTCATCATTCTCTGCTTCATCTTCCTCAACATCTGCCTCTTCAATGACTGCAATCTCCTCCTCATCCTCTGAATCATCACCCTGTTCAAGAACAATTTCCTCTCCTTCACTAAAATCCTCAACCTCTCCTGCTCAACGAAATCCTGCACCCACATTCTTTGTACTTGCAGCAACTTTGACACTCTTCTTTCGCTTTGGTTTTTTGAAAAAGAAGGATATAAATATCTGTGAATGAAATGAGGCTGAGTTAATAAAATATTGAGAAATATATATAGCATTACCTTAGCAATCAAATTTACAATGTGAGCCAGACAGCGAAGCCGAGCATCTTCTCCCCAGAATGTTGGTATCATCCTAGGAAGTACCCTTGCTAAGGAATCGCAATTTGATGCATTATCCATGCAAAGTGAAAACAGCTTGACCAAAGATCAGAAATTGGATAAATAGAGATCAAAGAAATGCACACCAGTTCAGTAAGACCAAAATGTTTCAAACAATCAAAAACAACCTGGGCTAAATACTCTCCATCATGCCTTTGTTTGAGGCTAAAAAGTGAGTCAGTTTAAACTAAGATGCTAACCAAGTTATTTATCCATACCGTATAAATTCCAGTATTGCACAATGAATTGAACCATTCTGATACCAAACCACAACAAGCCCAAGATATGATGAGACAATTGGAGAGGTCCAACCATCAAGTACAAGGTGGATAGCACTGTTTAGTGACTGTCCTTTCATTAGCAACTTGAATTTATTGGATAAGAAAAAAAAACAGTACCTTAAAGTAATTCTTGACATGAATTGACATGTCAAGATAAATTTGATTGGGATCACGGCTAATCGTATTGGGACTGTGAGCTGCAGTTCCAGGGCGAAGCATTTGGATCTCCTTCAGATAGTCAGGATCAGAGACCATGTTAAATGGACGTGCACTGGTAGCACAGCGCTGTGCAAGTAGAGCTCGATGACCTGCTACAGAGTATGGTATAGGAGCGTCGTCCTTTGGTTGCATCTTGGAGATCCCCTGTGCCTGTAGACATGCATTCATCCCTTTCAACATGTTACTAGTACCTTCCGCAGTCTTTGAACATGGCCGAACAACCACAGGATGCTTATCCGGACGTGACTTGCATCTAAACACATAAGAGAGAGAGAGAGGCTCTCTCTTGGATCCAAAATTACGCTGGAGGGAGACTGAATAATGGTCATATGCATCAGAACGCCACATTGTCTTGGCAGCAGCTATACAAAAGAATTTACAATCTTTTTTGAAGTTAAAATGCAAAGGACTCACCAATTATATCCTCATCTGACAACTCCCAGACCTCCAAGTCACTCTGTTTATTGATTCCAGGTGCTGCAGCATGTTGGCGACGTTTTATTGGTGATACTAGTACTGGAGGAGCTGAAATATCCTTATCTAAGCTGTTTGTGTTGTCGTCAGATGGGAAATTGAATTTTTCTGGTGAAGGGCTTGTGTGATGGCTGGGAGCGAATGGCAGGTTACGATTTGGACCCCTTCCACGAGCAGCAGGGACAGGGAGTTGTTGTGATGGCATAGTGCCATGGAGGCAAGAGGCAAAGGGAGCTGAGGACACAGATAACACACTCTTATCTATTCAGGGCAGGTACACTCAAAGAGGTCTAAAAATATATAATTTACCCACGGATACCTGTGGATAGTCCGGGTAGTTACCCGAATCCATCAATTGTATCCAAATATGGGTGGATTTCGGGTTTACCCGGGATTAGCCTATCCGTGACAGTCCCTAGTCCTGCATATCCAGAACTTGAAAAATCACGTCCACACCATCCAAAGTCGATAGCTTGAGGTCGAGGTGAGCGCCCATCACACTGTTACACATGGTCACAGGTAAACAGAGTAATGCCAGAGTAATTAATTTATTAAGAGATTTTCCTCAAGTTCTCTCACTTACATTTTTTAACACAACACTACTGGATCTATAATCTATGTGAATAAATTGGTTTCATTCTTCAAACACAACTTGTTGTGGAATGGGTGTGTTTCTACTGTACTATAAGTTAGAGTCACAAAAGTGACACCATGACAAAGAAATACATCTACTCGTCATTGGAGAGAGTCAAATCTATATATGTTGGTCCCCCCTGTTCAACTCTCATGGTGCAGTTGTCAAGACTGGGATCGATAGCTTCCTGTTTGATATGTTGAGAACATGTGGCTGCCCTTCTGACTGCATCGTGTACTGCCACACTCTCTGTTTCCATTGGGTGCATGTGATTACCAAACTGCCGACTTTGGGCAAGTGTTTCAATGCAAGCAGTTCGAGAGATGCGTAGATCTTCCTGAATAAGCAAAATGATAGTTTCAGGCAGAAGGTACTCTCAAATGAAAGCTTTCCATGTCAATGGGGTGTAAGTCTTCTCGTCAAATGGGAACAAAGATTGAAGTGCGAGAATAACAATTTGATAGCCCTCTTCCCCATAACTATAATCCAGACTAATGAGTTTTATCTGAGATGTGTCAAGTAAATATGACTTACTAGCCAGCACTTTCTTCTGTGAAATTATTGATGTTCGTCAATTTGCTGGAACCGCCACCAAATGATCGTCTTGCTCTGTTAAAAAAATCACTTTCTTCAGGCTCTTCTATGAGGGCTTCCAGATCTTCATTATAACTCGCAACACGATCAAAGAGCTTTCCAAAGTCAATTGACATAGGCCAATTATTCCGAATCGCAATGGGGAGAGATTGACTCTCGAAACGATGCCTTTCACAATAAAGTGCAAAGACGGTAAAAGACTTTGCAGAGCGGTGATTGGGGTTGTCAGGCAGAGGGTCGGACCAGGTCTGGCTTTCCAGGTCTCAGTACATAGTGAGAAGCACTGGAGATAGGGAGGACACTTGTGCATCACAAAATGGGCAAAGCGATGTTGGCTCTTCTGCCTCCATGGAAGACAGCTTCATTTACTCCTTATCCTTTCTAGCAGTGGGCTCATGCGTGTGGGGCGAAAGCGGTGGGGTTGACTGCAGGAAGGAGGAAGGCGAAGAACACAATGTCGATGAGGAGGGTGATTCTGACTGACCCCGTTCAGTCTTTGAAAGAGGCCATTGTCGTGGATTGTCTAATACATTAAGAAAGTGCCAGAAGAGCGCCTTTGGGGATTGTCCCAGATCGATGAAAGCATTCTTGAGCTCCAAATCTGCCTCCATCCAAATCTTTTGGTACTTCCACTCCAAGGTCTTTCCAAATTTCATACCAGGAAAAGCCACTGAGAACACCTCCTCAAGTGTCTTCCCATTCCTGACTGTCATCATCTTCTCCATTTCCCGGAATCCCTTGTCAATTTCGTTTACAAAAAAATCTTTGGGCCACTTCTTCTGTTTCCCCAAAGATAGCATCCCCCCGGAACCCAAATGAGACCCAAGACGCCGAACTTGTTCATTGATATGTGACTTGTTGAACTGAGATTGGAATTGTGATTGGGAATGATGTGCAGGATGAGGTGATGCTAGTTTTGCAGGTTTAATGGCACAAGAAATAGTATCCAAATTTCCAGTGTTATCTGCCTCAATCTGAAGTCGGCATGATGGAGAAGGTCCACTGACATCACTGCTGGATGCCTGGGAAGAGGTGATTGACACGGAGCTCCCACTTTGGAGACGAGGGGTTTTCTTCAGTGGTGATACCAATACATGCTCTGCTACGTGCTTTGTTTGCCCTGACTGTCGCTTCAGTTGCAAGCTTAGCTCATGGTCAAGCCCTGGACAATCTTCAAGTGTGTGACGAAGGCTGGGCCAGATGTGAAGGAGTACCTGCTGGTCTTTCTCCACCACAATCACGGATTTGAGGGTAATTATCTTCCATTCTCCATCCCAATGATCGAGATGAGAGTTCTCATTGAGTTCCAGATCATGAACGAGATCAGGTGAGGACATGAGCTGGAAGTGTGGAAAGGTGTCGACGTAATGATCGATCTGTGCTGGTTGTGAACCGTTCTAGAGATTGAGAATATGAGCTTTTGCGGTAGAAGCCAGGCTTAGAATGTGAAAGACTTACAGTGTGATAAACCACCAATAGGCATGTGCACTTGTTCCTTTCATCCATCTTGTGCTGCTGTATCTTTCGAGTTCTAATGGTGGCTCTCTCGTCTTGCACGGCCTGACGGTGAGTGGCCCATTCCGCATCCAAAGGTTGAGCAAGTGATCGGTGAGTAATTAAGGGGCCCAACGTTGATTCAGTAGGCTGAGAGGTGATTGTGGGCTGAAGGGGGGCTGAATTTGGTGTTGGTTGGCGTGGAGGAAGGGGAGGAAGGGGAGGAAATGGGGTTGGAACAGTGTTTGTAGTTGAAACTTGACTTCACCTGTTAATATCGCTATCATGAGTCGACACATCCTCTCACCATTGATCCAAATAGGGGTCTATCTGAGGGAGAACTGCCCGATGTACCTCAGCAACCGCATCTTGACCGTGTGCATTACAGCGTGCTCATCCTTGACCACTAGCTGTCACTTGGTGCGCCACATGAACACAACAGGCCTTGCACTTGAATTCAATGCAGGTCTGGCTGCCCTGTGTGCACTTCACATTCTTGGTATAGCATACAACATTGGCACAGTCAATCCGGCCAGTCTGACTAGCAGGTGGTGGGGGTGGAGGGGTGGGAGGGCATATGTCAGAGATTTATTTCTTTTGTCACAACCAGCCGAAATTGGGACGGCATTGAATCGGCATCCTAACCAGTGCTAACTGTTGAAAGTTCTTTATTTTTCCATTTTTTAGCCCAAAATTGGCTACAATCACGCTGGAACTCTGTTGGAAATAGAGGATGAACTATATTATGTACAAGTTTCTACAGTCCTTATATACCTAATTACTATGTATCTACCATATTCTAGTGTTATCTTCATACTTGGGATTACTAAGTTAATAGTCTGATATTACTAATTAATTAAGTGCAAGAATGTACTGGCAAATGCCGGATTGTACTATTCCAACAAACTCCCATTGCCACCTGTTGCAACCAGGTTGCCACCCTGGATGGGACCAAAATTGTAACCAAAAACTCTTTGGTTGCTCTTAATTATGACGGCAATTTGATAGGAATGTCCACAACAAGTTAGAACCGGTTGAGATGCCAAATTAGAAAACTCCGACATAGCTCTAATGACACATATCCTGCTTGATTAGCCGGCTCCCTGATCCGTAAAAGCAAACGCTCAGCATTGGAGAACTTGTAAGGGGCCATGTGGTAGTGTGTCCGGTGACATGAAGGGCACTGGAAGGGGAGAGACCATAAGAACCCAGAGTAGGAGAGAGAAAAGAGGCAGGCTTACCGATTGAACCAATGCCCCACGCAAATGCCTTCGTGACGGATCTCCAGCACCCAGATATACATGGAGAGGCCCCACGAGTTGTCGGCAACCATCATGGCTCTGGTGCCATGTCTGGGACACCTTATGTCCATATATAGACATAATTTATGTCTATATTGAGACATGTCCAAAAAAAGACATAAGGTTGTCCAAAAACAGACATAAGCGATCAATCTCACACCCACGCCCAAATAGGCAGCTACTCAAGCAGTTGACCTCCTACTGGCTTTTCTCCCTGTGCTATGTGCCGCAGGCCAGAAAAATATTTGAATAGCTCACTTACCTTGTGGGAATTATAGGATACACTAATATGAACCTAGAACACATTTTTAAACCATTGAAAAGAGAATTTGTGCTGTTCTGAGCATAAAGTCAGTTCCACTTGTTGCAATTGCTCATCAAAGTATGTGTCCATGCTGGTAGAATATCTCAGAGTATGTGAAAGCACTTTACATGCACTTCTTCCTCCTAATGGCAGGTTGATGCACTAAAGGCAACAAAAAGACAGAATCAATGGGTAAAAAAAAAGTTGTACTGCTTTAAAAATGCTGATACAGGAGTGCTGGTATGTTGTTAATATTTCCTCACATAGTCTTGACCTTCATATAAAAAGAATTTGTAACAATCTCAAGATCTGGACTGTGTTACAATAAATCCATCTAAAGTTGACAATAAATCTGTCATAATTGAACAACCCTTGCTGTTGATCTATAATTCTACATATATAATCAGTTTAAAGTACCCTGCTTCTTACATGCACATTTTTGAAAAGAATTGAAACATTCTCAGCTGTTCCAGACATGACACTAGAGCCATCATTATTCCTCTTCATTGTAATTTTCAGTACTCTGTCCTCATGTGTAAAAATGCATGCTGATGGGAAGACTTACTCATGATATCTATCCTGTTTCCTCATAGTTGTGGCCCCCGATGGGTGCCTGCCCCATTTTTAAATGGTAGGTAGGGAGAGGATATATTTTACAAATTTTCATAGCAATCTGTCAAGTTTCTAACAAGATACATATTTGTGATTCAATTATCTTTGTGAAAAAAAAAAAGATATCAATCGCTGGAATTGAACTTAGGTTCGCCATAAAAGGAGATCAAAAAAGCACAATAATCCACTACACTATACAACCCTATATAATCTTTACATGTAGTTACCATATATGTAATTTTTGAAAAACGGTGTCCTTGTCCCAGACATGACACCAGAGCCACCATCATTGCGGCAAAATTGAATGAGGCAAGGACATGGATCTTCACGAGGTGGTGCATCCATTGGGCAAAAACAGTGGTATTCTCCTGTTCTAAGTACATGGTCAAGACATCGCGTTGGCCACTGGAGTGCAGGTAGCTTTGTCGCTGTGATACTGTGTTGGACAACAGGCGGGGCGCAGCAGTGAAATGGGTGGTCGTGCGGCATGGGAGTGGCCAGGCGCGTTGACTGACAAAGCAAAGCGGGGTGTGGGAAAGTACCCCATTTGAGCAATGTTCGCCTGTTCGCGTTCACGTTCACGAACGTGGTGGATGAGATTTCCTGCCACGTCGCCAAAACACTTCCAGCATCGTTTGGCGTCGTCGGCTTCAACCTAGCAGGGTATCTTTACCTCAATTACAAATTGAAGAAAATTGGGAAATAATATATTTGAGTTCTAGCTATGAGTTGCTGAAGAGTGCGCCAAATTAGAGCCACAAAGAAAAGATTTACTCGAGCTCATCGTTGGAAACGGCGAGCAGCAAACAACGATGAGGAAGCTTCGATGTTAAATTTGGCATGACAAACGGATAACCGCCCTGAGCGGACACTTAAATCTACGTTATATAAGCTGATGGCTCTTGCTACGTCTCGAGCTGCGAGCTGCGCTCATTTTTGAATGACCCTGTTAAGTCAACCAAAATAGACCAGTAGCATTCTATTACGAGGATGGGTGGAAAAAGGCGGGCCAAGGTGCAACAAAGATGGGCGGGCGAAGGCGCGACGAAGGTGGGCGGGTTCAGGGACGTGGCTAAATAACAGGGTCCAGGATCGATGAGCTGTTTGGCATGAGGCTGGTGGAAAGTCGGAAAAGGCCGAGTCCACCATCAGTCTACGTAGAACGGTCTACCCCAGTGGATGCGAAGCTCTGAAAGAACCGTGACTTGAACGTTTTCGACAACCATTCAAGCCACCATTGCCGAAGGTTGAACGTTGAAGACGTATGCAGTTAGTTCTGCCAGTGATACTGCGCCTGTCATGGCTGTGACTAGGCTCGTGCTGCGCCTTCAGTCCTCAATACTGCGTCTTCAATCCTCGATGCTGCGCCCTCGATACTTTTCAGGCCAACAATGAGGCGCCGGGAAGCTGTCGCCTTATACTTATACTGACTCCAGTTCGAGATAACAAACTCTTCACAGGTCAAACCAATCGCCTTCATGAAAATCATCATTGTCGGAGCAGGTATCGCAGGTCTCGCTTCATACCACGCATTGCGAAAGCACCTTCAATCCATTAAGAGTGACCGGGCCGTTTCCATAAAGCTCGTTGAATCACACACTTCTCCAGCCAACTCTTCACGGACAATTGGGGGTGGCATTGGACTCGCGCCCAACGGTTTGCGCGCCATTGCTTCCATTTCCCCGGAGGCGGCCTCTTACATCCGGGAACGTGCTTTTTCCGGAGGTTTAATGACCTTTCGTGACTCCGAAGGCCGTTTGTTAGGACAGATGAAGGCAGGTACAGCTGAAAGATACGGGGAGTTTGGGCAGGTGATGGTGTTGAGGGCTACGGTTCATGAAGCGCTTCTCCTTCGCGTTCGGGAGGAGGATGTGCAGTGGGAAATGAAGGTTGTGAGTGTGAAGGAGGCCGGAGAGCAGGTTTTGGTTGAGTATGGAGATGGGAGCTCGGAGCTTGCGGACCTCCTCATCGGGGCGGATGGTATTCGGAGCGTCGTAAAGGATTCGCTTTTTAACGGCGCGTATCCTGCAATGTACAAGTGGGTGTGATCAGATTTTAATCCCTCAACAAAGCTAACCACATACTTTCAGTGGTCTCACCGGCGTTGGTGGTTTTATCCCCATCTCATCTTTACCTTCACTTCTTCAAGAGAGTTTTGATACCCATCGCATCACCATGGCCTTTGGAAAACAAGGATTCTTCGGCTACTCTCCGTGCACTTCTTTATCGTCTGCAGCCCCTTTCATCCAATGGTGGACCGTTTACGAAGCACTATCGAATCCAACTCGAGAAAAGATTGACAAAACAGAGCTTCTCACGCGTTACGGCGATTGGAAGTCACCATACGATACCCCCGAAGGTGGTCTTTACAAGCATCTCATTGAACTCGGATACGCCGCAGACCCGGAGTCGCGAACCACAATCCCAAGACATGTTACTCCTCGCCTGCCACACTGGTCTAATTGCACCTCTCTGAATAGCGACGTAAGAGGACGTATAGTGCTCATCGGGGATGCCGCGCACGCCATGACACCTGACCTGGCCCAGGGAGTATCCTGCGCAGTTGAAGACGCAGTCGTTCATGCGCTTTTATTAAAGCACTATCTCCCCATTCCGCAGGGCTTCGAGAAAGCTGCTCAAGCGTACGAAATGCTGCGCATGCCACGCGTCCATTTCATTCTCGATCAATCTAGATGGAACGCGAATGCCAAGAGGGATATGAACTGGCTGTCCCAGACGATCAGGGACTGGGGTATTTGGATCTTTTGTGAGTGTAGATCTTTGCGTGATGAACCAATCTGAAGCTTAGCGTGGTATTTGGTTAGGCAAACTTCCAGAGTTTGTTCATGGTGGGATTTTTATGTATGCAGCTGAGGATGTTGTCGCAGACTATATCGCGAAGCACCCACTTTAAAGGGTTTCATCCAAGCTTCATCCCACTTCAGGAAAACTCTCATTCCTGGGTATTAATGACTTCAACTTACCATTTTGTTTCGATCGAATAGTTGTCTACTAGGGTTTTGCATTTATGTAGCTTGAAAGATTCCTGTCAGGAGCCTTGCCAACCTTGTGCGATGGACTTCCAACAAAATTTGGCTATAATCTGGAGCACAGTATGTAGAGTGCAAAACATGGCGCACTACGCCAACTCTGAATCATCACAAACCATGCGCAAAACGTTGACAAGAGTGGGACTTGAACCCACGCCATCATACGATGATGAGAAACCCGCGAATGCAGGGAAGCTACGCTTGAGTCACACGCCTTAACCGCTCGGCCATCTTGCCTTGTTTCAACCTTGTCCTACGTTATTTCAAATATTATTTGTCTACATTCGAATCATCAAAAACTACGTCACTCCGGCAGAGGATGCCTGTTTCCGAAAGCTTTCACAACAAGTTATGATACACAAGGTCTAATTCAACCTCCCCCGTTTACTAGACGCTGACATGAATCTCGACTGTCATTCAAATCGACGCGCCCCGGATCGTTGGGGGATACAGAAGAAAAAAGAGAGTCCTTCTCCAACGCTCACGTCCGATGCAACTACGGTAGCACATGTCGAGTGGTGATGCCCATTGCCCACGTGTACAGCGTCCACTGCCCCTTCCCTTTATCCCTCTCGTTTGGCCCACCACTGGGAGGATGCTCGTAATCTGTCGATGGCCATCGCCTCAACCAGTGTCAGCTGAGGAGATTCGTTCCCTTCTCTGGGGAATTAGCAGATCTGGTCCTCAGTGGTTATTGATCGCTTCGTAAGGCAACTAAAAGCTTTATGCAAAAGAACTGGCACTTCTGTCGATATATCTCCACAATCAAAGATGTGGGCTCTATCGCGGCCTTCCGGGTGCTGCATCATCAGAAATCAGATAGAAGTCCGAGGCTGTGACATCCTGAACGGTCCGCAAACTTTTTTCCCCCCATACTTCTTTCTCAACTCAAGTACCCTGCCCTCCAGGAGTCAGCCACACAAAAAAATTCTCTGTGTCATGGTCTTGGCTTACTTTTGTCTGATTTCCCTTTACTTCGTCGGAGGTTTGGCTGGTGAAGTACCGATCATTGAAGGCGTTCTGGGAGATGTTCCGCGATCCCCATCAATCACATCGACCACCTTCACAGCAAGGGGCGCAGAGTTGAGCAATGTTACCACCCCGGGGAAATTACGAGTCATCGAGAACTCGGGCGTCTGCGGTATTTTACTCATTCTCGCTTCTCAGTTAACACTGAAAATATCGATGCAGAAACTACTTCAGGCGTCTTTCAGGCTTCCGGATATGGCGACTTAACCGACACTGAGAGCATTTGGTCAGTTTTGAGATAAACAGATGCTTATAGCAGCTTGACTCCCTCATCGCAGGTTTTGGTTTTTTGAATCTCGCCAGGACCCTGATACCGCTCCGCTCACTCTCTGGTTTAATGGTGGTGTGCGTGACATGACTCATCAAAGTAAATTTCTGACTGTCAATAGCCCGGAGCATCCAGCATGATTGGCTTGTTCCAAGAGCATGGTCCTTGCCGCATTACCAACGACAGCTCTTCAGTCACTCTAAACCCCTTCTCGTGGAACAACGAAGCCAACATTGTATACATTGATCAGCCGGTTGGTGTCGGCTTCTCTTATGGAGATCTCAAGGTTGGGACGTCGCAGGAAGCAGCGTCCGACATCTGGACTTTCATGCAAATCTTTCTGTCCGATTCCAGATTCTGTAAGTATCAAAAAAATAAACTTGCAATTTGGACGGAATCGTAAGCTACCTTTTTTTTAAAAAAATCGTAAGAGTCACTCACCATACCGGTTTAGGTATGGCGGTCATTATGGTCCAGCCTTCGCTGCGTAAGCTCGAAAACTCAAAGTCGCAATGCAAAGTTCTTAACCTCTCTCGCTCATCTAGGCATTTCCTTTCTCAAAACGCTGCTATTGCAGCGGGAAGGACTTCTGGCATCACTCTGAACCTAAAAGTTCTTGGGATTGGAGATGGACTCACTGTAGGCCCGCAAATTCATTAACTATCCGTCCTCTGTAAGCTCCCGAAAAATTAGGATCCATTGATACAATACCCCGGTTACATTACTTACGCTGGAAGCAACCCATACTATGCCCTCGTTTCATCAACCGTCGTCAACCGCGCGAAAACTGCTTGGACAAAGCCGGGAGGATGTCAAGCTCTGGTATGACTTGTCTTCCCGATATTACAAAAAGTATCGTTATTAACACATTTTTATTGTAGATTAAATCTTGCTACAACGGCGGCTCGAACTCAGTCTGTTCGAAAGCGCAAAGTTATTGTAATCAAAAAATCCTATCTCCATTGGCTGGAAACTGGGATGTGAGTTTGTGCACCTCACCATTCGCATTATTTTATTTTTTCTGAATGTTACACCTAGGCGTATTACGTTCTGACCCCCAACCCAGATTCATACCCTCCCGATATCACTAATTATTTGAACTCTATTGCCGGCGCTGTGGGCGCTGGTGTTGTGTGGCAAGAGATCAATAACGACGTTTATCTCAATTTTGCCGCTACCGGAAAGTCCTGACTTTGCACCCCCCCTTCCTAATTATTTACATAACCCCATAGGCGATTGGATGAGGAACTCACGACCAGACTTGGAAGCGGTGATTAACGCTGGGGTGGGTCTTAGCTCAACCAAAGCAGTCGGTTGAATACTTACGTATTGAGTCTTAGATTAGGACTATTGTCTACGACGGCGACGCGGTCAGACCTTCAGCGTTTCCAACGCAATGCATTTCTGATTTCCAATCCAGGACTATATCGTCAACTTCAATGGCGTGGAGGCTATGGTACATCCACAATAAATTCCAAAAATTCTAGAATTAACTTCTCTGTCTAGGTGGACAATCTAAACACACAATTTACGTCGTTATACAAGCAGCAAGCTTTCCGTACATACACGGTCGCCGGTCAGGCGGCCGGGAAATTTAAGAATGCTGGTCTGTTCTCTTACATACGGATTTATGGGGCGGGGCATGAGGTCCCGGCTTACAAGGTGTGAAGGCTGATAGGCATTTCGCTAATCGTGTCTAATTTTATATCTAGTTTGGGAAATTAGCTGTGGGACAAGCGGCTGCGCAGATGTTCACGCAAATTATGGCTGATGAACCCCTCTCGTCCACCTAATCGTCTTGACTGCAGAAAAGCTTGTGATTCGTTGCGTGTCCTCTCAGAAATTTCCATTACAATTTGACTAACAATGAGGGGGGTGTGCAATAACGCTCGAAGGCGTTTTGAAGAGGGCCACCTCAGCAGCGCGGCGGTTAACAAGACCCTGTAAAACCTTACCACCGGCAATGTCCCACTTGGGGAGTTCCTGAGCTGCAACGGCATCAGGATCCTGTCCGGCATTGAGGCGTGCTATCAAAGTTGAACTTCCGGCAGCACCACACCCCTCGTTAAACGCCCACGAGCAAAGTGCTCCGTACTGATTATCGTTCAGCCGGACAGAAGAAACGATGTCCTTCGTGATGCAAGCTTCATAAGTCTTGAGGTCTGAGTTGAGGAGGGTCGATGCTTCCGCCTCCGTCAACGGAAAAGAGAAAGGAACTTCTGCGCAGTTTTTGGTTTGGCAGAGGTGACCGTATCCAACGGTTGGGAGACCTATTGGGTCGGGGGAAGGACTGGCCACGAAACCCTCGAACTTTTTGATGAGGGCGATCGTGGCGGCGTTGACTGCTGGGGCACCGCAGCCGGAAGAAGCGGGCAGACAGCACTTGAAATTATCGGGTCCCGGACAAAGACCTAAGAATTGCAAATGAGCACATCGTGACATCGCCTTTGGATGTAAGGAATTGAGTAGATACCGGAGACCGTGTTTCCACTTGTGCAAGAACTGGTGAAACGACAAACGCCACCTGCGCCGCAGGACTTTGTGCAGCATTGAACGTTGGTTGGGTCATTAGGGCAAAAGCCGACATGGGACGTCCCTCCCGAGGAGGAGCAAGAGGCGGTAGTCAGGCATATTCCGGGTGTGCTTCCTGCGGTGCAAGGATCGTTGATGGCGGCGAGGGTGAGGGTAGCTGCGAGTAAGACGATGCTGAAAGCTTTCATTGTAGGACTGTCGTTTCGAAGCTGATGTTAACTGACCGTCCTTTTAACCACTTTCGAATGGCTTCTTTCCTCTCGTTCCCCCGCCCCCCTTCAGGATTAATCAGAGCGATGATTATCAGTAAAAGTACCAGCAGCGACAGTTACCATACAGTCAAAACCCGGTGTGGGATTTTTGTTCCGGAAGCTTTGGCTATGAATAGAACCATCTGTTCAACTTTCAAAGCAGTGATAGAAAATCTGACACGTTGGCAACAAAGCAGGTAGTATGACAGCCCGTACATGATGCTCGGTGAGATGGAATGGAAAGATGGGGAATGGAAGAGGAGGCCATGTATAGCATCCTCAGGCTGCAGCGCGGGGCAAGGCTAACCACTAGAGCATTCACCCAGCACAATAGAATAGGTGTCCTTTGATTTGATGCGTCTCTTACGTCCTCAGAGATGAGCTTGGAGTATATAGCGGATGCGGCTAGAAGCATAGAAAATTTACCCTCGAACTGGGGGTGCTCCTAGAATCGCACCGCCCTATGTAGACGCAAGGTGTCCCAAATGAAGAGAGAACCGTCGAATCAGAGCGATCCTTTCTCCAGCGAATTTCGGTTCAAATGCCAGCTCAAGATAGACTGAGAGACGGGGAGATTCCATCCTCAGAATCGGGCGGTAGAAATGTCAAGTTTCCAACCAATCACCTTGTGGCAAATGCCAGAGGGTTGATGAGAGGGCTGATAGCTCGTAACCCTAAGGAGCATTGACCGCCGCAATGTCAGCGAGTGCATTTTTAGCATGAGCCTATCAGTTCGCATGACCTGGCTGAGCGTCGATTGAAGATGGCAACCAGTAGCGAGCATAAGCACCTGAGCACTGACAAGGGGCCGAAGTTTAGGCGGCCAGGATATTTTCAACTTCCGCGGATTCCTACTATGGGTGACGCACGGGTGGCCTACGGTGGTGGTTGTCGTCAAGTTGTCGTGAACAAAGTAGTGTTGCCGTCGAAGCGAAGTGAGTTCGAGGTCACTTCGATTCGATTCGGAAATGACACCACTTCGAGGCAGTTCGAGCTATCGAAGTGAGTCGAAGTCGATTCGTGATGGCCATCAAAAACCGCCAGAAATGGAAGGTTGCCGCACGTGAGGCGAGATTAGTGTCGCGTCCTCCGTCGCGTCTCCTACCTAACTCTTTCCCCTCCCTCCATCCTTACTTTCCACTTCCCATCAAATAATCATACCACCTGACTACGTATTTTTCTGAATTATATGCACAATTTCCAAATCATACGATCTTTTTTCTCCTTCCAACTGAATATAAAAGTGGCACATATTTGCGAATGCAATATAGCTGTCCAATCCCTCATTTTCATCCATTATGGATTTACCAGCTTTGTATACCCCAGGCTGGGAGGCACCTAGTCGTGTTCATACGCCTCTTTCTACTCATTCCCGCCACCCATCTTGGAACAGTCACTCGCCGCTGGAGCTAGATCACTTCGTTCAAAACCCACTTCAAGCCGACACATCGGCCGCCTATCCCACTAACAATTCGTTTTTGTCATCCTCAGGCCATCAGACTTCTACACCACTCTATTATAACACTTTCCATGGCCAATATTTTGCCAATTTTCTAATCCCCGCCCATTTAATGGAATCCCAATGCATCCAAGCTTTTTTCATCCCACATGACACCCTCTTCGCTACCCCTACAAAATTCCAGTACTTCGGATATATAGCACTTTTTATTGTGTTCTGTAGTCTAGATACTCTACAATAATTTCGTGCGGCTGAGGCTTGAGGATACCAGTGATCTGATTGGCTGATCAACCTCCGGTGATGTCCGACTTCGCTTCGATTCGATTCGACAGCACGAAGTAAGTCGAAGTCAGCACACTTCCCCACTTCGATTCGATTCGATTCGCTTCGCGGCAACACTAGAACAAAGAGGTGAAACTTTCACCGTGAAAGTCATTCTGTTGAACAGGTTGATTCCCACGCTTCATCACTTCGTTTCCTTGCCCTTGCTTTGGAGCTCCAACCATTTCCAGATCCAGGAAGGCTCGGATCAGGACCATGTGAAGGGGGTTGTTCAAGGGATAAGTGCGAAAAACTTTGGCCCACCAACCGGGGTAGCAGAAGATGTCGGCACTCAGGTGATTGAGCCCCTTGTCTTTTTCTTTCAATCTAGTCGCTAATACCATTCGTGGCGGCGTTGAACAGAACCATCAAAGAACCATTCATGATGTCGACCACAGGACCCAATCTCCATTTATCTAACATTGAATGTCTACGGAAAAGACGACCGGGCAAGAAACGAGCGAATGAGTCTTCGACTCCGAATTGGTTCATTTAAAAACCCGCGTCAAGGACAGGTAAAATGATCGACCAAGCAGACATAATGGAATCCACCAGTTTGTCAAGGAATCACTCAGATATACCCTATTCAGAACGACGACTGACTCGAAAGGCCCAATTGGCAATGTCCGTTTCTGAGCTCGCTCAACGCGACTTAAATGGCTCTCCCTCCCCTGGATACAATTGAAGTCAACGGATTCCGCCGGCTCAAGTCAGTTTACAACAGTGGATTGCCTTGTTGGCTAGTTCTACGACCGTTCAATTCATTCATTTGTCATTATCGCCTCTGACTCAAGCGCAACACTCTCCTTGGATTCTTTTATCTTCATCGCCTATACCTCCTTCGTCGTTGTGCTCTTTCCCGTCTCTACTTTGCCTTGACCACATTCTTCAAACCAAAAACCCATTCCGAGCATCTCACGCCCTCGGACGTCATCATCGACTGACTCCGTCGGGTTTTGTGTTCGAGAATCTGCTGGGAGTCAAAAGGAGTCAAATCAAAGAAAAGGAGTAAAACCGTCAATATATTGTCAAGACTACAGTATAATGTAGCTTGAATGCCCCCAGAGGTATCGCTGCTTGAAGTTGGCCAAAATTTTTGTTGCGCGCTTCGCGCCGATGAGCTAACGCGATGACCACACAGCAAAACTTATAGCACTAAATCCTATAATAAAAAGGGGTCGAGGTTTTTTATCATAATCAAAGGCTACGTTCCAACTAAGAGTGCAGTGGACGTTGAATTCTGGTCCAAGCGCTGGTAATTCGCACATGACTCGTGGCAGATAGCCCCTGGTTGCGCCCCGCAAACGACATGAAACCTGACTCAAGTGGTGACCGCATCACCGTCACAGCTCTCAACATATAAAGGGTTCATTCAAGGGTTGGAATAATGCCCAAGCCCCTTGACCACCCCCACAAAACTCAAACATGACTCAAGAAACACACGAAGTGCCCCCAGCGTTTGAACCCGTTCACACCCTCGATCTTGTATCCGTGAAAGACAGCAAGATCATCGGAGTCTCGGTTTACTCTGGACGCGCGGAGGTTACGCGTCTTTTCTCGTTCAGTGTTCATACGGGCCAAAACCAGGTTAATATCTCTGGACTGCCCAATGTCCTCGACCAGGATTCGTTTAGGTGCGCTGGATTGACTAACATACTTCACTTCAACTTTCTGACGTGTTAACGTATATATAGGGTGGAGGGCCGCGGTGCTGCGACAATCCACGACGTCACTATATCTACCATCATCCCACCACCAATGCCGACAACTTCCACAGAGCTAACATCTCTCGAACTGAAGCGTAAACAGACGGAAAAGGCTCTGGAGAGGGCTCGGAAGGCTATTGCTTCACTCGAGACTTACCTTTACAGTGTCAACGTGGAACACGTCGCCGTCAACGCTTTGGGGGAAGTTGTGGAAAACTACGACTCTACATGCGAAAAGCTTGATGATAAGGTCACTGAACTGGAGAAGCGGCTCGTTGGCTTCAAAAAGGCCATCGAGGCTGAGCGCAAGAAGCTGTTCGGTCCGACAGGGATTGAGAAGCTCAATCTCAAGGCGTCCATTGGGGTGTTTGCCGACCATGAGGGTGAGGTAGAGATTGCACTCATCTACGGTACGCGTCTCCTATTCTTGGTGTTGAACCCTAAACTTACCGCCCCTCAGCCGTCAGCAGTGCGATGTGGAGTGCCGGTTATGATATTCGCGTTGACATGCAGACAAAGGAGAAGCCTATTACGTTGATATACAAGGGGGCTATCACCCAGAGCACCGGAGAGGCATGTTCGCCGTCTACACAGATTTTACTTGATGCTGACACTCTTTTAGGATTGGAACGATATTCCACTAACTTTGGAAACAGCCACTCCAACGTTTCGTGTCGGCGTCCCCTCCTTGATTCCTTGGACCCTCTCAATATACCGCCCGCCAGTTGTAAGATCGAAAGGAATAATGTTGGGCCACGGTAGAGGGGGAGGTGGACCGCCTTTGGCATCTTTAGCTCACTCGCCAGCCATGGCCCTTCGACGGAAGAGTAAACACAGTCCAGATTTGGATTTGGATATGGACGTAGACGACGAGTCCTTGAGCGCCAGCGCAATGCAATATCGGGGTCTCGCCGTCTCCTCAAAGGGAAACATCAGCGCTACTTTCACTGTCCCCGGGACCATCACGATTCCCAGTGATGGAGTTGACCATAACGTCACCATCGTGCAGTTGAGCCTTGACTCTACGATGTCTTGGGTGTCTGTTCCCAAGGTGGACGCGAAGACACATCTTAATGTTAGCCTCCATCTTCTCAAGTTTTTTCTCGCCCTTCTGATCACTCTATCCACAGGCCAAGATTAAAAACGCATCTGAATACACCCTCCTAAGTGGCCCTGCCAGCGTATACGTCGACGGAAGCTTCATTTCCCGCTCCGACGTACCCGCCGTAAGCCCAGACGAGAATTTCGATTGTCCATTGGGGTACGCCTTCCTCATTCCCTTTAACGTTTGATTCCTCAACTTACCCTCCTCGCAGCCTCGACCCCTCCATCCGAATCACCTACCACCCCCGAGTGAAAAAGGTCTCCCAAAGCGGGTTCTACACCAAAACAACCAACTACGTCTTCTCGCAGCGCATCACCATCTTCAACACAAAATCCACCGCAGTCGACAACGTCAAAATCATAGACCAGGTGCCCGTATCCGAGGATTCTCTGATCACCGTTAAGCTGGTCAGCCCGTCCTTGGTAGCGCCGTTCTCGGAGTCGACGACGTTGAGCGGTGGGGAGCTGAAGGTGCCGCCGCCGGTCAAGGTTAGCCCCGGGGTTGTGGTGCAGTGGGATGGTGCGGATGAACCGGGGAATGATGTGGAAGGTTTGGGGAAGGATGGAAAGTTTTATTGGGTGTGTTCGGTGCCTTCGCAGGGCAAGGTTAATCTGCTGTTGCAGTGGGAGGTGACTGCCCCTGTGAGGATGGATATCGCTGGATTGTACTAAGTTCATATGGCGTATGTATTTGTAAAGCTTCTAATATGTTAGCTATGACTCGCAGTGGCCATAGTGTGTCCACAGAAATTGCAGAGATGATTTTGATCAAATCCCTTGATTGCGCGCACCTTGTCGACCCATTTTTAAAACCGGCAACTTGCAAGTCAAGCTGACAATTTTACAATGTCGCTACCCTCTTCCCTCCCAATCGCCATCTACACACAGACACTTCTACCTGACATAACGTAAGTCACAATAATCACTCTGAATTCACGCTCGTACAGATGTTCACAACGCAGTACAAAAAAGTAATGCCACCAATTTGACAACCTACTTGTTTAAACTTGACCCTTCTCATTTTGAGCCGATTTCGGAGGAACTTCACACCTTTCTTCAAAACCAACCTGATGGTCAAGGGGGTTTTTTAACGCACCCGATCAGTTTTTACGTACTGGGTTAAATTTTTTCTTTTCTCTCTGTTTGTTGCTAGGTTGGCGTCAAAATTTTTGTGGAGAGGGAGTCAGTGTGTAAGGATGTTAGTGCACATATTTGCTCTTATTTACCGATCAAGACAAGATAGCCTCGACTCTAGCTTTTTCCCTTTTCCCACTACTTTACTCTCATATACACGATTTAGAACTGTTCCGGCCTTTCGTGAGTGTACTCAAATTCAAGTTCAATTGCAGCTACTTAGAATGAGGATGAGAGAGATAAGATATTGATGGGAAATCAGTCAACACGACTCTTCGAGGTTGAACAGGGTTGAACGTTTGAATGTTGATCTTTCGGATTTCTCCTGGCGGCCCTTGGGCGGCCCCTTGCGGCCTTGCCGCAAACCACATGTCGATGAAACCTGACTCCAATACACAGCATCACCGTTACAACGCTCATCATATAGAGTTCACTGGAATTTGGGACTCGGAGGCTTAGTGTCCAATCCCCTTTACCACAAACATGACTCAAGAAACACACGAAGCGCCTCCAACGTTCGAACCTGTTCACACACTTGAGCTCGTTTCCGTAAACGACAGCAAGATCATCGGAGTCTCGGTTTACTCTGGACGGGCGGAGGTTACTCGTCTTTTCTCGTTCAGTGTTCATACGGGCCAAAACCAGGTTAACATTTCTGGACTGCCCAATGTCCTCGATCAAGATTCGTTTAGGTGCGCCGGAGTGACTAACATACTCCAATTTCAACTTCTGACACGTTAACGTATATAGAGTCGAGGGCCGCGGTGCTGCGACAATCCACGACGTCACTATATCCACCATCATCCCACCACCAATTCCGACAACTTCCACAGAGCTAAAAGCTCTCGAACTGAAGCGTACACAGACGGAAAAGGCTCTTCAGAGGTCTCGAAAAGCCATTGCTTCACTCGAGACTTACCTTGGCAGTGTCAACGTAGAACACGTCGCCATCACCGCATTGGGGGAAGTCGTCGGAAGCTACGAATCTACATGCGAAAAGCTTGATGACCAGGTCACCGAACTGGAGCAGCAGCTTGTTGATTTGAACAAGGCCATCGAGGTTGAGCGCAAGAAGCTGTCCGGTCCGACTGGGAATAACAAGCTGAATCTCAAGGCGTCGATTGGGGTGTTTGCCGACCATGAGGATGACGTAGAGATTGCGCTCATCTACGGTACGCGTTTCCTATTTTTGGTGTTGAATACTAAGCTTACCGCTCCTCAGCCGTCAACAGTGCGACGTGGAGTGCTGGTTATGATATTCGCGTCGACATGCAGACGAAGGAGAAGCCTATCACGTTGATATACAAGGGGGCTATCACCCAGAACACCGGAGAGGCAAGTTCACCGTTCACACATATTTCGCTTTGATTGACAGGTACTCTTTTAGGATTGGAACGACATCCCATTAACTCTGGAAACAGCCACCCCGACGTTTGGTGTCGGCGTCCCTTCTCTCATTCCTTGGACCCTTTCAATATACCGTCCGCCAGTTGTGAGATCGAAAGGAAAGAGATTTGGTAGAGGTGGAACATCTTTGGCTGCCTCTTCAGCCGTGGCCTATCGACTGAGCAGTCGACGCAGTCCAATGAGTCGGCGCAGTACATCTTCGGACGAAGATGAAGAGTCTCGCGCCAGCCCAATGGAATATCGGGGTCTTGCCGTCTCTTCCAAGGGAAACATCAGCGCTACTTTCACCGTCCCCGGGACCATCACGATTCCCAGTGATGGAGTTGCCCATAATGTCACCATCGTGCAGTTGAGTCTTGACTCTACGATGTCTTGGGTGTCTGTTCCCAAAGTGGACGCGAAGACACATCTTAATGTCAGCCTCCATCTTCTCGAGCTCTTTCTCGACTTTTTTCCTGATCACTCTATCCACAGGCCAAGATCAAAAACGCATCTGAATACACCCTCCTAAGTGGCCCTGCCAGCGTATACGTCGATGGAAGCTTTATCTCCCGCTCTGACGTACCCGCCGTAAGCCCAGACGAGAGTTTCGATTGTCCATTGGGGTACGTCTTTCTCATTCCTCCTACCGTTTGATTCCTCAGACTGATCTAACTACCCCCTTCTCGCAGCCTGGACCCCTCCATTCGAATCACCTACCACCCCCGAGTGAAAAAGGTCTCTCAAAGCGGGTTCTACACCAAGACAACAAACTACGTCTTCTCGCAGCGCATCACCATCTTCAACACAAAATCCACCGCAGTCGACAACGTCAAAATCATAGACCAGGTGCCCGTATCGGAAGACTCCCTGATCACAGTCAAGCTGGTCAGCCCGGCCTTGGTAGCGCCGTTTTCAGAGTCGAAGACGTTGAGCGGTGGGGAGCTGAAGGTGCCGCCGCCGGTCAAGGTTAGCCCTGGGGTTGTCGTGCAATGGGATGGTGCGGATGAACCTGGTAATGATGTAGAAGGTTTGGGTAAGGATGGGAAGTTTTATTGGGTGTGCTCGGTGCCTTCGCAGGGCAAGGTTAACCTGGTGTTGCAGTGGGAGGTGACTGCCCCTGTGAGAACAGATATCGCTGGATTGTACTAATTCCATATTGGCGTCGTCCTTTCTAGGCATGCCTTTTTGTATTCGTAAAACTTCTAAATCACTTTTTTGTTCAGGGTTTGCTCTTTGTATAGCGTGCCTCTTGAGAAATTGCAAAGCTGATTTTCATCAAATCCCTTCCATTTTCGCCTTAACTCAAACCATCACCGTCGGCAAGTCAAGTTGTCAATTTTACAATTTCACTACCATCTTCCCTCCCAATCGCCATCTGTACACAGACACTTCTACCTGGACAAAACATCCCGTACAGATTTATTACCGCAGCCAAACGGCACAATGATCCCAAACCCACTAATACCCACCCGGCTTCTCCGCCTTGCCATATCTCTCTCTTCTTCCCTTATCTAACCTCCACATCGACCGCGCCGTCTCCCACCGCGAAATCCGCCCCGTCGATCTAGCAGATGCATTCCCAGACGACGACAGAGATAAACCTATATTCCTCGTCGTTCATTGCGCGCCGGGCGTCCAACCCCGGGATAGGCATTGGGCTACCCGATGGCAGACGATGTCCAAGAACCGTGAAGATCGTCTACCAGCTTTGAGATGCTTGGAACTAGAACAAAACCTAGGGGTCTACGCAGACGAAAAATTTAAAATACCTGATCAATTATGGTCCCTTGACTAGCTGCAGCGCGTTGGCGGCGGCGGATCTTGTAATACTTCCGGTTGGTACTCTGTCGCTTGCGCAACGACGCGAATTGGAAGCTATTGCGTGGAATGTGGGTGTTGTCGAGCCTGATGGCGAATTTAACTGTCAGAATTGGGCCGCGGCTGTTCTTGCGGTGGCCGCTGCCAGAGGGCTTATTGAGGAACGCGTGTGTCACGACCTTTTGAGTAATGCGCTCAAAGATGATCCTGCCTCTAGTAAGTTGTCGTTGACTGGATGCTGAAATATTGACGCGCTAATGTGAATAGTAGGCATAGGTAGGCTCGTCACCAGCCGTTATGGTCAGATACTGATTTCGGATCAGAATACTTACCATAACATCAATTACCCGTGCACAACCCTCCTAATTCGGACTGACCCAAAACAACTCATTTGTTGTCCCGGGTTTTGATTCCATAGAGACTGGAGTCGAGTCTAAGGCATAGGCGCGTTGGCTCATTACCCTTTCAAGTATGATCAGTAATTTCAAATTTGGCAGAATAAATTTGCCGTTGCGGACCGTACTATTCACTGTTCAGGATGGTTGACGACTTTCCTGCCCGCATGTTGCTACGGTACACATTGCACAAGTACGGAGAATGCTCAACATTACCTGAGCAAGAACAACGTAACAGTGATTGGTTCATTGGATGTACAGTATATTCAAGCTGGACAAAACTCCACGCAAAGTTGAAGATACTTGGAAGTCACCCATACAGACGGGAATCTTGCCATGATATAGCGCAAGCACAACAATCACTCTGATTTCACAATCGTACAAAATATTCACAACCCATGGTACAAAAAAATCACGCCGCCGACCTGACAACCCAGCCACATAGGCCTACTTGTTCAACTCCTGCTGAGCCTTGCCCTTCTCATTCTGAACGTTGCCTACGAAGCAGGCATAAGAATTATTTTTACAAATACAATTAGAAAAGACAACACACCTGAGGTTTGTTGGGTCTTGTCCCCGGTGATGGCGCCGACGATGGAGTCCTTGGCGCCAGCGAGGCGGTCGAGGGTACCTTCGCCGTAACCCTTAGCTTGCGCGCCCTTGTACTCGGCTTGCCCTTTGGCTTGATCTTCTTTACCGGAGCTCTTCCAAGAAGTCGAACCGGTAAGATCGCCAATCTGAAAAAACGTTGAGAGTGTCGCGCACTGTAAGAAACGCTGGACATACCGTCTGCTCAGCGGTACCTTTCGCAGAGTTCGCCTGTGCGTTGAGCTTGCTAAACATAAACAGTTAGTCCCCAGGACGACGAAGGGTGACGACGAAAAGCTTACTTGGGTTCGCCAGTCATGTCGCTCGATGTCTGAATGTAGGTGGTTTAAAGTAGGAAGAAGAGGATGGGGATGAAAAAATCAGAGCTACGACGAACCTCTTTTATACCACTAGCTTCCCGCTGGTTTCGCATAGGCGGGTGGACGGCGTCACCCCACAGGGAATGAGAGAATAATGAGCGCATGCCCGCAGGCGGTGACGTCAGGAGAAGAGAGAACCTCCTTTCCGAACCTAAAGACCTCGGCTTAGAGTCACTTCTCTACCTCGACGGGTAAGCTTGGCATCTCGATGGATGCCCCAAGATCATCCCCGGGATCGTCGTTAATCAGCAGGTCACAATTTCCTTGAAATTTCCCTCTTCTGAAGGCGATACGCGCCGTCAGGCGCATCGCGCGATAAAAAAATCATGAGGTTCCCTCGACGATTGATGACTGGATTCTGGATCCTACTCCATCACGTTCGTTATTTGGGGATCCGTTGACCTGGCTTCCCACAACGATAAGGCAGGGCTGCCCCTTACATGCGTCTTTATCCTTCGCTTCTGAATATGCAGGGTCGGCGCTTGTAGAAACGGTTCGCGGCAGGGTATTAAATTAAAAGCAGGAAAAAGAAGTGAGACATTCAAATCGGCTTTAAATATTGTCATCGACACCGTGCGCGAGAATATGATGGGGAAGTATCAGCGCATGCCACGAACTGATAAAAGTAAGGAAGCACCTCTAGGTCTAATGGCGTATAAGACGATCGATCATCTGCACCATTCGGAGATCGCGGCACAAGTAAAATTGCACATCGGGCGATACGAAGGTGATAAGACAACAGAAGAGGGGGGAAGCTCTCAGGGGAATAACAACGTTGTCGGAAAGAGAAGTTCCACCATCGGAAGAGGCGCCTCAAGTCTAAAAGTAATCGATGAAGGAATGATCAGCGCTAGAGATGATCACGATAGGGATAATCTATGAAAAATCGCCCTGAAGTGGAAATCAGTTGATGTCACTTTATGTTCTAGTAGACAAAATGAACGAGAACAGCGAAGAACGAGAACAGATGGAGCCGTGCAAAAACAATTTTCGTCAAAAGGAAAGCAAAAAAAAGACAGAGGAAGGCGGTAAGAAAGGAACATAGACGACGCACGCCGACGAAGTGGGTATCACACCTCCCTCCACAAATTTTCGGCATCGCCCCCCAACTGGCAGATGCCATCGACCGCAGTAACCACCGTCCTGTCAAAGTCATGCACAAACACCACACATGTGATGGATGGGCAATACAGCCGTACTTCGTTGGCTAGCGCCCGAAAAGCCGGTGGAGTAGAAGGGGGAGGGTCCCATTCGGAAACCTCGACCTCAATGCATTGTGTGTCAGGCAAGCGCATCAAGAGGCCATAAAACCGAAGGCGCTGCAAACATGGGAAATCCTCTGAGTGTGCGAGGACTTGGGACAGATTATGACACGTACCTCTTGCCCTCCAATGGGCAAAACTAGGGTTCCAAGATAGCGCAGCTCGACATGAAGATTAACAATGTTTTCGAGGAGTTCCATAGAAAAACTTTTGTGATAGGTTGCGTCGGCGATATCAAGCGAACGTAGCGGACCCGTGGAAAGGGCAACGCAGGAGAGCAAAAGTCTCATCTCAGCGCGCTTGGCGATAATCTCCGAACAAGAGAAACAAGTTTTGAGGTGAGTGACTGGGCGATAGGGTAGGATTGTAACAACTGCTTCAATGAATGTGCATTCGAGCTTCGAAAGGTTGGGAATGCCCTTTGCTTCAAGGGCGCCAAGGCCAGGTGGAACGGATGTCGATCTCAGTGGAGAATCAGCCATCACTTCAGATGCAACGGCATCCTGGAAATCCAAAATGTAGAGATCCTCGAGTTCAGTTTGTTTGTCTAAGAATTTGACAAGATGCTGGTCCCAGTCAAAATCGCAATGAAGTTTGCGAAGGAGAAACGTGCAACCGTCAAGGATCCAAGCAGAAGATGCGGGGCCGTCATTAATATGGATGTTAAGGTAACGTAGGTTGATTGTTCGCTTCAAGACGTGTGAGATGGAGTTCCAATCTGTGTTTGGACATTTTTCTTCTTCCACGTTGTAGTCGTGTTCATGTCGGCTATCATCATCCGAATCCCCTTCGTCTTGAACCACACTCGCACGGCTCTGCCCTTCAGCTGCTGATACAATGGTAAGGGCTTCGACGAGAGACGAAAGACGCGGTTGAGCTACGAGGGTATGGCACAAAACTGTCGTTTCGTGTGCCTTCCTCATATACAACGTGTTGTATAGCGCACGTTCAGCGGCATGCCGAAAGCTCTTGGAGACCCTGCAAAGCGATGCGATATCGGAACGGTTTCCGACGTATTTTACGACGGTGCGATATGCCTCCAATGACAAGTCCATATGAGATGGAGCATAGCCTGATAGAGAAAATAAATAATGAAGAATGTGAATAGACTAAGAAAGCCCTACCAACGCCCACCCGCCGCGCGGTTTCCGAGTCAGCAGAAATTTTTAACCTCGTGAGCGTGATTTTCCGCCTTGACGGAGTGGTAAAATAGTCTTCTAGCTCAGCCTAGAAAAGGGAGTGGATGGAGCTGGGGAAACTGTGGGGGAGTTACGCGCCGGGATCCTAGTGAACTACAGTGGGCTTTATAGTAATTTCACGATAAGGGACGAACGAGGGACGCACAATCGCAGCAGGAAACAGCTCTAAAATCAATACCCTGACCCTACTGACGGTCAAGCGAGAAATATAGGGATCAGTCTAAGGAGGAGATCTCTGGGTTGATCAGTAAACTGACATACTTCAGGACATGAGACTAACTTACTGTTTTATCTTCTGAGATGCGTTGCACGTAGGAGGGGAGGAGAGAAGAATCCCACATGGCTGCCATGCGGCCTCCCAGGGTTCGCACGTTCCCAGGGTCGATTCCGCCTCAGCGCCGAGCGTTGGTGTCGGAAGACCTGAGAATGGGTGCTCCTTGTTCCGTCGACTGCAACCCGCCAATATCGCAACCAGGGTAGATAATCCGATACAATCCGTTGTAGCTAATTTCGGCCCGGAATGAGGTGACTGCTTAGATCACATTGATATCCATGGAAAGTCGAGGGTTGAGCCTAATGAACGAACTTCTTGACATCGATGGCGTAGCGGGCAACGATCGTCCCTGTGGGGAAATGACGAGTGGTCATTGGAGTAAGTGGGCTTGGCTTTTCGTGGAACGTAACACACTATCTCACCTGAGAAAAGAATCACCATGCCCTTCGCCCAACTCTGCTCCGGTATAACTCCCAATATTAAAGCATAACGTCACGACTCTACAAAGAGGATACGCCGACCGTTGTTAAAGAACATTGGCACTCGCAAGACACAAAGGGCAGACGCTCGATTGTCTAACCTTGCGATGGCCAAGCTGTCGTGGATGCCGACCTCTCGGGTTTGATGAACAAAGGATGCGAAGGGATCTGATTTCGACCGGCAGAGCTTCTACGCCAATGTAATGTCGGCAGAAAAAAAGTTTAATTGGTTTATGCAGTCAGTGTGATCATAACACGTTCTGAAGCGTGGCCAGGTGAAATTTGACAAGATGGAATAGACGGTCGCCTGCCAATTGCACGACTCGAGCTTTTCAAGCTCTTCTAACCGCGAGAGCACTACATCTTTGCTTGTCTCGTCAATTTCTCCAGCAAGAAATATTTGTTCCAATATCGCATAAACCTGCCCCTGCGGGTGAGAATGATGCCTCCGAATGCACCAGATCAAGTTCACAAACATTGTAAAAAAAAGAAAGAATCTGTGCAGCAGGTGTATGACGTGTGGCTAAAGTTCTATGAGGCTGAGAGTATTGCAAGGGAACATACCTCCACGAAATTTGTTTGGTATTTCTGATCCCTACCAGCCTCTGAACTTCTCCGCGCAATTGGACCTGGGAATGGTAATTTTCAAATGTAGGTGTTGTGTAGGTGTTGAGATGAAAATGAACCTCAATTTCTCGTCGTGATTGGCATGTGGGACATACTACTTTGAAAGCCTTGCCTATTCTCTGGTCATTAGACTTATTACATCTCATTTGCAAGTGGTTCTCACCTCTACCAATATGGCCCGATCATGATTGTTGTGGCGGATGCAGTGATTGCAAAACTTGTTTTGTTGTAAGAGTTCGAAGTTGAAGAGGACACGTGGTCCTCGTCGGGCCGGCGTTTTCCCAGGTCAGAGAATAGCAAGAGAATAGTAACAAACCAAGTTTCTACAAAAACGCGACCTATATAAGTACTGAGGATCCCTTCAGCCATTCTCAAGGATTGGATATATACATGTCTCCTTTAAACTTTCGTTGCAGCTTCGCAATATCACCCCTTACACAGCACCGATTATTTCCCCAACGACACTCTTAAACGTCTTTTCAGGATCAAACTGTTCACGAATCGCAGCGAACTTCGAAAGGGACTATCAGGGATATATGTAAGGTTAGTGGAAGATAAATTTAGCTAAGGGACAAACCTCCTGATTCAAATTTTTGACAGATTGCTTCAAGACGTCCCTTGTGCACTTTGTCCAGTGAGGCCGAGTAGGAAACTGGAAGGTATCGTAAGGTCAGGGATCAACAACGGTAGTGAAATACAATCCGACCTCATTAATCAACGTCTGTGCCAATTTGCCATACCTAATGAAGGGGTGATGTGAGATCAACGTGGTGAGCGAAATATAACATACCACTCCTCGTTGTACCGATGGTGATCGCCAGTATTCGGCCTGAACGTCGGGAAGTCAAACATCATGGCCCCCTTGACAAACATTAGACGAGCAACGTCAACCTGCTAAAAAGCACTTACTTTCGACCAGTCAGCGGTCACATTCCCCACCCTTTGCGTTGTCTGCCCTAGTAAACTGTCGAAGGGTTTTCCAAACTTGGCAAGTCAAAATCCATGTAAGGCCATGCTTCATTGGAACAGTTCGCTTACTTTGATATTGATCCCGCTACGGGTCCAGTCAGAATTATCGCAGTTGACTTCGTATACGTAGGACAAGGGTCAACACCCACCTTCGGTACGTCGAAGTGACTGGTTTCCCCTGGGCCGCAGCCTCATCGAACAACTCCCTTACGCGCCTGAGAAGTCGGTTGGCCTGCACAACAGGGACCGCCAGTTCCAGAGTAAGTCCATGTAAGCCGTAATCCCATTCGGCTTTGGTATTTGGATACAACCCCCCGATCAAAACATCATACGCGTAACCATAAACTGGCCACAGCAGCAGGGGTAGGTTCGTCTTTTTATCTTACATAGTCCGAGAGTCAGCCTAGCTAACGAAGACTTGAACTGTCGTACCATGGAAATTTGGTACACTCCATAAACCAAAGAAGATGCCTTCCGCAATGAAATTGGGCGCACTGAGATTTTGACCTCCGTTCAAGAGGCCTAGGGCGGCGCTGGCTTCTAGCTGACTGAGAGAAAACGTGGACTAGAATGATTTAGTGTGTCGTAACTTGAATAAGAGGCGACATTCACCTGGAAGGCATTCCCGTGTTTAGTGATGGGAACAACCCCATATGTGCGACGATGAAACTTCTTGATGCCTTGAAATGATGTTAGAGTCTTAGAGATAGGCCACCCGATGATAATACGACTAACCAGGCCACCACTACCGAAAGTGTCATTGCATCAACTACTCATGGAACGTCAGATATCGAGGACTAACCCAGTAATTGGCAGTAACGTATGGTGATATCTGCACGTAGATATCGCCATTTAATACCTCATCTTCACTAAGAATTTCTTGGTTCGCGAAGACCTTGAAGTCGGCTACAACTTCCATCTTGATCCGCGCCAGGACGCCCAAAAGTCCAAGAGACGTGGTGGCAGCAAGCCACGTATCGTTCGATTGATCCTTTTCAAGATGTACAAGATCACCTGCAACGAGGAATTCTCAGTCCGCCCTGCGATAAAGTTTCAGTCAAGCGAATCTTGCCTTTGCCATTGATGATGTCGAAAGCCAATGCAGCACTTGAGACTTGAGAATCCTCTCTCAATGAGGAGCGATGGGCGCCCATTGCCATTGCGCCGCCTATCGAAAATGAGATCAGTGATCTTTCCCACCACAGGCGAATTGGGGAATTGAGTCGCACCAATAGTGATGTTCCAATTTACTGAGCAAAGAGGCACATGAGACGACGTCCTTCAAGCAAATGATGCAAATACCGCACCAAGTGTATACCCAAGCGATGCGCCTCGAGCGTGAAGCCACTCCGCCCTAAGTATAGAACATGAGGCAAGAAGGAAGAAAGAGGAATTGTTCCACTTACAGCTGCGGAAACGTAACACCAGCTTCAACAACCACGCTTCCCTGCCCATTATTCAACGCTAAGTCCGAAATCTTGTTGACAGCGTCCGTCTTGATAATAACCGTACGAGAATCATCAGAACACATCGTGTCATCTGTAGCATATGTTCAAACTGGAAGCAGGATAATAAATCCTAATATCGTCTCACACCACATATGCCCATTCTAATTGACAAAAAGATTTAAAGTGAGTACGACGTGCACACGATTCGCAAGAACTCACACCACTGGCACGAACAGGGACACCCCGCTGACTCGCGTCTTTCACGATAGAAACCATCTCATCGACGGTAGAGGGTCTGTATACCTGAGAAACAGCGTTACATGCAGGGAAACCTGGGCCATCGAATGTATTGTATGGTTCTACTGGAAAACAAGCGTCAGCCCTCCCACTGACCCAATATAAACAGCCTTGGAACCGACTCACCAGCAAAAGCGAGCCACACAAAACACGAGGCCGCTACAAAGTATGCGATTCCCACATCCATTTCGGAGGGGGTAGGTAGGGAAGAGCTACCCGACATGACACAGGGCTCAAGATATAGCTCTTCTGGAGTATATTGCTTCCATGTGGGGTAGTGACCACGAGACTCTATGATCTGGGATGTTTCGCTTGGTTTGGGTCACCAGAGAGCTTCAGAACCAATGTGAAAAGTGGGCATGCGGGCACCAGACCCTGAATTATCTATTTGCGAGTTAGCAGTGAGCTGAGCACTCCATTCAAGCGGCGGCCGTACCGTTATGTCTGGAACGTAACGCATTGATCAAGCAGAGCTTCGTTTGCAAGCTATACGGGACAGTCCAGACGCAAGGTGGAATGGAAGTTGACTTTTAAGAAAATTAGAGTCTATTTGGTCCAGTGGCACTCAACAAACCAAACGCTCAAACTCCCTTGGAAGTTGGCACACTACCGCACTCATTGACATCATAATTATAGAAAGCAAACTGTCATGCAGCACGTCCAGATCGTACGTATCATACCTAACTAACTGTGAAAAAAAGACAGTCCTAGATCCAAGGTATATAACTTAAGACTCATGCAACCCAAAAGCACAATCCGCATCTACCAAACCCGGGGGTGGACACGACGAACCCAGGAGGGTTGGGTATGAACACAAACCAAGGGAAAGGGGGGAGACAAGGGGAAGGGAAGGGCAGCGGGCTAGATATGTGGGGGAGTCGCAAGACTACTCCCCAGCAAACAGCCGAACGATCATATACGTCGTAGACCCCACAAAACGCACAACTACCCACGCATCAGATCCTATGAATGAAGCAGGAAGGAAAGGAAGGAACTCACAAGCAAGCCCAGCAACAGAGTACAACAAAAACGCCATGTATCCATTCACAGCCTTATTCGCGCCACTCGTAGCTGCGTTTCCGTTCGTCGACCTATGTATGTACGTGGCGTGTTTAGTGTGTGTAACCAACCGCGAGTAAGAGAACCCACGTTATCGCAGCAGCGAGCAACCCCTACAAAATCCCATCATTCGTTGTCGTTCACACCAGAGAAACAAAACAAAACTCACATTCGAAAGCGTCCAAGCAAGCAAAACCTATCATTCGCAGAAAAAAGAACATCAGCAACCTCAAAAGCCGCGATCAAAGTATTTCCTACACTGCACACAACACATCAGCCACCATCCCAAACACGCAAAAGAAAAACTCACTTTGTCCTAAAAGACCTATAATAATCCTCCTGCGCCGTCAACGGATCAACCTTGGCCTCCTGCTTCGGCGGCTTCGTCTGCAAAACATGTATAGCATCCTCATACAACGAATTAATATCCTTCTCGCTCGTCGGCACCTCCACCTCGACTTCACTCTTGTTCTTGGTGGTGGTGACGGCGCCTAGATCGGGTGTGGTTTTGTTGTCGCCTTTGGTTCCCCAGGAGACGTCGTGTACGTTTGCGAACTGCGGTATTAAAGGGTTAGTGGGGAGAAGGGGGAGAAAGGGGGGTGGAGGAGGGGGGACTAACGGCGTAGACGTTCAAAACGGCAATGTACGAAGGCGACATGAGTGTATATTGTATGAAGGACGTGATCATATGCCAGGGCTCGAACTAGGTATCGATGAGCACTTCCTTGAAACGGACGAAAAGCGAGAAAAAAACACACAAAGATAAGAGAAGCGATGATGTACAACCCTAGCGTAGCCAAAAGCGACAAAACGATGTTTCGAAAGATATGGTTAGTAAACACACTCGAAAGGCTCAATCCATGGTCTGAAGCCGCTAGATTCGATATCCCCTTGAACGCCAACAAAAAGGCGGCAACCTACAATTTGCACAAAACATCAATGATTGAATGATTGCGTAGAGGGGGTAAGGAAGAAAAGAAAGAAACGCACCGTCATATAAACCGTAATGCACGCAAACCCAATCATAGCAAGGGTATAACCCCACTTCGATCCCTGCGGTCGATTCCCAAGCGATAAGATGAAACACGTGAGCAGAAGACCAAGGTAACAATAGTTAATCACGACATTGAAGATATGTATACCCTTGAGGTTAAACGTCGGGTCTTCCATCGCGTCCGAGAGGATGTTGAACGCGATGTAATAGTTGGCCTACGCGTCGTGTGGTTTGTCAGCTAGGGAACCAGGGGAAACGGGGGAGAACTCACCAAAGCAAACCACGAGAAAATGAGATTAAACACCTGATAAAACATCTCAACGTGGATCCAAAACTTGCGCATAAAGGTGTGCGAGGACCGGTAGAGGTAGTGAAAGTGGAAGATACTATGCACAGCCGCGAAGAAAGAACCGTTAAGCCAGCGTCTTCGCTGCGAGATCAGCTCTGGTACCTATCAAACAAACAAAGATCCAGGTTAGTTTTGATTGTTTGTAGAGAAGTGAGGGGAAGAAAGGACGTACTTGATCCGGAACATCCGTGACAGCATACGCCGATTTGACGTAGTGCAAGATCCACGATCCCCCTCGCTTGGATACCAACTCCCAACACAGGATCTACCAAAACGACGAATCAGTCGTGGTGGGTACGGAGAGAGAAAAGGCGTACTCGATCTTCAGCAAGATACATATTAGCAGTGAAAATGTCGGCGCCAGCACCGTGCTTCGATAGATGTATCAGTAAAACGAAGTAGAAGGACCAAAGAAACAAAAGCATACCATCGTTTCACCCAAGAAATACTTCTGCAACGGCCCCTCTCCCACCGAGTCATTCTGAAGGGCAATGTACCGGTACGCACTGAACGCACCCGGAAGCACCGTGATGTACCCAAACACCGATTCCCTGTATTTAGTCATGTAAGTATGAGAAAAACCAAGGAGAGGAGGGTAGGCGCGCATACAAAGGTTTATCAAGGATATTCGACATCTTATACTCAAAATTCTGAGCCGCAACTATAAGTCATAAAGGATCATCCAACGCTCCAAAAGAAAAGGCAAAAACGAAAACAAACCAAGCGGATTAATCAAATTCTGCCCATACTTCCCCTTAAGCGCCACAATCTCCCCACACGCACCTCCCACATTCGAATTAATATCAAACGCCTTCCATAAATGATATATCGACGTCGGGCCCGGCATCGTCCCCACATCCAACAAAACACACACGTTAGGTTGGAGGATCGCCCCAAAGGCGTTGAAGAACCACCGATGGGAGTTTATTTTTTTTGCGTTCTTCTCTTTGAGGCAGAATATGATTTGTACGGGGACGGTTCCGCGCTCTGCGCCTTCGATTTTCATGGAGGGTGTTACGGAGACTATGGAGAGGGGAGGATAAGGGAGAGAGAGAGAGACAAGGAAGAGGTGGGGCTTACTTTGGGTCGTGTACTCGTAGATATGAGCCTCAACGTCCTTCGTCCCAACTTTATTCTATCACAATGCATGAGCCTTCGTTCGAATAAATAAGTCACGACCCACCTTGGCAATACCCTCCTGATACGCCCCCATAGCAGCAATCACACTCAAAGTCCTACTATTAATCTTCCCCCGTCCATCACTAACAATACAAACCACAACCTTCTTCCACCCTTCCTTCCCCCACGTCTTGCTCCTATCCCGCTTACACAAATGCGCAATATTCTTGATAACGCCATGCATAGTCCTACAAAACAGATCCTCCTCTTCATTGTACATCGTCATCACGATGAACAGCTCCGTACGCCGAGGAGGGTCGTAGTGTACCTGCCTTAACGTGAACCCGGAATCTTTGAAGTTGTTGGGGTCGCAGGTGGCAGCGGAATAACGCATGTGTGTGAATTCGCGCTCGTTGCGGTTCGCGCACATGTCTAGGAGCTTGGGGGGTACTGCGTTGTCGAGTACGAAGTTCCCATGGAAGAGTCTACGCAACAACAAAAAAAAAAAAGAACCAAATCAATCCGACAGACCACAAAAGACCCACGGGGGAGGAAAGAACTCACTCAACCTTCTTAATAGTCTTATACCGCCTCGGAACACGCTGCGGTATCCTCCCATACCTTATATTACTCTCCGAGCGATCATCAGGCGTAGCAGCATCCTCATACCCCCCCGGCATACCCACCCTCGAATAAGGCCTAGCAGCGCCCGGCAAACTCGGATCCCTCCTCAAAAGCGGTATATCACCCGTATCCTCACTCTCATGATCATCATGAAGCTCATACCCCGTCCGCTGGTACGGCGACGGAGTACCTATAACAGGGGGAGGTGGGCCTGGGGTCTGGAATCGCGGAGGCTCAACGACGGGGGGATACGTAGGGTATACGTTGTTCGACTGCTGTGGGGGCGGTGACGAATATAGATTCTGGGGCGGCGGGTTGAACGGGTCCGTTAGGGGCGGTGCTGCGCCGTAGGGAGACTGGCGGTCATATGGGTTTGGCTGGTGGTCGTAGGGGTTGGGGGTGGTAGTGGCTGGGTATGGCAGGTATCCATCGTTGTAATGGCGTTGCTGGGCTTCATCGGCCTGTTGAAAAAACGTTAACACTGGTGTGCGAGGATATGGAAGGGAGGTTGAGCCGTTTACCTCTGGGTAACGAGACATGACTTGGGGTGAAATTGGGGGGTATTGGCAGAAGTTGAGAAGAGTCTCCTGCGGGTTTTTGTTGGCCTAGCTCAGGCTGTTCAGGATGGCAAGGATCAGGCCTGGAGGCTGTTCGTAAAAGGTACGCTCATTACTTAAGCAACGTGCCTAACGCTTGGCATCATTTAAGCGCCGAAGCCAACCTCTCCTCCCTACTACCTCTCTATGGTACATTAACTGGCGAGAGTTATGACCGACACCTTGTTATTCGTTTACCTCTCAGGCACCATTTAATTCCCCCCGAGATCAACCTGTGGAACATTTTGACCTAACTCACGCTGATTTCGAAAGACTGGAATTTATTGGGAAATTACATCAAAAGTTGAAAGAACACGAATTGCAAGTGTCAGGATAAAGTCACATAACCTGGGGGCTACGTTAACTAGCGAATTAATCCGTAGACAAGTTATGTATGAACTCACATGAAGGAACAACTGCAAGGAAAATATCATGTAAGAAACTCCTGCCCTCAAACCAAAGGTTTACAATGGGAACATACAAGCTTTCTTTCCACAACTATTTATTCCGGCATAGCAATCTATCGCGGAAAAATCAGTACAAACAAAAATTCTGGAGTCAAAAAGAGAAACACATTGCGATGAAAACCAGTATCGAATCGCTCATTCCTATGAATTCCGTCTGTTTGAGAGATTTCTCCAATTACCATTGAGTGCCACGCGGCATCCACACTCGCTAAACAACATTAATAATAGCTCTCAATATCAAGTCTCACTCACCCCATTTGCGTGGGATGTAATGCGTTTCGAGAAGGAAGGAATATCCTGTGCTGTTGTTTCATCAGGGGCGTTCCGTGTATATGTGACTACTATCGGCTAATCCTCTTTTGAGCCCGGAGAATCGTAGTAAGAGGGGCAAAGTCATTGCCATCGTCCAAAGTAACCTCTCCATCCTCGAAGTTTTCAAGCAAAAGACGAGCAGCGTCGTCTAAAGCAAGGTCTAAAGGCTCCCTTTCCGACAAGGAAAAATACAAAGCACCCTTTTCCGAGTCTTCTTCTTCGTTTGGCACTTTTTCCAGGTTTATCAGAACTCTCTGACAAATTAATAGTGGCATACTTACCACTTTTTATCGGTAACGTCAGGAGCCAGCCTCTGGAACAGCGTTTTGGCTGGGTAATTTCATTGTAATTATGTAGTTGTACATAAGTTCTTGAATTTATCTAGAGCTACCTAGGTGTAGTAGTCTTGGGTAGACCTGTAGCTACCTGTAGATTCATACTCGCCATAGAATATCAGGCTTGGTGGATGATCTGTACCTTGAATGATGCGAATGGGGTTATCCAGTGACAAAAACAGGCTGTGGGACACTGATGGCTGACCGCGCTTCTCCGCGCTTTTTACAATCAAAGCGTTCTCCAAGTCCTTTTACCTTCTTCTTCTCTCCTTCACAAACACTCAAAGGTCAGCCGTTGATAGGCCTTGCCCCCGATCACCATGCACATTCCCACTGGTAAGCTCCACTATGCATGCAACACCACCTGTATAATGCTAACGTGGACAGCCTATGGACAGCAAGCAGGTCCTTAGTCATTTGCTCCCACATTCCCTCTGGTGAGCCAACCAACACCTTGTTGCATAAACCTTACTAATGGCACATTAGGTACAGTAGTTTCTATGGACCAACAAAACCACGGCAGTAAGCTTCACCATTTCTTCTGTTTGTTGAGTGTGTGCTAATGTGTTTACACTCAACAGCGTCGCTATCACGGTTTGGTTCAAGTTTCAGTAGGGCATCACAACTATTTGTGCGATGCTGGGGAATGTCAACGATCACACGGTGCCGGGGTGCCATCTTTTTGACTGCACATCAACGTCATCCCCTGCTCCTTCCAGTGTGCAGTGGCCGACGCACTTTGGATGTTTATATGCTTGTAGTCTACATTTACGTTGGCATGTACAGTAGCACTGCTGCATACATTTCGGATATTTTTCGGCATTTTTGGCCTGACACTGGCAAAAAATGTCAGAATTGGAATGTTTGGCGGTGTATGTGGCGAAATGTGTGGCGAAATGTTTGGCGGCTACATCGGTCCAAACACCGGTGCGCTACGCATTCCTCCTGCATCTCCCTCTTCCCCCATGTCAATACCTTACATACCCCTCCGTTAATGCGCATATAGTCATCTATATCTTCACGAACTGTTTCACACTCCTTCCACCACCATGAATCCAGTCATTCCCAACATCAACGGCCCAAATTCCTGTCCCGCATGTCATTGCGCTCTCAAAGTCAAGCTTGCGGCAGGTGGTAATTTCCCTGGCCAGTATTACATACGGGTAAGTTGACGAGGACACTTCCTTTGCACAATCTTATTCTCTTTTGTCCCAGTGCCATGCCCACCACTACCACTACACCTTTATGCCAGGTGTTGCGCCCGATGCCGTTTCAGCGCCCACCTCTCGTTCCTCTACAACCACCTCATCAGTCAAGGCCTCGTCCAAGTGCAGTGAAAGCAAATGCCACAGGGTTGCAAACTCGGTCTGCATCCGGCTCATGTGCAAGAAATGCTGCGTCGTGCACACAGGTTGCAGTATCCACACGGTCACTACGGTGGTTGCCAATAAGCAGAAAGGGAAACAACCACAGGTGTCCGCAGCCACGTCTTCCTCCTCAGTTCACCATCCCCCTCCCACGCGATCGCTTTCTCCTGGGGAGGAGCTCCAGATTGCGATTGCGAACATGGACCCCACTGTCCAGTTCATGCGTTCTGTGGAGGCTTCAACACGGGAGGCCGAACTTGCTTGTGCACAGGAGCTTGCGGACGAAGCCAAGGAAGAGGCTGATTATCAGGCAGCCCTTGCGGCTTCTCTTGGTCACTCTCCACCACACAACGACACTCATTCCTCTCCTTCAGACTTTGCCTCCACCTCACGCATTACCTCCTCGCACTTTGCCTCCTCCTTGCATATCACCTCCTCCTCGCATGTTGCCTCTTCCTCACATGTTGCCTCCTCACATTCTGGCCCATTGTCCCTGGTTCATTTTACACCCTCTCCTCCAGCACCACCCCCCAGCGCTAGCGCCAAGGCTCCAAAGCACACAACCCATCTTCGTTCTGAATGGATGCAGGGTTACGAAGACAAGACGTCGCAACCATTGAAGAAGTGAGGGCGAGCGCAGGGTGACGTGGCACTGCTCCACAAATTTTTTATCATGTTCTGGCGACAGGTAAGCAGTCATTAACGACATGTCCATCGCCCGCATCCCTTTTAACGCTCCTTGTAGGATGGTGCACCACCTGAGGTTCTATCAGTGCAAGTTTTACAGGGGTGGCCAACATGGACGTTAGCACAATGCCCAAAGACCCTGGAGAAGCTTGGAACCGAAGTGCTTGACGTCTACAACATCCCCAGTCGTCACTGGGTCCAAGTGGATGCCATCTGGCCACACTCCGTATCTACCGACACCCACCTCCTCTTTTGTTGCCGAAATGTCAAGTGTTTGGACTTCGACAAGGAACTCGCTACCGTCACAAGGAAGAACACTCACCTTCGCACCAACATGCCAGGTGATCGGAGTAGTGTACGAGTGTCACGCAAGCACAAAGCCACCCTCACGCCATCTCCTCAATCATCGCCCCCTTCCGAGGTGCAAATTCTTGACCTCACCATCACACCCAAGGCTTCGGCATGAAAGCGACACCTCCCTAGTCTCACTCCCCTCATGATTCCTGTCATCACAATTCCTGATTCTCCCATAACGTCATCCACATCCCCCTCATCCCTCTGGACATCCTCCATATCCCAAGGACCCTCATCATCATCATCCTTTGCTCTCACAAGCCCCTCCTCTCCACCAGTACCATCATCCCCCTCCTCAATTCCTTCCCCCATCTCAACATCCTCACATAAGTCAACTTCAAAATGGCCTGGCAATTGCTATGTCGTTGACATGCAAGACACGTTTGATAAGATCAATAGTCGGGAGATGAGAAAGCGCTTCGGTATGCTGGAAGAGCGGCTCGAGCATGTGTTTGGCCATAAGGTTAAGCTTGCAACATACTACAACACACGCACCTGATGGAAGGCCGCCTCTGAGGATCACCGTGAGGAGGCTGTAGCTGGTGGACGTACGCCTGCTGGCCGCTGGTCAGTGTTTGCGCGCCAGTATCCTCTCAGACAGTAATTGTACTTTAGATTCTATTGCGCTACATATCTTAACTTCTTTCCGTATCCCTCCTGCCTTTAGCGACACCTTACTTACTTCCACTTGTCTTGGACTCTGTTGTGCAATGAAGAAACATGTAATAGTGAAACATGTAATAGAACAACACCATGATTACAAAATACGAGGGCAGTGTCCCTCCTTCTCCAACTTCTGGAGCACTTCGGCATTATGGAGCCTGATCATTTCGTCAAGGAAAAAATCATACTTGTCAGGGAGCATCTCTCTGATGATTGAGCTGTATCCGCCAAGCCATGCGTTGGTCTGCTCTGCAACCGACGTGTTGAAAAACCAGTTCCCGTCATCATCCTGTAGCTCAGGGTACATCGCTGGGTTGCAATTTAGTTGGCAGAACTCATGCGTCACCTTGTGTTTGTTCAGGAAATGCCAGACGTCGACGCACATGCCCATGTCTTGAAACCATGGATCACCTGATGCGTCCGCCTGTTGTTTCGCATCACAATTTGTATCGTAAAATACGTGTTCAGGCTTGCTTGCTCCTGGGATGGAAAATGCGTTCTTGAGCATTATCTACATAATTTTAAGAGCTCGATAAGCTAAGGAGTATAGCTAACACGCACCAGAAAATTGGACACGGCTTCTGCTCCAAACATGGTTGCGCGTGCAAATATTATGCCACAGGGTCGCACAAGGGTCTCTTCATTGTGTGTTCTCCTTCTCGAGAGCTGCGTTTTGAGTTTGCGGTTGCCGTCCAATGATTTTTTTGAGCAAGGATCAAGATCCTCAATGACGCCGACCGATCCAGGGTTCTGCTCATTAAAGATTTCAACCGCCATGCCATTTACCTCAAACCATTCAACTTCATCCTCAACATCTACATGCTCCCCATTCACAGCAACTGGAGTTTCTTCACCATAAAGCACTTGGGCATTTTTCCAACGGTCCTTCAGAACAAATGCAGCATTTCCGTGCGCCTTCTTCTTTCTCTCGATCTCTTGGTGAATAGGGTCTGCGCACGTCCTCAATTTCTTTGGTATAAGTTCAACCGGAAGCTCACAGCCATCAATAGTGCAAATATTATGACGGCCGAAATGTGTGGCACAAAATCGGTGTTGGTTGTTTTGAAGTGGCTCAGTGCATCGAAAGATTCCACAGCAGGGGCGGCCAATACTGATGCCATCCGCAACAATGGCCTGAACTTTCCCTGTTGATTGATTAATTCTGTTAACCCTGATTAGTTGTGCAATCTTACTGAATTCCCCATCCTCCATTTTGTAAATGCGCATGCATTTTTTGCAGGTATGATGAACAGCATCAGGCTGCCCTTCCATAATAATCCACTTATTTCTTTCCTCCATTGCAGTCTTGAAGCGGTCACTCTGAGAGCCTGTGTGAGGTACACGAAGGAGTGTTCCTTGTGTTTGATGGTCGTCAAGCAAAGACACTAAACTAAAACCATCCCATATGTGCTTTGTTGTAAGCTGGCCGCCAAGTGACCATCCATCAAGGTACGTGAGATTCTCTGACAGGGCCAGATCATAAAGCCGAGCAGTGTTGGTAGCCGAAAACCTTGAGTACTTGAGAATGTAAATAGATAGATGCGGAAAACACATACCATCCGAGAAGCATTTGCGCAATCCACATTCTCACTACCTTCACTTCCACGTACTGATGCTCACCTACCAATATATAGCTTGGTATACCCATGTAGTAGGTTCGGACACCATCCTGGACACTGAAATTGTTGTGATAATTTGTTTGGCACACTGCGCAACATGTTTTTCAGTGAATACTTGCAACAAGAACCTCACACGTACTCAGACAATATACATGTACATTCCATGTGGGTTGGACACCATTTGATAAAGTATAAATGACCGCTTTGCATTGCTCCTCTTTCTTCAAGGGAACAATATTTGCACAGTCAGGGTTGGTGCATACAATATTAGGCGGGTATAGAGTCAGCGCTGCTGCAAGATTCTGGTCAGGCACCATCTAGATCAATCCAAACAAATCACATTACTAATGCCATAAACCCATCCATGCTCTTTGAATAGTGTATAGTCCTCGCTAGAAAGTGCTGTAGTAGGCATGTTCCAGATATAGTCCTTGAGAAGACTCCAGTAGTCATGGATGTGTTGTTCAGGAATTCGCAGTGCATCACTGAGGAAACTAGAGATGCTGGCGGGAAGCTTATCAGGTGCGTGTTCAGGGTCACTTTGACAGATGCTTTGTGGCTGGAGAACATCGTGCTTAAGATGAGATGTAAGTCGTGCGAATGTCATAAGGGCACTGAGGGAGATCTCTTGAAGCACTGCATGACCTTTGAGCTGCTCAACTAGGTCAATTAGAAGCATGGTGAAGCGCGCGACGTGACACAGAACTAATATTTGAACATCACGTGTCTAATGTCACGTTTCCGGCCATACAGATCGCCACACAGATCGCCATACATGATCGCCATACTTTCCAATGCTGACATGCCCTCGACACTGGAAAGCTCCTTGATCATGTGATAGATCAGATGTGAATCGCTGTTGAGATTTGGTTGATCGGTAGGCCGCGTAGAGCCTGGTAGACCGGCTAGGAACTGTCTACCGGAACTACCGTAAAAAGGTGAAATTACAGTGCTTTACATCAGTGTTGACTTGACCCCTTTGACCTGGTCAACAGACAGGGTCAAGTCAATGGGTCAGTCAATAATTGACCGGTCAGTCAATAAAGGTCAAAGGGGTCAAAGTCATGTAGCTAACGCCATTTTATTAACGTGTAAGCCAATTTGACGATGTACCTGAGCTAGTAAATGTGCCCATAACACGGGGAAGAAGTGCAAATAAAATTCTATTAGCTGGCATTTTCTTGCTCTCGTCTCAATATGCCACGAAAAGTACTTCTGTGAGAGCATTTCTACGCTAATAGGTCAAAACTTGAAGGAAACAATGCAGATAGCAACGCGTGGTCCAAATACTGCATTGGCACACACAGGCAATGTAGGATGCAGATCGAGACACGATGTTGAGAGGGGAACGCCACTCCCATCTTGTCTTCATCAGGTTCTGCATACATACCCAAGGTGGGGAAGCTCGACGTTATGACATCCCACCTGTTAAGGGACTGTCAGCACGGCGAACAACCCACAGACACACAACTTCGCCGAGGAATGGCTTCCAGAGGATGTTGTCATCCCTAACCGGCGCGTGCTGAGTGGACGTGTCATGAATTCCCAAGTAAAAAAGCAAAGATTGGATCCACGAGAAGGTGACTGGAGAGCTCGCAACAGGGCAGGGTGATGGACGGAAGAACATTGCATAAGCATCTGTTGTTGCAATGCTGATGAGTGCTTGAGGTATGGACAGTAGATTACAATGCGGCGCGACGAGGTGGGCCGCGACAACCATGACTATGGCAACAGGGAGTGGTCAGCTTCGTTTTCGCGGCAAACACCGTTGTTTGCCCACCTGCCGAGTTGTGTGCCAGACATAACTATTACAAAATACCATTTTCCCACAATAATTACCTTACTTGAGCTCATAAAATGTTGAGCAGTGAGCACTCAGCACTAACAGTTCTGAGAGTGCGTCGGAGATGGTAAGTACACAATCTCTTGTCTATTTGCTTTTTAAATTTGTTTGTTATCTTTATGTTATGATACTTCTGCTATGTAAATTGTTCTCTACCAACACTGTCCAGCTTTCAGCCAGTCACATTATGCTGTTCAAAAAATTAGTCAAAATTCGAAATTCTTTTTCAGCCACTGTGCAAAGTTGAAGAATGGTGAACAAACTTCAGCAGTTAAGATTGAAGAAAGTAATTTGATTCTCTTCACCACAAATCTGCAGCACTCCTCATGCTGAATAAAACAGTAAAAAAAGCTAATTTTCAACTAAAATGCCTTTAGTATCATTAAAATTCTGTGGGGTAAGTTATTGTAAGTCCTGTGATAGTTACAAGTACTCAGAAGGGAATAAATCTTCTAGTACATTTTAAAATCACTGCTTTTCCCAGGTGTTATACTTTGAATGAGTTTTTTTTTTTTTACTCTGTGAATATGGAAGGTAAAGACATGACTGTAATGGAGAATTAGCATTAGCAAGAAAGGACAGTAGCTCATCAATTAATTCCTGGAATACAAGAAAATATGTAGAGTGAACATCCTAGTCAGAGATTGAAATATACATACCCATAGTCCTTAAATTTGAGTTGCAGTAAGGATATTCAAAAGATTTTCTCAGCTACCTTGCCACCAATTTGAAAATTTTCAAAGTCTGCAGATAGAACCATGAGATGAAAAAAATTCCAATGCATTTTTTACTTTGACCTGGATTGAACCTCTTAGAGTTGGATAGATTGCAACAGGCTGAAAGCTGGGTAACATCAGTAAAAACAATTCAGAAGGTTAAGTACCATGATACAGAGCTGACAAACAAATTTCCAAACTAAATAGGCAGGAAATGGTGTACCCATCATCGATGCGCTCTCAGAACTGTTGTTTTCAGTGGCATTTACGAGCCACAAGTAAGGTAATTATCGCGGGAAAACAGTATTTTGTAATAATTATGCGCGGCAGCAACTCGGCAAGTGGACAAATAACGGTGTTTGCCGAGAAAACGAAGCTGACCACTCCCTGTTGCCATACATGATATATTCACGTCGGCATCAAATAACCGTGATTACCAGTATCCCACGAAATCTATTGACCTGGTCAGTCAATGTTTATTGACTGACCCCCCCTTTATTGACTGACCCTTTGACTGACCGGGTCTGACCCTGGTCAATGCCAACACTGCTTTACATAGGAGGAGGCTATCAACGGGCCTACCGATCACTATACGTCTACATAGGTCTATGTAGACAATGTTCTGTTTCCAGATGAGGAGAATTATTTGGCGCTATTTATGTACACGTTTGTTGTGACTCGGACTCGGAGGTTTGTTACGAGGCGTCGACCAGCTAACGATTTGCGACGAGCTCCTGACGATGAATGGTCGATTGAGGCTCCCACCCACAGGCCGTCCCAAAGTCTGCGATTGAGCACACAGTCGATTAACACTAAACCTCAAGGAAACGCTGGCTTAAGACACCCCTTGGCGAACAATCTACGAGCGGAATACCGATAACGTGCTCCGCGAAACAGAAGAGGAGCTCGTTAAGAGGGCCAGACGACACCAACCAGAGTCCTGTGAAAGAAGTGTGTCATCGGCGCCTCAGGCTATCACCGGAGTTGAGCGCTTTCACCAAGCGCGCTGACCGCAAGGCACTGCCATAAGAGTGATAACTCTTCGCTCTCACCATCCACGACGTCACGATGCCACCCAGCAAACGAGCGCATAAAGTTAAGAACACCACTGTACAATCTTCCTTGGATGGTCAGGAAGAAACTGAGTCAGTAGTAAGTGTTCTTTCAGTCCCTGCACGTTCAATTCGAACTGATAAATCAGATATCTCAAACCAAAAGCGAACACCGTAACAGTGCGTACCCCTTGTCATCTACATCGTCTATTTCACATTAATTGCGCGCAGTATACTATCGGTTATATACAAAAGAAGGCCCACTCGAATCAAACAACCCGATCTTCTCCAACGATCCCTTCATCAGCCGCATCTCGTCTAAATCAGTGAGACCCCCTCATACGGCGGCCTCGCTGAAGAAATGCATTTGCAAGATTGAAGATGTGGAAGGCCCGCAGATGGGCGCTTTGTATTCGTCGTTGTCAGAAAGGGAACCTTTGGAAGATTCTGCTCGTCTTGTGCTCAGAGGGAACTCCGAGTCTGAGCCAGGCCCAGGATCATCTGAGGTTGACCCTATAATTCTCGTTGTTGACAAGGGCGCCGCTGAGAAGAGACCGAAGCCTGCGAGTAACACGGGCTCGAATGAACTGCCCACATGGAATTCTGAACGAGAATATAGTGCGTTTTGCTAGTTTGTTCTCACTCAAAAACTCCAATTTCACGCTCGCCAGTCTATTACAGACTCTACGACGACGACAGCGAAGCCATCTCAAAAACGTCATTTGACGAGAACGACTCGTCTTTAGGCCGCATCGACATATTTACCATTCCCCCACCACACACAGTCGCTTCCTTGAAAAATCGTCTTGTCCATGTAGAAGAGGTCTCAAGCCAGAATGTTCAATTGCTTGAAAACGAGGATGGAGAAGTTACATTGAACGATGACGATGCCCTCACCCTTCTAACTGACGATGTTCCCGGCTCGAATGAGGATCGGCCTATGGTATTCACATATACACAGACCGCACCCGATAAAACAACGACACCGGAGATTCCTTCCTTCTCGAAACGTCTCAAAGCTACAGGCGGTTGGGGTGCGTATTAATTGTTATTGAGGTCTATCGTGTTGCCTTTGACGTCGTTCAATAGCCGGCGGGAGTGTAGATGCCGCGTGGCACTCATTGAAAACCGGAGAGATCTTTCAGACAGACGGAGTTCAGAAGATCAAGCCATTCCAGTCTGGTCGCTGGGGTGTTTCTGTCTCTCTTTCTTTGGGATTTCTGTTTTTATTGACCAAGTTTCCGCGATAGATCTCCCTTGCTATGTCGGAATCAACAGTTCTGGGAAGAAAGCTTGTATGTCCCTATTGTCATCGTTTGGTTTGAGAGCAGGACTTTCTTACGTGATTTTTATTTTTTTGTAGTTGTTAACGCAAGTGAGTTTATACCTTGTTTACGGGTAATACACTAGTTAATGTAGCCTTTAGGGCATGCAATTTTATCTTGACAATGCCTTGCAATTCGGGTTCTTTTTCCATGTAAATTCCAGTCTTCGCAATCAATTAGCCTCAGTGACATTAAACATTTCCACAGGCTGATCTTGGAAAGAAAGAAAAATGGCACCGGTGAGGTAAAATACTAGTAATGTTGCTTATGACTCGAAGGAAAGTCCGATGCCTCTCTACGTACTGGACGCCGTGATGTGATTACATCCTTGGCGAAAGACGTGAAATGCAGCAGGAGCATGACTGGACAGGGGGGCTGCCACGCCGGGAAGTTCCCGGATTCATGGGGCCAGAACAAGTTCACCTGTGCGTGGTCGATGAATGTTTGAACATCTGTCTATCCTGTGCGGATGAGCCATTTAGTATGATGAGAGTTAGATAAGAGAGATGTTCAAGTTTGGCGCTATTTGTTCACCATTTACACAGGTTCATTTCATTCATTCAACGCCGTCGACCACATTGAGTCAGTGACGCCGATTTACAACAAGGCCTGTTACGCTTGACGGTCCGATGAAGCTCTCACCCACCGACCGTCTCAAAATTCGCGATTGAGCACGCCAATTAACAGTCAACCTCGACAACATTCTTCAGCAACTTGAACCAATCCCGGACAAGCAGGGTACTACCGGTGACGCGCCCCAAATCGCTATCCGCAAAACATGCAAAGCGCTGTCGTCGGTTATCGCCGGAGTTGAGCGCTTGCAAGTGCAACATGGAGGCACCATGAGAAAGCGAATGACTCTCCGCTCCCACCACCACCTACGACGTCACGATGCCACCTAGCAAACGAGCGCATAAAGCTAAAAACACCTCTGTACAAGCTTCTCTGGATGGTCAGGAAGATGCTGAGTCGGCAAGTGCTGTTTCAGTCCCTGCACTTTCTATTTGAAATGATCAATCAGATATCTCAAACGAAAAGCGAACACCGCAACAGTGCGTGTTCCTTTGCCTTATATATCATCTATCTCACATTGAATGCGCGCAGTATACTATCGGTTATATACAAAAGAAGGCCCACTCGAATCAAACAACCCGATCTTCTCCAATGATAGCTTCATCAGCTGTATCTCGTCTAAATCAGTGAGACCCCCTCATACAGCCGCCTCGCTGAAGAAGTGCATCTGCAAGATGGAAGGTGTAGAAGGCCTGGAAAACTGCGCTTTGTACTCGTCATTATCAGAAAGGGAACCTTTAGACGATTCTGCTCGTCTAGCGCTCAGAGGGAACTCTGAGCCAGGCCCGGGATCATCTAAGGTGGACCCTGTAATTTTCGTTGTTGATAAGGACACCGCTGAGAAGAGACCAAAACCTGCGAATAATCCGGGCTCAAAGGAATTGCCCACATGGAATGAACAACAGTATGGTGCGTGCGCATTGCTGTTTTGTTCTAAAAAACCTTGAACTTCATGACCACCAGTTTATTACCGACTTTACGACGACGATAGTGAAGCCGTTTCGAAAACGTCGTTTGATGAGAGCGACACCTCTTTGGGCCGCATCGACATATTTACCATCCCCCCACCGCACACAGTCACTTCCCTTAAAGATCGTCTTGTTCATGTAGAGGGGGTCGCAGGTAGCGACGTTCAGCTGTATAAAACCGAGGATGGAGAGGTTACCTTGAACGATGGCGATGCTATTGACCTTCTCAGTGATGATTTTCCGGGCTTAAACGAGGATCAGCCGATAGTATTCACATATACAAGGAAGGCTCCTGGTCAAACGATGGCATCCGGAATTCCCATCTTCTCGAGACGCCTTACAGCGAAAGGCAATTGGGGTGAGTGAAAGTTGTTCTTGAGGATCACCGTGTTGCCTCTCATGTTGTTTAGCCGGCGCGAAACTGGATGCCACGTGGCACTCAATGAAGACTGGAGAGATCTTTCAAACAGACGGAGTTCAGGTGAATAAGCCATACAGAAATTATGGTATTTCTCTTTGCCTTTGGAATTTTTGTTTTTATTGACTTTTCCGTGATAGATAACATTCAGGCTTGCTATGTCGGAATAAATAGTTCTGGAAAGAAAGCGTGTACGTTTCTATTGCAATGATTTGAGGGCGAGCCTTTCTCAAAGGACCTTTTTTGTAGTTGTTCTCTCCAGTGGGTTCCTACTTTGTCTGCACTATCATTTTATTTGCCAGCTGATGTAGCCCTAGAATATGTGACTTTATCCTGACTTCCTTGCAATTTGTGTTCCTTTTTTTCATGTAAATTTCACTGTATGTTACAGTATGTATAGATGAAGTTAGATTAGAAGGTTGGAAAAAAGTGGCACCCGTGAACTAGAAGAGTATGTGATGTGTTGCCTATAACTCTAGGCGAATTTGCACTGAGGTCTGGTAAAGATCATTGAAAGTAATGGTTTATGCGTTCGTAGGGCAATTAGATCTGGATAGATCTGAGAAAACGAAACAGAAATGGGAGAGCGTCTGCCGATGCCGTTTGGCTTTGACAACTAGCATTTTCATCGTGTAGTTCGACACTGCTCTGAAGGGTAATCGCAATAGTGATTCGTAGATTGCCAACTCGTTATACGCGAAATAGAAATCGCGTTTTCACGTAGGTGTATACTTGTCGCGTCATGTTGAAAGTGTACATGAACGAATTGCATCTAAGTCGCTACCAAAAAGGCGTTCGCAAGAAGCTATCAAGGCTTTCGTGACTCTCACTATTTATAAATGGGGTACTTTCAACGAGTGACTAGGAGGGAGAAAGGGTGTAAGTGAGAAGTAAAAGGGAGTGGTATACGTACGGTTGAGCCTTATCGAGATCTTGTGGGTTGAAGGTAGGATGTGACTGAAGGTATAGGAGGGGGGGTAAACATCATTAATTGTGTTGAGTTGAACTACGCTACCGCAATGCAATTTAAATGCGGAGAGCCACGCACAGAAGGCTTTTTATTTTGCGTTCCACCAACTTTTCCCCATAGCCCGCCCAAGCATGGACACACTACGTGGTGAGTTTATATGGCGACTCTGAAAAGGCTGCATAAGACTTTTTTTATTGGAGAATATAAACGACGAAATATACCGAGTACCCCATCAATGCTCCGGTTCAGAATCTGAACCCGATATGTCACTCATAAACGACTCGAGCGCGAAACGGCAGTACGCCGCCGTATCCTCCCTCGGATGGGTAGCGTGGAACATCCCCGCAATGACGTTAGCATACTTGCCCAACGCCTCCTTCCCCGCCTCCAGCTTTAACACACTCGCCAAAATAGCAAACGTATACGCCCCCATAATCTGCTTACTTTTAAGTGGAGCCGCGCACAACCTCCTCGCAGTCTGCCCAAGCTCCAAATAAAGCTCAGCATCGCGCTGATCCACCTTCTTCTGATCATTCACCACATCATACAACACCCTCGCCGCGAGGACCAAGTACTTCTTGAAGATTATCTCCCTCAAGAGCGAGTAATGCAGATCAGGCGAGAACTCCCTGATGAATTGCATATACAGCACCGCGGTCCACAGGTGGGTGTTCCTCGGCTTCGGGGGCTTCCACGCCGGGTTGTTCCTGAATTCATGGTGCCAGAACAAGTTGGTCTGCGCGTGGTCGATGAACATCGAAAAAGCAGTGTCTGCAGATCGACTGCGGACGCGGTAGTCTCTCTCCATCATCGTCTGGAGCATCCTCCGGGCAGCCTGCAAATCCCCAAGACGTAACAGCCCGTGGGTGGTAGTGTGCATAGGGAGACGGAGGGGTTGGAATGAGGAGTCTGGTATGGGAGGTTGGGTGCGTATGTTTTGGAGGATCTGGCCGACTTTTCGACGAGCATCTGGGGAGTTGTCGTGTAGGAAAGCCTCACGAATCCTTCGGGCGGAATCTCTGGAGAGGAGAACGGCGCGGTTATGTTGGTCGATGGTGGGTACCACCTGACGGTTAGCGGCTTGGAGTAGGGTGCTACTGAGCTTCATCAGTCCAGCAAATCGCGAAACAAAAGGCTTCACCACCGTTGAGGTCAACGTTGACGACTCTGCCCGGTGATCAAAAGTTGCAAACCTATTATGTAATACAGCAGTTCGGTCTTGGCCGGCTTGAGCGCTTTAGCAAGGGCGCATGACCACTGGAAGGCATGATACAGCGAATAACCCTTCGCTCCCAGCACCATTGTAACCTACGACCTTACGATGCCCACTGGTGATGGAGTGCATAAAGGTGGGAACACCGCGTCTCTGGATGGTCAGGGAGGAACTGAGCCGGTAAGTGCTGTTCCAGTCCCTGCGCTTTCTACTTGAGTTGATAAATTAGATATCTCAAACGAAACGCGAACACCGTGACAGTGCGTATTCTTTGTCATATATATCGTCTATCTCACATATGCGCCCAGTATACTATCGGTTATATACCACAGAAGGCCCACTCGAAACAAATCACCCGATCTTCTCCAACGATCGCTTCATCAGTCGCATCTCATCTAGATCGGTGAGACCCCCTCATACGGGCGCCTCGCTGAAGAGGTGCGTCTGCAAGGTTGAAGGCGTGGAAGGGCCTGAAAAGAGCACTTTGTACCCATCGCTGTCAGAAAAGAAGCCTTTGGACGACTCTGCTCGTCTTGCGCTCCGAGGGAACTCTGGGCCAGGATTGTCTGAGGCTGATCCGGTAGTTTTTGTTATTGAAAAAAGCGCCGCTGGACCAAAGTCTGCGAGTAATGCGGGCTCAAATGAATTGCCCGCATGGAAGGCTGAACAACGATATGGTGCGCTTTGCAGTTTAGTTCTCAAACATCTCCAATTTCACGCTCACTAGTTTATTACCGACTTTACGACGACGATAGTGAAGCCGCCTCGAAAACGTCGTTTGACGAGAGTGATCCTTCTTTGGGTCGCCTTAACATATTCACCATCCCCCCACCGCACACCGTCGCTTCCTTGAAAGGTCGTCTTGTTCATGTAGAAGGGGTATCGGGTAACGCTGTTCAGTTGCTTGAAAACGAGGATGGAGAGGTTACCTTGAACGATGGCGATGCCATCGCTCTTCTCACTGACGATTTTCCGGGCTCAAATGAGGATCAGCCGATAGTATTTACATATACAAGGAACGCTGCTGATAAAACGACGGCACAGGAGATTCCTCCCTTCTCGAAACGCCTTACGTGCACATCCAATTGGGGTGAGTGAAAATTGTGGTTGAGGACTACCGTATTGCCTCTCATGTTGTTTAGCCGGCGCGCTTGTGGACGCCGCGTGGCACTCAATGGTGGTTGGAGAGATCTTTCAAACAGACGGAGTTGTGCGGTTTGAGACATTCATCAATTCCAATGGTGACTCTGTCTACCCTTGAAATTTTTATCTGTATTGACCTTTCTGTGATAGATAACTCTTGCTATGTCGGAATAAATAGTTCTGGAAAGAAGGCTTGTACGTTCCCATTGTAATCCTTTGCTTTGAGGGAGAGACTTTCTTACGTGACATATCTTGCAGTTGTTCTTTCAAGTGAGTTCCTACCTTGTCTACAAATCAATTCGCTAGTTAATGTAGCCCCTAGAATATGTGACTTTATCCTGACACTTCCTTGCAATTCGTGTTCTTTTTTTTTCATGTAGACTCCAGTTTTATGAATGTAGGCCGAATACTCTCTAAGTCGCACTCAAGGAAATAGCAGTAACACGCTAAAACAAACTTTCTCATTCAAGTTGTAGATTGCAGGGGCGTTGGCCTTGATTTTGATAAGACCTAAGCTGAGTTCCCTGTTCCACTGGAATAGGGATTCCCTGCTCCAGAGCACGGTCACGTGCACGTACATACACACATCACATGTAGTAGCTACTCACCGCAATACCACCACTTACCCAGTCAGCTACACGCTGGGGAAGCCCTTCCGCCCTTTCCACCACATTAACCGCTATCATTTCTCAAATCGTAATTTCATAGTACATCATTGGTAGCACAGATTACGAGACCTTGGAAATAGTCAATGCCTTCAATGCTGGGTAAAGAATGCGCCTCAGTCTTAGAGGCAGGGGTGAAGCAGAAAAAATTACACACATTTGTCCGTATGGAAAACGATTTGTTTGAATGGATCCTTGACTTTTGTTTGTACCATTACGAGCGAGATAGGGACAGATCTTTGTGTAGGCTGTTTCAATGTTCGCACCCTGAGATAAATGTGAAGCGCTTACCCTTCGATCACATAACTATCGACCTTCGCTTTCGTTGTGATGTCTTCGGCATCAAGTTTTTCATGAGTGAAGAGTATCTTGGCGGCAAGCTTTTGACAGGCGTGAAGGAACTGCAATTTTCGTCAAGGTAAGTACATAAGCCACCCAAGTCGTTACAAATACAACGAACCTTGACAGCCGGGGATCTATCATCTGTGCCAACCCCTAGGTTCAAGACACTGTGAGTCGAGAAAGTCAGGATTGATAAGGTGGAATCAATTCTGCAAATAAATCGTACCACAGGCCCACGGGATCATAGTGAAATTCTGTTCATTGGGAATATGTGTAAGATGTGGCCGGATCTACGATTTAGCACACATACCAACAACAGCGTGTCCTTTAGAACACTCTTTAAAGTCTTGTGCATACGTTTGCGCTTGCGCATGATTGTACGTACAATAAAATGCGGCTATAAGTAAATCAAGATATTAGTCAATCGACGATTTGAACGAAACAATATATGAATGCACGTTTGTACGTGAAATCTCCAGGAAAAGGGCCAGGATTTCACTTGAGTCCTTTCTTGATGTCAGCTACGTGTTCTTTGCATGTCCCGTGGTAGATAGTTATAGGACTGCAACGCTCCAAAGAGACAGGTGTTGCAATCGCAGACCAGGACAAAAATGCCAGAATGAAGGTAATCTGGGCAGTGAGTAGCATGGTGATATCAAAGTCACAGGTGTGAGTGAGTTATTATGATTGGATAGTTCAGGAATCGAAGGCCGGTTCTGATTCGAGATGGTGGATGTCAGGAAAAAAGTATATGGGGAGAGTTAGTGACCAGCACAACTGGGAGGCCATTAGCTACTTAGTAGCTATTTATGCAGTTGGCATAGGACGAGCCCCAGGGCTGCACTGGGGAGGGGGAGTAGGGCGGGCGCCAGTTGGCGTAGAAATCTGATCCCAGTGACGGAAATAAGCTTGAAATTCACGGAATCAATCAGCACGAAAAGAATAGATGATCCACTTGCCAGTGTTAGAGGTTCGACACACCGTGTATTATGTCATGAGATGATCAAGAGCTGCAGCTCCGTCTGATCGTATGTATTATTATTAAGTTCGCCACCGGTGCTTGCAATGAACTCTGTAGAAAACTTGGATATTCAAAACATCTACAGGAGACACAACAACTTTTCGGAAATCAGTAGATACAAGAAATCACTCACCATGCAAAAAGTCAGCCCATAATACTAGAATCAATAGTCAAAGAAATGCCTAATCGAGTTGTGGCGACAACTCGCTTCGTAATGTAGCCCATCAGATGGCGGGGTCATTATTGCAGACGTATTCCAGAACTTTGAGTGAGGTGGGTTAGTACTTAGTTACAAGAGCGGAGCGACGCACACATACCGCTCTTCGGCCGCAACTTGGCGGATGGCTTCAAAAAGATTTCCCCTGCCATATCCTTGCTCACTGATGCACCCTTGGCATGACAGTATGACAATACGTGAAGACTGAAGTGTCAAAGGCAAAAAATCTGGAATCTGAATTGCGGCAAATCGGCGAGACAACGATGTTTGTGAGCGTCCATAGTGTGTCCATTTTGTTAATGTTCAAATTTTTCAAGCAGTTGTAGACCTGCATTGTCCCTTTGAATGGTGTGTTCATTTCTTCCATTGAGTGTGGTCGAGTTTGTGGAATGGCAGGAAAATCTGTCATGTGCGTTACATGACGCCACGGTACGTCACGCTCCCACCTTCCACTTCCACGTGAACCCAATGCGAACCATGTCAATGCGCTTAGTATTCACCTGCTAAACATTTGACGATTTGTCTCTTATGATGATTTTTTCAGCGAGAATGTGGTGGGGGCAAAGTTTTCTAAGCCATCCGCAGAAAGCAGTATGCGTGCGTCGCCATGGCACATGCTTCCTCCGCTTTAGTGACTATAACCCACTTCACTTAGGTTCTGGAATACGCTTTCTCTCAGTGAATACATTCTGGTAGATTGTGACTCCGGTATAACCTGCGTCTTTGCCCCGACGAAACATAAATCACTGCCCTGCCATCAAATATCGTAAAACTAGAAGCAAGAACGTTCAACGACATTTACGACAAGAACCTCACCACCATCTGATGAGCTTACAAAGTGAGTCGTCACCGTCTTCAGCCGTTCAAGGGGGAGGACACAGATGCGATACAGATCAAGCAACTCGCTCGAAGCTGATTAGGCATTTATTTTACTATTGATTTTAGGATCGCGGGGAGGCTGCTCCTGCTGGCGTGGTTGGTGGACGTGATATTCAAAATGGCGATATGTCATGGGCAAGCAACAACACCTTGATTCAAGTTGCATGCGCCAACGACGATAGCATGAATGGGAACCTCAGAGAAAATTTGGAAGCACAGCAAGTTGAAGAAGCAGTTGAAATTTTCGAAGCTGCAATTGCACTTCAGTCACCCAGTGCCAACTGACTATTAGTCATGCAAACTCCATGTAAGTTACATGACTAAATGTCATGGACCATATCTATATTCTAGATATATATGGGTCCTAGAAAGCCCTGAAATCTAAAATATATTTTTGACACATGGACCCTGAAATGTCACACAAAAATTATAATGTCTGTGTCACACCACCAAAATATATTTTGCAAGTGAAATGCAGTAAGGATATATTTTCAGTGAGTGGACCCTGAAATGTCACTGTCACACCTTAGAAATATATTTTTGCCCTGGCTTTGCCTTAGGATATATTTTGTGAAACAGATGTGGTAAGGATATATTTTTCTGGTCTGTAGTGGTGTCAGGGGTCCTAGTTTCAGCAAAAAACTTGTGATTTTTTCTGCTGTCTGGAGTATATATTCTGGAAGATTCTGCAATGACTTCCAGGGGTTTTGGCACTATGTCTAGCTGTGCTCCCAGTATGTATGTAGCAATAAGGGGCATCAATAGCATCTGTGATATACCTGAGTTGCTTAAGTATCATCCACTTCCAATCACACTATGAATACAGTTCGCATTACAGATTCATTCATTCTCCTTCAACAATTTTGGGCCTCAATGACATGTATGATTCACCTTGAAGCTATTCAGTCCAAGATTCCTGAGTTGCTTAAGTACTATCCACTTTGACACTATAGATACAGTTCGCACTATGGAATTTTTTAGCTGCTTAGAAATCCCCTCCACTTCTGCCTCTACTTCAGCTCCAAGATCTCCATTTGCACCTTATCTGCATACCCCACCCACATCTGTATTACTATCCCCTGCCAGACAAACTCCTGCATGTGATATCAAACATGTTGTCCAATCCACTTTCAAAAACCAGAGTTCACAAAGTTCTTTGTTTCACTCTCCAATTGCACCTTATCTGCATGCCCCACCTACATCTGTATTAGTCAAACCTCTGCATGTGATATCAAACATCTCTCCCAACCTACTTTCAAAAACCAGAGTTCACAAAGTTCTTTGCTCTTTCTCTTTTTCTCTCTCCAGTTGCACCTGATCTGCATACCTCACCCACATCTGTATTACCATCCCCTGCCAGTCAAACCCCTGCATGTGATATCAAACATCTCTCCCACCCCACTTTCACAGACAAGAGTTCACCAAGTTCTTTGTTGTTTCTATCCTTCTCTTCCTCTCTCCCTGTTTTCCTCTTCTCCTCTTCCTGCCTTCCTCCCTCTTTCTCTTGACTCTTCATTGTAACTTTATTGACAACAAATTCCATTCTCCTCTAACAAATTTTGTTCACCAATGTCATAGTATGGAGGCACACATATCTTTCCACTAAATCCTGAACCAAGATCTATTTTAACCATATCATCAATCCAGATACATAATTTCTGAACTACATCATGAATATTTTAATTAGATGCTGAACCAAGATATATCTTTCCACTTTATCTTGAACAAGGATATATTCACAAGACATATATTTCAATTATATCCTGACCCAGGATATATTTCCAACAAGATAATGAACCAGGATATATTACCAATACATATTCTCAAGCTATATCTTGAACAAGGATATATCTTTCAACTTTATCTTGAACAAAGATATATATTCAACAAGATATTGAACCAGGATATATTACCAAGGTACATTTTTGAACTATATCCTGAACAGGATATATTTTTTGACATATAACTTTTAACTAGATCTTGCAGAAGACAAAGGTGCAATTTATTGAATGAAACTACATAGATTTACATTACTACAAAGACCATTCATTAAATACAGAAATAAAGAGAGGGGGAGGGGGAGGGGTTTGGTGGGCAATAGGGAGAGGGGAAAGGGCTGGTAGGCAATGATGGAGGGGGGGGGGGGGAAGAGGTTCTAGGCAATGAGGGAGGGGATGAGGAGGTTATAGGCAATGAGGGAGAGGGAGTGCTGCAATGAGGGAGAGGGGGAGTGGTGTGCAGTGGGAGGGAGTGAGAGAGAGGGAGAGGGGGAATGGGAGGGGGAGTGAGAGAATGGGAGAGGGAGTGAGGGAATGGAGGGGTAGGGAGTGATGGAGGAGGGAGGGAGTGATGGGGAGAGGGGGAGGGGTAAGGAGTGATGGAGGGGGGAGCTCCCCTGGGCTTGTCATTGCTTGTGTCCATTCAGGCAGTCATTTTCGTTGGCGGGCAGTCGCCTTTGTTTGTGGGCGGTTGTAAATGTTCGTGGGTGGCTCGCCCTCGTCTCGTTCGTGGGCGCTCGTGGACATTCGCGCGGGTGGTCGTGGACATTCGTGGGAGCTCATGGTTGTTGGTGGGTGCTCGTGGTTGTTGGTGGGCGCTTGCGGTCGTTGGTGGTCGTCCGTGGGCATTCATTTTCGTCCGTGGTCCACCACCCACACCTTCATCCATCGTCGTCTTCATTTTTAGGGCAGTCGTCGTGGTCTGCCAGGCGAAACAAAGACGACGAACGACGACATCAGTTGTCGTTCGTCGTCCGGTTGCCACGTCGCAGCTAGCGATGTGGCACCTCATTGGTGTCAGAAGGGAAAAAGCTGGGGTGGTGACTGCTTACCAGGCTGGGTACGGCACAACCTCGTCACCGTCGTCCTCGCCTGCCGTCGATCTCCTTCGATGTTGTGTGTTTGCTGGGGGTTGGTGACGTGGCGCTGCCGCGTCGTTCTTGTGGTGCCGGGGTGGTTGTAGTTGTTCCGTGACGATGTTGTGTGTCATGCACCGTCAGCATCCTTGTTGCGTTGCAGTGGGTGCGCCATGGGTGTGTGCGTCAACTTTTGTGGGTGCTGGTCGTCGATTTTTGTGGGCGGTGGCCATTTGTGTGTTGTTTGTTGGGCGGTCGTTGTCGGTTTGGGCAGCCAGGGTTCTTTGCAGTGGTGGGTTGCGTGACCTGGTATGACGGCGATGTGGTGGTGAGGTGGAGTCGTTGGCGTTGACGGAGTGGTGGTGAAGTTGTGGGTTGAAGAGAAAAGGAACGTCACAGAGTCCCAACAGATGAACAACGTCACAGAGTCACACTCTGTGACGTTGTTCATTTGTAGACGTAGATGTTGAAGTTCAAGATCATGCTCTGATCACACTCACTAAGATTCTGAGACTACAAAAGTTTGTAGTCTCAAAAAGCTGGTATTATAAAATTTTATAATGAAAAAATTGAACAGTACAAGCTTTTGTAATGAAAAAAGAGGAGACTACAATTTTTGTAGTCTCAAAAAGCTGGTACTACAAAACTTTGTAATGATAAAAGAAGATAATACAATTTTTTGTAGTTTTTGTAGTCCCAAACAGTGAACTACAAAATTTTGGTAGTCCCGAAAAGTAGACACTACAAATTTTTCTCTGTCCAAAGAGCAGACAGTTTAATACTCTGGGTTCATTCTTCAGGAAACAGTTGCGAGAAACTAATGACAAAAATAATGACACACTGGTTTAACGTTGATGGTCAGAAGCCATTCCACGATGCGGATACAGGCAAGATGATCCCTAGAATGCTGAATACATTCATTGTACATTTCATTTGGGACAAGGGGATCACAGAGCTTGTGCAACGAGAGTTTCATCACCCACCCGAGAACATGCGGATTGTCAATGGTGTCTAATGTATAATAGCCGCAGTCGATCCGTAATTTCAGTTCAGAAACTGAGTTGTCACCAGGAACACAAGAAGATTCTTTCCTGTGAACTTGGCATTGGTCATGGCGCCCAATTTATTGTGTTGTAGTTCGAAGCTAATCGAACCCGTTCCTGGCGGCAGCCTAGTAATCCTTAACAGTACCCCTCCTGCAATTTGAACCCTGGAAGTGGCAATTTTATGAAATACTTTCATGTAATATACATAACTGTGGGGACAGATTTCTCATTAGGTACAAATCTCTGTAATGAATACAAAGTTACTTAATAGACTACAAATTTAATCAGAAACAGTGCTACAGGAGCGTGAACTTGAACATTTGAATGTCGATGTATACCGCAAGGTCACACGTTGTGACTTGTGATGTCACTTCTCCTTACTCACCATCGCCTCCTCGTCGCCCACAACCAACATGGCCACAATGCGACACGACCACAACAACGATGGATGACAACAATGATTTCGTCGTTGTCATTACCTGGTGAGCACACACACCCATCTCCCCCCTCTTTCGTTTCTGACAACAATGCCAGGTGCCATGTCGCAACAGCGACATGGCAACAAAACGATGAATGACGACATTTCGTCGTTCGTCGTTTTGCCCGTCCTTCATCCCGAACCAACAACAACCGATGCCACGTCAGCATGTTAGGCCAACCACGTCAAAACGACCCCGACCACCTGATACTGCCAGTATTATGTATCAGATATAGTCTATTGACTAAGTCTACCTATGCATCACAGCAGTCAATTGACCAACCTTCCTAATCAGGAAGGTAGCCTTGCTGAGCTCCCTAGAGCCAGCCTTGGTGCTCACTGATTCCCACGGCTTGCTCACTGTTTTCAGGGTCCAAAAGCGCACTTCCAAATGTGGTTGTTTTCAGGGTCCAGGGCACATTGCCAAATATGGAAATGTGTGCTTATCTAAAGGAAAAATAGCAATAAAATAGCAGAAAAATCAGAAAAAAATGGGGGATGGTGGTTATGATGGTAGGTTGTTTTCAGGGTCCAGGGGATGTCCAAATATGGCAATCTATCCAAACATGGCCAGAAAATACCCGAAAAATCAGGAAAAATTGGGGGATGGGGTGATGATGTTAGGTTGTTTTCAGGGTCCAGGGGCTATGTCAAAATATGGTAATCTATCCAAAAATAGCCAGAAAATACCCGAAAAATCAGGAAAAATTGGAGGATGGTGATGATGATGTTGGGTTGTTTTCAGGGTCCAGGGTCTATCCAAATATAGTAATCTATCTAAAAATACTCAAAAAATTAGGAAAAATTGGGGGATGGTGGTGATGATGTTGGGTTGTTTTCAGGGTTCAGTGTCTAGTTCCAAATATGGTAATCTATCCAATGATAGCCAGATAATCACCAAAAAAATCAGAAAAAAATACAAATGGTTCCCACTGTTGATGATGATGTTCAGGGTGCAGGGCAACAAATAAGGAAACTTCTTTGTTTCTGATGAAAAATAACCAGAATATCAGAAAAAAGCCAGAAAAATGTAAATGGTGTAAGGGATGTCAGGCACTACTTTCAGGGTCAACTTCAGGGCCCACCCCAAAGAAAAGCTCACCTTACTTGACCAAAAAGTGAAGAAAAACAAGATAAGAATGATTCTACCTATCAGGGTCCATCTAATGGGGTGTTGGGATGGTGGTCACATGATCAATTACCAAAAATGGTCAAAAACAAAAGTTGTAGTCCTATGCTGTAGCTGCCTGAATCTGTTTGAATTATGTTCTGAAGTGCTCCTGTTGTGGAGACATGATGTAAAAGATTTTGAAAAGCACTGTGTTTTTTTTGTTTTTTGTGTTTTTCTCCATGAAAACCAAACCAAACAACATGATTTCAACACATTTAGAAAGCTAAAAGAAAGGGCTACAATTATTGTATCGTGGGAAAAATGACCAAAAAAGGAAGGTGCATGCCTTAAAAGGGAAACTGACACTGACAGACTACAAAGTCTACTAATAGACTACAAGATATCACAAAAAGTTGGACTTAGACTACAGAGTTTACTGACAAACTACAAAAGACTACAACACAAAAAGTTAGACATAGACTACAAAGTTTACTGGCAAACTACAAAAGACTGCAGAAGTTGGACTTAGATTACAAAATTTACTGACAAACTTCAAAAGACTACAAAAGTCAGACTTAGACTACAAAGTTTACTGACAAACTACAAAAGACTACAGGTTGGACCTAGACTACAAAGTTTACTGACAGACTACAAAAGACTACAAAAGTCAGACTTAGACTATAAAGTTAGAGTTAGGGTTAAAAGGTCATCCAAAGTCAGCCTGACCCATCCATCCCATTCATGGCACATATTTGATGGAGAAATGGCTGGGGTATGTTGCAGTAGACTACAAAAGCTTAAAGTGTCCACTTGCTGAGACTACAAAAGTTTGTATTGTGTGCTTTTTCATTACAAAAGTTTGTAGGGTGTGCGCTTTTTCACTACAAAAGTTTAAAGTGTCTGCTTTTTGAGACTACAAAAGTTTGTAGGGTGTGCGCTTTTTCACTACAAAAGTTTGTAGTGTCCGCTTTTTGGGACTACAAAAGTTTGGAGTTCACTTTAGTTTATAGTGTCCTTGACTATGTGTAGGGTATTGGGGATATGGTTGAAGGATTGACATGATCTCACATATTGCCATTGCTGCAGCATTAGTTTTTGACATGATGCACAAGTTGTCTTTCACATCAGAAAAGGCAATTAATTCTGTGCCTTCCTATTGATACCTACTATCTCAAAATACAGTTATATGTTCTTGGGGATATGGTTGAAGGACTGACATGACTTCACATATTGCTATTGCCATATCATTTGTTTTCGACATCATGCCCAAGGTAGCTTTCACATCTCTGTAGTCTAAGTCCAACTTTTTGTGATATCTTGTAGTCTATTAGTAGACTTGTAG